TCAGAGCTTTGATATATTGAAAAATCTAATGGAGGAATATTATAATATTTTGAAAATTGTGTCTTATGAATAAAAATGGAAATATCCATACTCCAAACTTTGTGTAAAAAAAAAAAAGAAATTATAATATCATCAAACCAATGACACAAACATTTATTAAATATATAAGAATCCGTAAACCTATAACAATAGAACCTCGGTTTTTTTTTTAATCCTTTAAGATCAATCTACCAACAATAACCTAAAGCTTTTAATGTTTTGTAAGTATAGTCGTTATGGATGGAATATCCCGGGTTAATCATCTTTCTCATGTGACTAAGAGAAGAAAAGATTGATTTAACACAAATAACAAGATAATTTCCCATAATTTCAACGGGACAACATGATTAACGAGTCATAGACACTGCATAAGTGATTTCGTTTTATGTAATGTCGGCATGATTTATGAGATTTTTTTTGTCGTCTTCATTAAAAGTTAGGCTTCATATGGGCCCTTCGATTTCTTATTGTGTAAAACTTGCAATTTCTTACTGTTTTCGCATAATGTACCATTTGATACCTAAATTACCTAAGAGTTGTACAGAATCAGGAAATAATAATTAGATACGAATAACTGTATATCGTATTTCCGAATAAATTTAGAAATTATTTCTTTAATCAAACATGGCATTTATAGTTTGCCTAGAAGCTTAGGTTTTGAAACATGTGATGAATTAGATTCAATAATGTTTGTGGGATGTGTGTGTGTGTCTAACGCAATTAGGTTCATGTAGTTAATGACGAGTAGGGTCAAAATCGTAAGGAAGATCCTCGTGATTGTCCTACAACGTGGGAAACTTTTTGTTGTAAAGCTAAAATTAAATCAATCACTAATATTTTGTTTTTTGTTGGGTAGGTATATATAGCCTGTGATTCTGTGAATTAAGAACGGTTTAAGCCTTTCAAAACTCTCTTTTTCTAGGAACCACACGACCAGAAAGTTCTGTTAGTTTGCTCTTTAATTTTCTTCCCCATAATTAGGTGCTTTAATTTCCTTCCGACAAAAGAATTAAAATAGCATTTATTTAGAAAAATATGGTACTATCACTTTTAAATATTAGAAAAAATACACTCCCCTTTGTTCCTAATAATTCAAGTTTCAAAAAGAATTAGGGTTCTAGAGTTATACTTCAGTATTCTTTAAACCGTCATTCATGAAAGATTATAAATTATATCTCAAAATATAAATTTTGTTCAGTAAATTAAAGATATACAGTAGGTCAAAAAGAAACCATAATGTGTTTCTTTTCTCAAAAATGAGTTCAATATTAGATACGTTAACCTAAAACTAAAACGAGTAGCTTAGTTGAAAACCAAAAAAAAAAAAATTTAAAAAAGAAAAAGAAAAAATGGATGGTAGCTTGATTGACTAATTTGATTGAGTTTCGAAATATTGTAGTCCCTTGATTTTTTCGAAGAGTCAAAAGTATATTTTCACCCGTGAGACCTATAAATAATATTCCTTACGAAAGAATCATTAGATGTTTTTTAGTTGGATTTTTTTACTAGAAGTGTGAGAATAAGAACTACTGAAGTATACAGCAAAATCATATACAAATGATGAACGAAACCAAGCCCCCAAACATCAAAAGTGTTTTTTTTTTTGTTAAAGGATATATATCTAACATCAAAAGTGTTAGCTAATTAATGAATTGCATACTTTGATTATGATCAATAAATATGAGAATTATAAACTAAATTATCTGAAAATATACTCTCATGAATTTGAAATTAATAGTCAGTAAACAAGTATTACAGAAAAAAAATATACATGGATAAATGAAACGGATGACTGGTACATAAAAAGTGAAGATCTCAAGTTTTACTTTCTTGACTTACTAACAAGTGACTTGACATAGTCATATATATTGATTAGGTCGAATATTTTAGCATACGATAAAATTTTATATTTAAATTCGTCGATCATAGTGGAGAAATGTTTGTTGTTTTGTAGTTGGTTCTCTTTATCAAAGTTCTTTACGCCATAGTTGTGGAAAATCTAACTATGTTTAGAAAGACGTGTTTATATATAATATGATCATAAAACAAATATCTAGAATGTAAAAGGTGAAAATAAGTTACGTGGACTATAAAAATAAACGTTATAATATCATTTTTAATTGAAATGTGTTCGTAGATGGTAAGATGCTTTTTTTGAAAAGAGAAAATCAGATTCACCATAAGATACCATGATTGATAATCAAGCAACCCATGTAAAGTTTTCTTTTGGAAAGTTGTTAATTAAAGAACATACTTTTTTTTTTTTTTTTTTGTTACCTGTGTGTCATGGTGAATAATTTCTTCTAGCTAGTGGTAATTGTTTTATATAGAAAATATATTTTACTAATATACAACATCATACTGAATATGAAATAGTAAAAATATCAGTAGAAGTAAGTAGAATAAGAACTTTGGTATGTTATGTTTATTTTATACAACGAAAGCTACATTTTGGGTACTGTTTTTATCAAGGAATGATTGATATTGAAGCAACTTTTATTTAGAAAATCATGAAAACATTTTTATGGTTCTCTTGTAAGATTCACACCTATCTTTCAATTTCTGTCGAAAAAAACGAGAGAGCTTTTGATTTTCAAACTTAGTGCAAAAAAGAACAAATGCGAAATTGTACATTTTTTTTTCCATTTAAAAGTTATTATAGCCTTCTATTTTTGTCCCCAATCCTCCTTTATTTTAACGCTGACTTTTCTCGCCCCTATTTAGGCAAGTTTTAGAACAATGATGGCAATGAAAAATAATTTATCTTCCCTTGTGGCTCGCGATGGTTAGGTTTTTCTGACACTGAGTAGAGGTTTTGGGTATGGTCAACTTGACCATTTACTAAATTTGAGACCAAGACAAAAGAGAGTTCTTAAAAGTCTCTCAACACTAAAAAGAGTAAAACCCTTTTGCTGTATGGACTTTTTAAAGAATACAGAATTTTAAAGTCTCTTTCTATATTTTTAGTAAAAATCATATATTTTCTTTGTAATTTCTCTAAGATAAATTATTTTCAAAAAATGCTCAAAAAGTACTGCAAATCAGAATATGTACTGCATATCTTCTATCTAGGCGAACAATTGGAATAATCATTGTTATTCTCTCGTGCAACGTTGTGACATTATACACAACAAATTAGTACGGGCTAAATTGTCTTTGAAGTTTCATCGAAAATTAGTACTTGATTATGTCGAATATTATCTACATTGCTAGTGTTAATTTAGTGTTGTTACATCAAATATTCTAATTTAGAAAAGAAAACAACATGTGTGTACGATATAAATTGATTGTGTTTTAAAAAGTAATGAGATGCCTTAAAACAAGCCTTTTACTCATTATAATAATATTTTCAATAACAATCTTGATCAAACAATGTATTTATCATTTACAGCCAAAAGTAAAAGAATTTGTACTTGATATAGACTCCATATATACAAATTGTAGAAAGAGTCAGAGAGGAGAGAATATAAATGTTCCCATTTATTTGGTGGAGGACCAATTGTGGACCAAAAAAATAACTTAGCCAATCGCATCTTAAGGCAAGCGAGAAGAAACTACATGCATGGGCATGCAACTATACTGTTTCATTTATTTTGAAATTCATTTGGTCCAAATTTATCTTCAATTCCTTTAAAACTAGATAGATATACATATACACAGGGTTGAAGTCGGGAATTCACGTGATTATATTTTTAAAATTTGACAACTATAGTTGTTCAGTAAGTAATTGCTATATCGAATTCTGTTTAATGTGGCAAGACCATTAGAGTACGTAGGTTTTCCGTTTTCATTTAGTAAAAACCTTTTTGTAAATATATTTTAACATGTAAAAGTAATAAAATACTGAGATCATATTTTAACATTTTGACTTCCCCTTTATATTGTCTAGTCGACAAATATATTTTAAAATGTAAAAGTAATTCTTACACTTATATGGGAAATCATATATCTAGTGAAATCATATTTCTAGTGTTATACATTTTTACTTATTTTTATTTGATAATTTTTACTGTTATACTTAATAAATCACTCTTAATTGGTCATTATCAACATGTATATATAGTGATCATTTGGTAAATAATATTTGATGATATGTTAGTGTATAGATCAACATTCCTTTTAAGTGGTTGATAAGAGAGACTATAAAATTTAAATCTCCGAGTCATCATTCCAATAGAAGTGGTCTAATGATTACTTTCTCTCATGTCCTAATCGTTTAGGGTTCAAATCCAAACCGATGAACGTTTAGTCACATCATTTACAAATGTGTATATCTATCATTTTTCCCTATATGACCAAGTTCTTAACCAAAACGTAAAAATAGTGTTAAGGATTCACATTTCACAATCAAATACAACAAATCAGTATACAATGAAAATAAACTTTTAGACCGAAACCACAAAACTACAATTACTCAATATATCAGTTATTACAATATATTGAGCTATAATTCAACTTTTTTCACAAAGATTATAGCTTTGACCAGAGTTTAAAGTATAGTGGTATGGGTTAGTGTCGTCGATGTGTCAACATTCATGTTCAAACTCGCATATTACATGTTACTCATAAATAACTTTTTTAACCCCAATTTAAATTTTCTTCTTCTTGTAGTATATAAATTACACGTTTTCATAATTTGATATATATCTCGTGCAATTTTACCCTTTTTGTTCAAATTTTTCTTGATTTCAATACAAATATATGAACACTACTATTGGGCTCAATCAACCCCTCTTAAATGGGCTAGATTAAGCCCATCAACTGCTAATATACAGTATTCACCTCGATCAAGTAAGGCTAATCAAAGCCTCTATATCAAAAAAGCCCATCAATGTTACCTCGAACCAAGTGGAATCAAAACGATGTCGTTTGAATCAAAATGACGAAAATAACCCTTTGACCGTTCAGGAAAAAGTCTTCCGACATATAAAATCGGAGAAGCGAGAAGACGCGTCGGCTGAGAGGTAAGAGGAAGAGAGACTCTAAAGGGCAAAAAGGGAAAGTAGGCGGGAGGATTCTTCTCTCTTCTTCTCCGGCGAGTCTTATGTCTTCTCTTCCTCTTCGCTCCGGTGAGAAGATGGCAACGCCTTCCATCTCCGACGCCGTTCCACTTCAGGCACCACCAGAAGACGCGACCGCGGATTTTTCCCAACCGCAATCGGCGTCACATGAAGTTGATTCGTTACCAGTTGCTGAATCTTCCGATGATGTTGTTGTTGTCTCGTCGGAGATACCATCTTTATCTCCGTCAGATGATGATTTTGACCACGAGAGAAATAGCGGCGAGGATCGCGATCAGGATCACGGCGATAATCTTGTTGAGACCGACGTTGTTGTTGTTCCAGTCGATGAGTTGAAGCAGAAGATCATTAGACAGGCAAGTGATCTTCAATTTCCGAATTGGCCGAATTGATCTTCTGGTGTTTGATTCAATGGTTACTTGTGTATCAATGTCGATTGGTTTTAGGTTATGGCACTTCATTAATCATCTTAACGAGTAGTTTCAAGAATATGCTTAAGATTTGGGGTTTATTAGTATGTTCTTCATCTTAAGGTTGTTGCTGAATCTAGTTTGTTTTACTTTTTGCAGGTTGAATACTACTTTAGTGACGAGAATTTGCCTACTGACAAATTTCTTCTGAATGCTATGAAGAGAAACAAAAAAGGCTTTGGTGAGTATTTTTCTTTCACTTGGAAATAGGCATTAGACCCTTTGAGTTTATGAGACCAGCTTTGAGGATTCGCTATTGTAGTTATGAAAATTTCTGATACTTGAAACATGTATCATTGAAAGTATGAGACTTTGTGACCATTGATATACTAAAGTGGGTTCTTTCCTGAGCCAAACCTGTTCTTGCAGAACCATGCAAAGTAGTATTTTAGTTGGCTAAACTCGAATTGCTGAAAATTTATTACTTGTTGATGGAAATAAAGTAGTTTTATGTTGATGTTACTCCATGACTATCTATAGCCGCTGGAATATGGAACTGTTAAGAAGAAAAATTTCAATGGCTTTCTTTTCTTTGTGCAGTTCCTATTTCTACCATTGCTACGTTCCACAAAATGAAGAAGCTTACTCGAGATCATGCTTTGATAGTATCAGCCTTAAAGGAGTCATCTTTTCTTGTAAGCTTCTTTACAGTAGTATGAATGGAAGTTATTGGAGTAATCATATAGCTGTAGAAAAGTTAAATCAAATACCAGATGAAACGAAAACAGAGGTTAATTATCTGTTTGGTCAACCTGTAGGTTGTTAGCTCTGATGAGAAGAAGGTGAAGCGGCTGAGTCCTCTTCCTGAGGTTAGGGATCCAAAGGTATCAATTGTCTCAAACATGGCTCTTCTTTTTCTGTCTGACTAATGTGTTTCTTTGCTCCCTTTGAGATATATTCGTTCCTAATTAGTGTGCCATAGATTTTCACTGTTTTGGTAGAAAATTTGCCAGAGGATCATTCAGAAGAGAATATTCGGGAGATATTTGGTAAAGCTGGAAGGTAGGCTATGGTGTTATCTATCTTGCTACTCCTTTCCTCCTGTTATATCCATTTACATACTAAATAACATTTTTCTGCAATTGCAGCATAAAAAGTGTATCCATATGTGATCCAAATGCTGCTGAAGAACCAGAGAAGGGTGCTAAGAAGGAAAAATTCATCAGAACCAGAGTAAGAAACGTTGTGGAGAACTTTCTTATATGGAATCACAAGCACATATATATGTTTATAATTAGCTTCTTTTTCTTTTGGCTATAGTTACATGCCTTTGTGGAGTACGAAACGGTGGAGGCAGCTGAAAAAGCGGTTAGTGTCAAAAAAATCTTAGACTCAGTATATTTTCTCTTTTTTTCAGGAATGTGTGTGTTTAGCAACTCTTACTATTGGTTGCAGGCAGCTACATTGAATAATGAGCAAGACTGGAGAAATGGGTTGCGAGTTAAGCTTCTTGAACTAACAGTAAGTAATATCTGAAGAATCTTTCAACTTAAAAATACATATGGAATCAGATTATAACTTTTATTAATCAATGGATTATTCATCCTAGGGAAAGTTTGCACAGAGAAGACCAGCTAGGAGAGAAGTCGATAAAGAAAAGGATAATACAGGCCGAGTTCATGATCAAACTGAAGGAGAGAAGAACAAAAAGACGCGTGAACATCAGCATCACCGTCACCATCATTCTGATAATACTGCTGATGATGTAAGTTCCATCTTAATACTATAATTATTTTATCTCATCTTTGATGACTTATTGCAAAGCAAGATTTGGGAACAACACTACGATGTGCCATTATACCAGGATCCAAGCAGCTGTTTATAATTGCGGATTGTCCTTTAACCATTTTCAGGATGGTGGCAATCATCAGAAGGATAAAAATGGAAACAAAGGCAGAGGTGGAGGACAAGGAAGGCGACAGAATCATCAAGGCGGCAACGGTATTGGTAACTTTCTTAGAGAAAGTCCATTTCTTTCCACTTCTTGTAACTAAGGAGAGCAAAAATTCAATTATTAAAACCAATTTTTTTGTAATTTTTGCCACAGGACATGGAACACCACCATCAGCTTCATCATCTTCTCATCATAATTATCATCCTGTTGAGGTCTCAAAGCGTCCACCTGGCCCGAAAATGCCTGATGGGACGAGGGGGTTCACAATGGGGCGTGGTAAAGCGATTCCTCCTCCTCCCACATCTGCTCAAACCAGTCATGAAGTTTGATCGGTTTCACATCTCCGGTTGTATCATTGTGTGGTTTTGTTTCACATTAAAAACATGTGAAACTTGTATGTAGTTATTAGAATTATGATATTATTTTGGATTTGGGTTTCCTTTTGGCACATTCAAGTCCTCCAAATCTTCACTTTGGTAGTTAGTTTTGTGTTGTAAGTTTTGGTGAATGAAAAAAATGATCCATTTGATAAACTTATAAAATAACACTTCATTTGCATTTTGTTTTGTTATTATTTGTTTTGTTTTCCTTAGGAATGGATAATAGACAATCCCAGTTCGGTCCAGGATTTAGAGAACGAAAAACATGCTTCTGACTTCTGTTGGTCCGAGTCTTGATTCTTGCATGATGCATAATATTTTGGTCTCTCTCTAAAGAGTAAAGACTCAATATTATGCACATGAACTTCCTTGTAGCCTCAGTGAGCCTCAACTCCTATTTCATGAGCATAGTCTAGTAGTTTATGAGCAAATGAAGCTGCATAAAATTGTAGCTTCATAAAATTTATAAGCACAATAGGTGATCGAAATCGAAAAATGCTTCACCATAGGTTTTATAATTAATTTCTTTAATGCAACGCTAGAAACTAAATGTCTACAAATGAAGTTACCAATTAGACCAGCTTTGTGGTTTTGGCAGAGTGTATTTATAATTTCCCAATTATATGAACATTTAATTTGAAAGTGATGATCAAAGGTGATACAAAGTGATCCTTGCGGTTAGACTACCGAGCAATGCAGCAGATTTGAAAATTCCAAGCAAATGATCACCAAAAAAACAAAATTTGTGATATTGATATGTAATGTTATATTCAGTTTCAGCCTCATGAAATCACCAATTGAAACTACACTTTAGTCGGTGGCAAATATCTATTGAAAAGATTCCTAATGAAGAAGCTCCTCCGATCCTATGCTCTGTGAAACTATAATAACGCTGATACGTACGTAGTTGTCAAAGTGTTGACTATTTTTTTAAAAGTCAATGTAGTTTTACGGTCAAATTTAATAGTTTGGATAGTTTATTTAAGTTATTTTAGCGTTGAGGTTGAAAATGACATTGTATCTTTGTTGAGGTATAAAAACGCATTTTGCAATTTGTTCGGGTTGAAATTCACCCTTTTCCCATAAGATGGTTTATTGAGATTTTTGGGATACCTTTAAACGTCTCTAGCTAGGGAGATACTGGAGATCAGTCGTTGCATGTTCTCCTTTGATCTTGTTGTTCCATTATAACCGGCAAAACAACTCATTGCAACATTCACAAACAAAGATTGAAAGTGACATCATGTGTTTCTCCCAGTCCTAGGTATAGCGGTAGGGCAAGTCATAGGTTTCTTGTCTTCTTGAGTGGTCCTTTACGTGATCTGCAAAACAAAACAAATCGAGTTATCTATATAAAAAAATTAAAATGTTCGATTGATCCTGATAACGGATTCCAATATTATGGTCTGTTCATTCTTAATGCTTACACGCATTTGCTTCGTGCGTCTCTGTAAGTTCTTTAAAAGGCATATAGCCCATTTTGTCTTCAATTCGTCTACACAAACATGAATAAAAGAGTAATCCAGTTGTCATTTACACAAAAAGAATTGAGAGATGAGTAGTATTATGTTCAACTAATGCTTACCCGCATTCGCTTCGTGCTTCTCTCTGTCTCTACATCGTTATCTACAGACTCTTCACTGTGTTCAATCTCATTAACAAGTCCTTGAAGAGGTGTATATCCCATATTGCCTTCTTCGGCTTCAGAGACATGTGGAAGAGTACTAGTTGGATTACCAAGTCGGTTATCCACTGATGAACAGTCCTCTAAGAGTCGTATACCCCATTCTTTTAATGCGAACGTAGATCGCCAACCTCCAGCACTTATATGAATATTCATAACCACGTGATCGTAGTTCCCTTGAGCTAGACTAGCATTACTTTCGTTTAGAGGGATACGACATTCCAATATAGTTAACATTTGACTACCCTTCTGACTTTTCGTGAAAAGTAAATAAACATAGAAGTCAGAGCCAACATGAAAGCTGTTCCCCGACCTGTCTTTGAACTCACAGTTTACCTTTATATTTTTTCCATGCTTTACATTAGTTACCACTGCGCCAACCCTAAATCTGAAGAATGGGTGAGAGAGATGTGTGGGACGTAGAGGAATGGTCAGAGAGGAGACTCCAGTAGTACGGTAAGTGAAATATGATGGCACTTGTTCCCCTGGAAATAACATGTATTTGAAAACAATTGATTCTTGGTCAAGGACAGTTTCTGGATCCAAGTTGAAACAGTCCCTGAAATCGAGTTTGACTTTGGAAACTGTGTCAATCTTGACAGCTTCCATCTCCTCCATCCCACTTGGATAGCCACTCAAATCAACTCTAGTCAATGCTCCACAATCTTTAAAGTCAACTTTCCCAAGACGTTTCAGTTTAGAAATGTGTAAGGATACACATTTTAGTCTGCTGCAACGATCCATACTTAGCAAACCGAGGTTAGAGAAGTTCTCGATCCACCAAGGAACCTCTTCAATCCCTGTTTCGTCTAGATTGAGACTTGAGATGTTGGTTGAGATTTCAGGAAAGCTCCTCAAGCGTGAGCATCCCTTGAAACTAAGGCTATCGAGAGATTGGAGGTTGATTCCAGTGGGTAGAGTCTCCAGATTTCTGCAGTTTGTGATGTCCAAAAACTCCAGTTGATTGAGATTCTGAAATGAAGAAGGAAGCTCCACCAAACTTGGGATATTCTGGAGATGCAAGCTCGTCAAAGTGGGAGACAACATCGCCAGTAAGGGCGTAAGCGGCTAAACCAAATAAACAATTTATAGAGATGTTAAACAAAATCACCTTAGATCATCGTGTGAACATAAGTTTGGTGGATTCCAATCTTACATCACATATTAAATTTCAAACTTTTAAATAGTATTAACCCAATTTTTGAATATATATTTATTTATATATCATTTTCATTTGATAGTATAATAGTTAATATTCATTTTATGCTATATCCGGATCTAGTATTATAGAGAAGAATACATGATATCTTGATAACACACCAAGTGTACTACATACTTTTTCATAAAAGTGACTTTAAGTTTAGAACTACATACCTTCACTCCTTCCCATTGTTTCCCATCACTCTCTTCTTTTGATAAGCTAAGCTCAACAAGATTCTCGAGATGTAAATTAGAAGGGAGTTCTTCAATGTTTGTTCCAGTCAGATAGAGATCTGAGATGTTGGTTGAGATTTCGGGAAAAGTCCTCAACTCCGAGCAATATCGGAAGTTGAGGTGGTCGAGAGATTTGAGGTTGAAGCCAGTTGGAAGAGTTTTCAGATTGTTGCAGAATTCCATGTTCAATTTCAACAGTTTATTGAGATTTCGTATAAAGGAAGGAAGCTCCACCAAACTCTTGCAATTCCCAAGCTCAAGTGTCTCAAGATTAGTAGCCATGGAAAGATCAGGAATTTCTTTCAGGTTGACTGATCCATCCAGATCCATTTCCTTTAGACATGTAAGTGGCTGTATTCAACAAAAATTAAACACAAAGCCCATTAGAAATTACACAATACATCACATTATTGTCATCTAAAAACTAAAATAAACACTATGACTTCCCTCATTAATATATAATAGCATAAGAAAATATTCTCAAAACTTACCACAACTCCATCCCACAACTTATGTAGCTTGCTATTCGGCATTTTGAGCTTGACAAGGTTTTCAGGACGGAAATTAGACGGCATACACCTCATTGGGAATTCAGACCAGCACAATAGTTTGAGTGTAGGGGGCAAATAGTTGAAACTTTCAGGTAAGTCCAATCTGTTTTCTTCTCCAAAGATATTCGTACCAATTTTTAAGAAACGAAGATTACGCATCCGTTTGAAGGCACTCTTATGTACACACAACTGATCAATCTTACTTGTCTCCAATGATATACCTAAAACCTTTCGAGTATCCTGAAAAAAATATAAAATCAATGAGAAAGAGACAAAGCCATACATGATACAATTCATTGTTTATCAAATGGCAGTTTCTTAACCGCATATACTAAGTTAGGAAAGGACCACAAAAAAAAAAAACTTACAATGCCTTCACTGAGTACATCACAAATATCATTTGGATCCATCAGAAATTCTCGTTTTTCAGGCTTGTCAATCGACTGTGTGCGAACAATTTTTCGGCCCATTTCTTGTAGCAAACGATGCATCTCCACATGACCCCATCTCACATGAATGATGGACTTATCAACCAGGTTTTGCAGCCCAACATTAACACCCAATTTACTATCTGCGAGCAACGACTTGATGGTTGTGACATCCATATGATTGAAAATACATGCGATATGACGAAATATCGCTTGATCTTCTGCGCTACCTAACCCATCATAGCTGATTCTTAGTATTTTCTCAATTTTATTGTCTAGACTATTCTGAAGCCTTTGTAGCATATCCATCCAGTACTCCTTATCCCTCCCCCTCAAATACGAACCCAAAACATTAAGACCCAAAGGAAGACTACCCGCATGTCTTGCAACTTGAACTACAAGCATCTCAAAACCTTTAGGTGGAGATTTTTTCCTGAAAGCAGATTGACATAACATTGCAACAGCATGCTCTTCAGTTGGGAGACTAACTTCATAAATACGATCAATCCCATGACCCGTTAAGAAATGTTTATCATTTGTAACCACAATGATTCTACTCCCACTTCCAAACCATTGAGTTTGACCCACCAAAGAATCTAAGATCACTTGATCATCCAGATCATCAATGATGATAAGAACTTTCTGGTGTTGTAGCCTCTCTCCCAGTACACCTAAATGATCTATCTTTATGTTCTGCATCCTCAGAATTTCAGAGAGGAAGCTCTCTTGTAAATGTAGTTTCATGTTGTGGTCATCCGGATTGGCTCTACTATAAATTTCTCTACTCTTATATGTAAAAGCTTTGTCTATGAATTTGCTAACTTGGAAATTCCGAGAAAGGTTGTTAAACAGAGCTCTTGCGATGGTAGTCTTACCAATCCCTGAGGAACCCCATATACCAACCATTCTCACTTCCTCAGACTCCAATTTCAACAATCCACTCATATTTGCAATATGATCTTCGATGCCAACAAAATTTTCAAAATCATTGGGTGTAGTTAAAAGCAGTTTACCCAAAATATCATTGGCTATTTCTTCAATCATTTCTGCTTCGTCATTCCTAATAAGGTAAAAAATAATTTAACAGATATGAAATAACAATTTATTTCAAGATGTATCTAACTAGATTTTATCCCGCGGTACATCGCGGGTCCATATTTTGAACTAAAAAATAAATTTTAAGTTGTATTTTTTTTTTAATATTGTTTATTTTGTTAAGTGTTTTAGATTGTATAATTGTATTTTGATTGTTAATTTTAGGATTTCATCCGAGATATATATCGTCCCGTATTAATATCGATCCAAACCTCTCCTACCATATAACCCCGTCTCGTGAAATTAAATATCATTTTGTTATTTTTAATAATATTTTATTAAATAGACATATAATTTGAGTCAATTTAAAAGTTTAATTAAAGGGAAATTGTTAATAATGCCACTTTTTCAATGCCACTTTTCAAAAATACCCTTTTTTAAAACCTTATAAAAAATGCTCTTAAAAATATAAGATTTACCCAAATATGTATGTAATATTATTAAAACATACACAAACTACATTTCTATGTATCTAAAATCTTATAAATACTTTATAAATACCTTATAAATGCATTTTAAATACCTTTAAAAACCTTTAAAATATCTTGTAAAACCTTTGAAAAACCTTAAAAAACCTTAAAAATCCTTTAAAATAACTTGTAAAACCTTTAAAAACACTTTATAAAACCTTATAAATACTTGGATCGAGTCTTCAAGTAGTAGTTACAATCCATAAGTACCTTATAAACCTAATAAAACTTTATAAAAATTTCAGATTTAAAAAGGGGCATTTTTGAAAATGGACATCTAAAAGGGGCATTTTTGAAAAGGGGCATGAGAAAAGGGGTATTTTTGCTAATCTCCCTTAATTTTATATATAGATTTTTAAATTTTAGTTAATAATAATTAATTCTATATAATGATTTCCGAATTAATTGCGTATGACCGACAGTCAAAATTGAAGATTAATAACCGGATTAAGATTTGAATGGCCACGATTAAATATAGGGGTTGTTGAGATCTTTTAAGGAAATCGAATTGAATATGGATGTAATTGTGACAAGGATTATTTATGGTTAATATATTATGTTAAGATTTTTGGAAACAATTTTTTATGTTAATATCTTAGATTCATTTAATTTTGTAATTCTAAATAATTAATATCAATAACATTTGATCGTAAATAAGTTGAAACTCCAGAATTTATTTCATAAATGTCTCCGAAAATGTATATATAGATAACGAATTAGTACAAAAATCATACCAGGTCGCCGAATCAAATCCAAGCATATTAGCTACATCAGTCAACGCTTTCTTCCATTGATTTTTCACTTCCTCTGAATGTCTCTTGCAAGTCTTTTCAAAGATACTTCCAAAGTCACCGATTTGATACCTCACTTGGGAAGGATCCACACCGTAGAAAACCGGTATGACAATCTTATCATCGCAATTCACAATCTCCAACAACTCGTTAAGACACCAACTTGATGAAGCGTAGTTTTTAGAAAAAAGGACCACAGCGATCCTGGACTCCTTGATCGCTTGTTCAAGATCGGGCCAGAGAGAGTGGCTTCTCTCGATCTCATTGTCTCTGAAAGCAGTGATCAGTTTGCGATCGAGCTCCTTGAGAAAGTGGCTGCGGAATGTTACGCGGACGTCTTCTCCTCTGAAGCTCAAGAAAACATCATATAACCAATTGCGAGAAGAAGATGAAGAAGCCATAGAGAGAGAGAGAGAGTGTGAGAGGAGGAGAGAATAAGAACAAAGACTTTGGAGATTGTGATCGTAAGAAGGAAAATAGAGGAGAAGTAGTGAGGCGTCGTAGAGTCTCGTGACCAAGTCTAACGTAGACTTTTTTTTTGGCACCAATCCAATCTTTCTGCTGCGAGAGCAAAGATACCATTGGTGGAAAACAGTAAACTACAAAAACAGTGTATATAAAGAACAACTAAGAATAGCCACTCAAAAATATCTATATTCATTTATATACAATTTAAATGAATAAAGTTATTTTGTTGTCTTGTGACTCTTGTTGCTGGTTCAGCCTTGTGAAAAGAACAGGCCCGAAGTCAACTCATGTTCTCATCGTTATTGGGAAATTGAAACCCTAAGCAAGTTCATGCATGTTCAAATGGACTTAAATTAATATTACTAGATGAATACCCACGCGTTTTTGTGTTAAAAATTGCAGAAAAAATAAGATTATGGTTTTTGTTGCGCTTTATGTTATTTTGTGTGTGTTATTATATAATTAATAAACTCATATCTATTTTCTATAGTTATAATTTTTATGATTAGATTAATTCATCTTTGACTCGAAATATTAATTCTACGTTTTAATGTATAAACCTGATTAATTATATACCTACGATCCTAATCTTTCATTATCATGAATACATACAACAATAATATATGATATATTGAGACAATGATATGTAATTATGTTACTTATGTGGTTTGAAACTTGCCTAACTTAATTCTAAACAAACAATTTTTTGTTCCATTTACTCTCTCGTCATCTAGTACGCAAACCACATCATGATATGCTAGTACTTTAAGTCAATACTTTAGATCTCTCTCCTTGCATACAACCATATAGGAGAGAGTCTCGTGTTTTAAATTTCTTGGTATGTCCAACGTCTCAAAGGACCCTTAAGTGGAAAAATTTGTGTGTCAATGTTACCAACTTATCATAACGCACAAAAATAAAAAGAGAGAATGCCATATTCAGAAAACGTAACATGAAGTTAGGTAGCAAATATATAAACTATAACACAAGTAACTTTTTAGCCATTATCGAGTAATGACCATCGATAAAAAAAAAATTAATAATATAAGAAGAGTAGAATGAAAGTAGTGTTTAATACATTAGTATGATCTTTTACTTTATTTTTTAGTTTTAAAAAAAAATCAATTAAGAGTGAGATTAATGGAGAATTTAACACAACAAAAGACTTTTGATTTTTTTTCAATTAATTTTGCTAATCTTTTTATTTAAATAATGTAAAATGACACATGTCATTTTCTTATGTGATGATGTGGCACTCATATGGAGAGAGTTGACAAACTTTTATATATATGATTCTGGTTGTTGTCTGTTCTCGACTCATATTTAATTTAGCAATGCAGCATCACTTTTGTTGGCAAAAAAAACTTCTACTAAGAGTATAAAATTACAAGTGGAGACAGATTCAATAAAATCCTATAGATATATGATATTTAATTCCGCAAAAGTCCTCAAATTATCGTTGAATAGGGTTATTAAATTGATTTTACAAAAGGAGAAAAAATACACCACTAGCTAAGCATGGCTTCTTCTATACACAATAGAACGAACCATGGCTTCACTAGCCTAAAACAGAGGCATATACCAACCTGACTTCTTCCTATTCTTGTGGAATGGAATATGTAAGAAACATTTTATTTAGTTCTTCAAAAATATTAATCGATGTAAAATATTTTCTGTTTATTCTTGGAAAAGAAGTAATAATTGAGACCTATAAATGTACTCTGCTGGTTCACTAATAAAAGAGACCTATAAATGATGCTGCATAAAATTGTATGAAATGAAAATTTTTAAGCACAAGGTGATCGAAATTATAATGGCTTCGCCATAGGTTTTATAGTTAACTTCTTAATTTGATGCAACGCTAGAAACTAAATGCCTACAAATGAAGTTACCGATTAGACCAGCTTTGTGGTCGTGGCGGAGTGTATTTAAAAACACCAAATTGGCAAGTGATGATGATCAAAGTGATCCTTGCAGTTTGTCTACAGAGCCATGCAGCAGAATTGAGAGTTACAATCAAAATGATCACAAAAAAGAAAAGAATGTTGTGACATGTAATGTTATATTCAGTTTCAGCATCATGCTTACACTAAGATATAATTAATATCATCAAATCCTTTGCAAGATGAAGCTGCACAAACCACATTATCTAACTTGACAACTTGAAATACCCAACAACTTTATAAGCACATAAAATCAAAATGGAGACTGAAGGCAAGGGCGGCGCATCATATGAAATCACCAATTGAAACCAACTCTTTAGTCGGTGGCAAAATCTATTGAAAAGATTCCAAATAAAGAAGCTCCTCCTATGCTCTGTGGAACTATAATTAAGATTCCTAATGGAAAAATCGTTTGGGTTACCTGAAAACGTCTCTCTAGTTCTTGAAGAGGCGTATACTTCATATTGTCTTCAATTCGGCTACACAAACATGTATAAAAGAGTGATCCAGTTGTCAATCATACAAAAAGAATTGAGAAAGATGAATAGTATTATGTTCAACTAATGCTTACCCGCATTCGCTTCGTGCTTCTCTCTACATTGTTATCTACAGACTCTTCACTGTGTTCAATCTCATTAACAAGTCCTTGAAGAGGTGTATACCGGCGCATATTGCCTTCTCCAGCTTCAGAAACATGTGGAAGAGTACTGTTTGGTTTACCAAGTTGGTTGTTCTCCGCTGATGAACAGTCCTCTAAGAGTCGTATACCCCATCCTTTTAATTCGAATGTAGATTCTAAATCTCCACTTATAAGAATATTCATATCCACGTGATCGTAGTTCCCTCGAGCTAGAGGAGCATTATCTTCGTTTAAAGGGATACGACAGTCAAATATCAACAGATCACCCTTGCGAATTTCCATGAATCCATGTCCCTCACCAAAGGAATCAAAACTGTTCCCAAATCTGCCTGTGAACCGACTATTTACCTGGATGGATACTATATTGAAAGCGATTACCACCGCACAAACCCTAAATCTGAAGAATGGTTGAGAGAGATGTGTGGGAAGTAGAGGGATATTGGGGAGAAAGGTGGACGTTCCGGTACTACGGTAAGTGAAATATGATGGCACTTGTTCACCTGGAAATGCCATGGAGTTGAAAATAACTGACTCTTGGTGAAGGACAGTTTCTGGATCCAAGCTGAAGCAGCCCCTGAAATCGAGAACAGGGTCCAAACTATCAGCCTCCTCGGAAAGTGTGTCACTGGGATAGCCACTTAGATTAACTACAGTCAACGCCCCACAATCTGAAAAGTCAACTTCCCAAAGAGGTTTCAGTTTAGAAATGTTTAGGGATACACATTTTAGCTTGCTGCAACCTCTCATAGTTAGCTTAGTGAGGTTAAAGAAGTTCTCGATCTGCCAAGGAACCTCTTTAATCCCTGTTTCTTCTAGTTCGAGTCTTGAGACGTTGGTTGAGATTTCAGGAAAGCTCCTCAACCGTGAGCAACCTTTGAAACAAAGGTAATCGAGAGATTCGAGGTTGATTCGGGTGGGGAGAGACTCCAGATTTCTGCAGTATGTGATGCTCAACTCCTTCAGTTGATTGAGATTCTGAAATGAGGAAGGAAGCTCCACCAAACTTGGGATATTCTCGAGCTTCAAGCTCGTCAAAGTGGGAGACAACATCGCCAGGAAGGGCGTAAGCGGCTGAATCAAATCGACAATGATTTTTATATATAAAAGTGTTAATTAAAGAGGTTAGAGAAAACGTTAAGTTTAGAAGCTATACATACCTTCACTCCGTCCCATTGTTTCCCATCACTCTCTTCTTTTGATATGCTAAGCTCAACAAGATTCTCGAGGTTAGGAAATTCTTCAATGTTTGTTCCAAACAGCATGAGAATTGAGATGTTGGTTGAGAATTCGGGAAAAGTCCTCAACTCCGAGCAATATCGGAAGTTGAGGTGGTCGAGAGATTTGAGGTTGAAGCCGGTCGGGAGAATTTCCAGACTTTGGCAGAATTCCATGTCCAATTTCAACAATTTATTGAGATTTCGTATAGATGAAGGAAGCTCCACCAAACTCTTGCAAAAACCAAGATTAAGTGTCTCGAGATTAGTAGCCATGGAAAGATCTGGAATCTCTTTCAGGTTTGATGATCCAACCATATTCATTTCCTTTAGGCATGTAAGCGACTGTACTCAACAAAAATTAAACACACTGCTTAGTACAAATTACTCATCAAGTGACATATATATATTGTCATCAAAAAATTTAAATAAGCATTGTGAGCTCTCTCAGTAATAATAACATACGAAATTATTTTCAATACTTACCGCAACTCCTTCCCACAGCTTATGTAGCTTGCTATTCGGCATTTTGAGCGTGACAAGGTTTTCAGGACGAAAATTAGAAGGCATACATCTCATTGGAAATTTGGGCCAACACAATAGTTTGAGTTTAGGGGGCAAATAATCGAAACTTTCAGGTAAGTATAATCTGCCAGCTTCTCCAAAGTTCTTCGAATCAATTTCTAAGAAACGGAGATTACGCATCCCTTTGAAGGCACTCTTATGTACATGCAGCTCATCAATATTCCTTGTATCCAATGATATACCTGAAACCTTTTGAGTACCCTGAAAAATATGATAATAATGAGAAAGAGACAAAACCATACAATTCATCATTTATCAGATGACATTCTATTAACTTCATATGCTGAGTTATGAAAGGACCACATATTAAAAAAGAACTTACAATGCCTTCACTGAGTACATCACAAATATCATTTGGATCCACCAGAAATTCTCGTTTTCCAGGCTTGTCAATGGACTGTGTGTGAACAATTTTTCTGCCCATTTTTTGTAGCAAACGATGCATCTCCACATGACCCCCCCTGACATGAATGATGGACTTATCAACCAGGTTTTGAAGCCCAACATTAACACCCAATTTACTATCTGCGAGCAACGACTTGATGATTGTGACTTCCATATGATTGAAAATACATGCGATATGACGAAATATCTCTTGATCTTCTGCGCTACCTAACCCATCATAGCTGATTCTTAGTATTTTCTCAATTTTATCGTCTAGACCATTCTCCAGCCTTGGCAGCATATCCACCCAGTACTCCTTATCCCTCCCCCTCAAATACGAACCCAAAACATTAAGACCCAAAGGAAGACTACCCGCATGTTTTGCAACTTGACCTACAAGAATCTCAAAACCTTCAGGTGGAGATTTTTTCCTGAAAGCAGATTGACATAACATTGCAAAAGCGTGCTCTTCAGTTGGGAGGCTAACTTCATAAATATGATCAATCCCATGAGCCCTTAAGAATTGCATATCATTTGTAACAACAATGATTCTGCTCCCACTTCCAAACCATTGAGTTTGACCCACCAAGCAATCTAAGATCACTTGGTCATCCAAATCATCAACGATGATAAGAACTTTCTGGTGTTGTAGCCTCTCTCCTAGTACACCTAGATGATCGATCTTTATGTCCGGCATCCTCAGAATTTCAGAGAGGAGTTTCTCTTGTAAATGTAACTTCATGTTGTGGTCGTCCGGATTGGCGCTACTATAAATTTCCCTGCTCTTATATACGAAAGCTCTGTCTATGAATTTGCTAACTTGGAAATGCCGAGAAATTCGATTAAACAGAGCTCTTGCGATGGTAGTCTTACCAATCCCTGAAGAACCCCATATACCAACCATTCTCACTTCCTCAGCTTCTAATTTCAACAATCCACTCATATTTGCAATATGATCATCGATGCCAACAAAATTTTTAAAATCCTGGGGTGTAGTTAAAAGCAGTTTACCCAAAACATCATTGGCTATTTCTTCGATCATTTTTGCCTCGTCATTCCTAATAAGGTGAAAACTAGTTTAACAAATATGAAATAAAAATTCATTTCAAGATGTAACTAATAATGAGTTATAAAAAAATCATACCATGTCGCAGAATCAAATCCAAGCATATTAGATACATCAGTCAACGCTTTCTTCCATTGTTTTTTCACTTCCTCTGAATGTCTCTTGCAAGTCTTTTCAAAGATACTTCCAAAATCACCGATTTGATGTCTCACTTGGGAAGGATCCACACCGTAGAAAACTGGTATGACAATTTTATCATTGCAATTCACAATCTCCAGCAACTCGTTAAGACACCAACTTGAAGAAGCGTAGTTTTTGGAGAAAAGGACCACAGCGATCCTGGACTCCTTGATCGCTTGTTCAAGATCGGGCCAGAGAGAGTGGCTTCTCTCGATTTCATTGTCTCTGAAAGCAGTGATCAGTTTACGATCGAGCTCTTTGAGAAAGTGGCTACGGAATGTTACGCGGACGTCTTCTCCTCTGAAGCTCAAGAAAACATCATATAACCAATTGCGAGAAGAAGATGAAGAAGCCATAGAGAGAGTGAGAAGGAGGAAACTAGGAACAAATCAAAGACTTTGGAGATTGAGATTGTAATCGTACGTCTTGGTGATTTATATAAAATATTAATCACGTACGGCCACAAAAGTCTTCACTAGTCAGTTTCAATATTGTTTCTCAGACGCAACTTGACGGATATTTCCAATTTAATGTCTTAATCATCGTTGTACAAGGTCACAAGCAAATGTTTCATAGCCTCTTAAGTCTTATCCTTACACTACTACACAAAAGTCTCACTTTATAGATTTAATTTAAGAATTTAGAATTTTTAGAGTGGGGACATGAACCAAGAACATGTTTCCCTTGCTCATGGCCTTAACATTTTTGAGAAGCTCTAGTCTGAATCAGAGGACATGTATGGTCTAACTATGTAAATGTATTCAGTAACTCAATTGTTTTGACCATTTTACTGATTTTAGAATTAGGGTTGACAGAGAAACGTGTGCAGCAAGCTACCAAAATAGATTTTGTTGAATTACTCTGTATACCAAAACTGATTTCAATCCATCTTTGTGGAATTTAACCTGATTATATATTATATAATTTTAGAAATTAGATTTTAGAAACGCATATGATCCATCATGGACAAAACAAACACGGTTTGGAAAAAAGAAAGTTACAGAGACCAAAAGGAAAAACTTCAATTCTTTTAGACTAGAGAGTTCAAGGTAGTGATAATTAGGGTTTTGAAGTTGGCTTATTTATGGCACAACTCTCTTGTTACCATTGGGTTAAAGAAAACCTATTCATTATAATCTTGATGTCGATTACATGTGTAGAATTTGGCACAAACAGCTCATGAATTTAAAGGATAGACAATATCATTAGATGATTGAAGTATTTCATTCTTTGGTTGTGCTTTGCTTAACTGTTTCTGCTGTGTATCAACTACAAATTCCACAATTTTGTAATCAGATGCGTTTCTTAAGCATTTGTCATCAGTTTTACTTCACTAATAAATGCAAAAACATAACTTAAAAAGTATGAATAAAGATTATACAAAATGATGTTTTGGTTTACAAGAGTTCTCTTCTCTTACTACACTATTTTGAGTTCTAATATGATGATGATGCAATCAATATGGATTTCTTCATGATCAAATGATATGAACTTTGCCATCGCTGATCATCACTTTGTTATCATCTTGCAGTTTCTGCATAAAATCCACAACAGAGCACTAAGTTATGAAGAAATTGTATAAAAAGCAAAAGAATGAGAAAAAGCTTTGTTCTTAATTTGCGATTTACCTCTAAGAGAGCCATAATCTCATCTGCAGAGAAACGAGAAGCGCCAACTCCATTGTTGTTGACAACAGTCTCTATATCTGCAATCGAAATGTCATCGAGCCTGTGTGTCCTCATGTGCTGCCCAAACACTCTTTCAAATGTTTCAATCCTTGCAGCAGAGACCGTACCACTGAATTGTTCTACTGGAGGTTCATCAACTTCCATTGGATCTGCAGTTTCACTGAATGGACCAGCAAAAAGATAAAGAACAAAGTATTAGGGTTGAGAAAGCTGTTATATGAGTTTCCATGGAGATCAAATTAGTTACCCGTCGACATTTGCAGTGTCATTCTCTTCTCCATTTTCATTATTCCTGTGTTGGTTGCCTCTACGGCCACTTGGTGTTCTTTCTTGTTCTGCTTGCTCCCTTTGACGTTCTTCTTGCTCGCGATCATCCATCTCTGTTAATTCTTGATGATATATTGCAAAGTTCATAAGCTTCAAGGCAGCCTCTGCATCGGCTTTAGTAACCTTTCAAAATATAGTTATTACTTTAGAGTGAATCTGAATAGTACATATTCACCACCAGGGGGGAAAAACAAAAGATTTGAGTTAGTTTGCTACCTCTCTGCTCAACTTCATTTTGGCATGTGCAGTAGCAAGACGGATTATTGTTTCTAGAGTTCTTGCTGTTATCGGAAGTGTACCTCCAGTCTGCAGAGATTTTGATGGTTGTGTCAAATACAAGTTCCCAAGACAAAACCAAAACACTCAGTGTCCAATGTTATTTTATGAAATGAATTACCTTAGTATCGGAACCTGCATTTCTGAGATCTGCATATGCTTCTGCAATACGTTCCGATGCCTGCAAATTTAATAACAAAAGAGAGGTTTTAGTGAAAAGGTTATCAGATACATAAAAATTTATAAACTAGAGTTCAGTGTCTCACTTCATCAGTGAGCTTTGGCGTAATACGGTGCTTGGCATAATGAATGTACTTCTTCAAGAACTTAATCGTAAGGGTTTTATCATGTGTTTGGCCTCTTTTCTTCTTCCCATGTAGCGTTTGGTTATACTTAACAAACAATTCACTCTCACCATCATCCTCTCTCCGCGTATGGTAAGTTCCCATCTGGCCCTGCTTCACCTAAGGTTCACTCAAAAGCCAGATATATTTCAAGACATGTGTTGAGAAATATTTAGTAAAACATAGAAGCATGATTTGTTTTCTACCTCTATCGTTCTTGTACCGATGCATGCGCAAGACATGTTCTGAAATCAGGCTGTCGATACCAGCATCCATTTGATCCAACACAATGAACAACAGATCAAAACGAGAAAGCAGCGAATCTGGAAGTCCAATGTTCTTGTTGGAGTCAGTGATCTGTCATACTGCAGGAGCAAGAGTAGGATATTAGGGCAAAGGATACTAAGCCAGTAAAGTATGTAGATTTAGACAACTTTGGTGCGAACTTACAGTTCCGTATATGGGATTTGCAGCTGCAACCACACTGCATCTAGCATTCAGTGATGCATGGATACCGGCTTTTGCAATCGTTACAGTCTGTTGCTCCATCACTTCATGTATAGCAACTCGGTCCTGATCGTTCATCTTATCAAACTCGTCAATGCACACAATACCTTATCAGCGAGGACCATTGCACCAGCTTCTAGTCTTCGTTCCCCTGATGAAAATGAGAATTTGATTTTTATGAGAAATAGCACTTTGACCATTTCCAAATTTTGATTTTAGCATTTGAAAAAAAAAATGTTAAATGCTTTTGTATGCTTTTTACCTGTTTCTTGGTCAGAAGTCACAGCAGCAGTTAACCCAACACCGGAAGAACCACGGCCTGTGGTTGATATAGCCAATGGTGCAATATTCATTATCGCTCTCAGAAGTTGAGATTTGGCAACAGATGGATCACCAACCATCATCATGTTGATGTCTCTGAAAGAACAAGATTTGTTTGTGAAGAAAGAAAAATGAGTAAGACAAAAGTATCCAATGAATCGAATCTGAAATCTGTTTTCAAGCAAGACTTACCCTCTCAAGTGGGTTCCGTTCTTGAGGTTCTTTTCAACACCACCAAGCATCAGTAGAACTACTGCTTTCTTAATCCAAGTGTGCCCATAAATAGAAGGTGCTAAGGAACGAGCAAGAAGATCAAATGCATCATCTCTTCCTGCAATCTTTTTAATGTTCTGTAAGTCTCGTGGTGTGTATATAGGTGCATTTGCTTCTTTGTTGAGTAGAGCGATATTATTGGCTATGAGGATAGTCCTACACAGAAAGAGCTTGGTCAACATAATCACAGTGAATATAACATCTTGAACTTATGGATGCATAAGAAAACACACCTAAAGACTCCATTTACACTACCCTTGCTTTTTCCCTGGAAGAGCTTTGTAAATGCCGAAAACAGACACTCGATCACCTGGCTTGCATGAGTCAACAAGGTCATCCTCAGCTATGACATCAACGCTTCGTGGAAGCTGACCAGGAGCAGCATTTTCAGGCACTTCTTGGATTGACAAGGTCTGATGATCTTGTATTTGCACAGCCCATACTCAGTCACCAATAAGTTGCCCTTATCATCCTGAAAACAAAAACTCAATACTCAGTAACGGGCACATCTTCCAGCAGAAAAGGTAGATTAACAAAAACATGTAATTACCCTTGTGGGATAGACAGACCCAGTGGGTAAACCGGCATGAGATGTTATGTCTCGATAATCTCGATTCATAAATTCACCGGTTGATGGACAAAAGTGTACGCTTTTAACAACCTTTGGCCTCACAAGAGAGCCTGAAAGCAAAGCAAGAATCAGACACTTAAGATCTTCTCTAATCAAGCTTCTCTTGATAATTTGCCAGCGTAAATTGAAAAATGCTGAGCTTACATTTGGTGACAATGCCCTCAACACAGACCATAGATCCTATAAACTCAGAGAGAAGCTCTCTAGGAGTGACAACACGAGAGACAAAATAACCTTCAAAACCAACAAGGACTAGCTCTCCTTCCTTCAAGTATTTAGGATCAATACCGCGAGTAGCTTCAGTGGCTGCGTCGCAAAATGACTGCATATACTCATTTGGATTCTTCAGTATCCTATCCAAAAACAAAGCAATAAACTTTAAGGTCACAAAACAATGACAATTGCTGTGAACCCTTAAGAATCCCCAAATTCATATCACTAAATCTAACAAAACCCTAAAATCTGCCATAAATTCAAAACCTTTATACTAAAGAACAGATTAGAAATTCGAGGAAGATACAAATTGAGAAGGTGACGAACCTAGAGGCAGAATCGCGGAAGTAGTGATGAATGTCAGAGATATTAACAATGAGACGGTGACGTTTTTGCTGTACCAAAGCTTTGATTTCATCCATATACATCTACAAAATTCCATAAATATCCAATTTTTCTAGTTAGACAAGAACAGAAGCTTGAGAAATGTCTGGTGAGAAAAGTGAGAGAAATCGACTTACGTTATCGAGGAACTGGATAAAATCTCGCTTGTGGCGAAGCCTCGTCTCCTCCGGTACATCCATTTCTTAACAAATCTGGGTTCTTCGTAAACCCTTCTTCTTCTTCGTCTTCTTCTTAAAACCTCTGATTAGCAAATTCCGATTTGGAGAGGCATAAAGGCTTCTCCTTTGGCGGGATATTGTGAGATAACCTGTACCCTTTTTGGCGGGAAGAGTGTGTCATTTTGGGCCGACATTAATTGGGCCTTCTCTATGGGCTTTTGAGTAACCAAATTTGGGCCAATCAATTTCGGCCTTTCTTTACGCGCGTTTGATTGGCGGTGGTGTTTACGCTCTTCTTTTGCGCGTTTGATTTCCTCAAGGCGATATAACACCAAACCGGTACGGTACTTTCATATTAGATTCGGTTTACACTCTCTAAACCGAAAACCAGCATACTAAATCAATTCATATTTAGATTCGGTTTACTTTGAAAGAAGATGAGAATCCCCTAATTGGATTATTCTGACACTAACACCGTTACTACAAGATTCTCTCAGTTTCTGTTTTTATAAATTACGCAAATATGGAACGAACTAAGATACAAACATTCCGCAGACAAGAGAGAGAACAAACAAAATCTGAAATCTCAGCAACAGTAAGAAAACGGGGAATGGAAAAATAAGAACCGCAAAAGGCCAGAGGAAGAGCTCTAACTTGTGAAACCAAGAAGCTGCAAGTGGTGGTGATGGTGATGTAACGGATGGGGGAGAAACTAAAAGGTATGAAGAAATCAGGGTTTGAAGGCAGAGAAGGCGACGACTGAGTTGTGTCCACCGAACCCGAACGAGTTTGATATGGCTGGAGCAAAACAGAAAGACATTATTAATCAGAGAGAAACCGTTGTCAGTTTAATCGAATGAGAAGGTGGTCACGTTGTCACTTACCAACATCAACTTCGTGTTGCTTCTTCTCGTTTGGGACCGTGTCAAAGTCCACAGCTTGTTCTGGGTTCTACAATGAGAAACAAAGAGTGAGAGTCTAAAACAAAGACCAAGTTCAAATTTTTTGCAACAGTTCAAACTAAAAGCGGAATCAAAGAAGCCTTTTCTTGACTTCTTGTTATACGTACAAATTGGTTGATGGAAGGATGCAGCCATCCAGTGTTAATAGCCTTCACGGTAGCGATGGCTTCTAGACCTCCGGCTGCACCGAGGCAGTGACCTATCATAGACTGTAACAAAAAACTCTCATTTACAGGAAATGCATAGCAAACAAACACATGAAACAGAGGAGAAGAAGAACACTCAATCATGGTAGCATTGGGGACGAACCTTAGTGGCATTGATTTTGATCCCCGAAGTGCTCTTGAATACCTTTTTAATGGCATTAATCTCAGCAAGATCACCAGCAAGAGTGGAAGTTGCATGTGCATTGATGTAATTTACCTGAAAAACGTGGCATGAATATAAGTAGGGAAGTAACAGGAATTTAATGAAACCCTTTGTTTCAAATAGCCATAAAACTTCGCAAGCATGAAAAATTTGTGTTATTTACCTCCTCAGGTGATACACCAGCATCTTCAAGGCATCTCTCAATGCATGAAGAGACACCAAGCCCATCAGCTCTTGGATCAGTCATATGGTGAGCATCACAATTAACAGCACCTCCAAGGTATTCGGCTACAATTGGAGCACCACGTTTCATTGCATGTTCCAAGCTTTCCATCACCTATTCGAGCATACAATAATATCATTGTTAGGTCTTTCCGAAACAGTATGTCACATGTATGAGCCAATCTCATGGTGACATAAACCAACTTTGTATATGTAGTACAATTCAAGTGCAAGGAAACTTCCAGAGCTAATAGACTATGGGAACACATGTTTCAGCATTAGAAAGCAGTGTATCAAATCCTTCAGTTTCATCAGATTCTATGAATTAAGACCAAAACCAGGCTTTTATATACAAACCTAAACACAGAGCCAGCCAAATGCATGTAAATTCATAGTTTCAATGTGAGAGTAAGAATTCCTGAAACATACCAGAACACCAGCTCCTTCACCCATAACAAATCCATCTCTTGCTTTATCCCATGGTCTCGAAGCAGTTTGAGGGTCATCATTTCTCTGAGACAATGCCCTACAAGCAACAAAACCTCCCAACCCAATAGGAATAATAGCAGCCTCAGTCCCACCAGCAATCATCATATCAGCTTCACCGCGACGAATGTGGTTCGCAGCAGCATAAAAACAGTAATTCGAAGTAGCACAAGCAGTAGAAATCGAGTAGTTAGGACCCATAAGACCAAGATCAATGGCCAACAAAGCAGAACCCATGTTTGTTATAGCATAAGGTATAAAAAATGGACTAATCCTCCTATGACCCTTCTCAATCAAATTCTGAACTCCTTCTGAAAACACAGTTAAACCTCCCATTCCAGTCCCAACTAGTACTCCAGCTTTCCTCTTATCAATCTGCAACAAACCCAAAAACCAAAATCAAAACTTGGACTCCTAAACTCTTAAAAATTGAAACTTTATGATCAATTTGAATTCAAATGTTACCGTGTTAAGTTTATCACCACCAAGATTGGCACTTTCAAGAGCTTTTTTACCAGCAACAATGCAATACTTCAAGCAATCATCAAGCCTACGCTCATTTTTGCCATCAATATAACCTTCAGAGCTAAAGCCACGGATCTGACCACCGAATCGAGTAGGGAACTTGGAAGCATCGAAACGATCAATCAAACTGATTCCACTCTCACCAGACAAGAGTTTGTCGTAGTAAGCATCAACATCGTTACCAAACACAGAGACAAGACCCATACCAGTAATGACAACTCGTTTCTTCGGATCTGTTTCGCGTTTAGGAGCGGAAACAGTGGATGCTGATGCGGAGATGAAGGAGCGGTGTCTCCTCAAAGGTCTCGCATTGGTGGTGATTATCTGATGTGATTGACGATTTGATGGTAAGCGAAGTGGGTTTGGTGGAGAAGCACGGAGAGATGAAGATTGAAGAGCTTGCATGGTGGATCCAGAAATTGAGATTGAGATTGAGAGAGAGGAAGGCGATAAGTACGATGTTGTCAAAATGGTGTGTGATGTGTGTTTTGCGAAAGAGCTCAAGTTCGTCAGATTTCAGGAGCAAATGAGTATATAAAAACAGCGAAATATTCGAGGAAATTTTTGGACAGTAAATATTTTTCTAAGTCCCTTAATTTTACAAATGTTTTAGTTTTAGCCTTATAGTTTATGTTATTCTACTATTTTGTCTATAAAAAATAGCTTCGAAGCGGTGAATTTGGCACGAAAAGTCCATACCGAGCCGCATCATATCACATATGTAAACAACATTCCTCATGAATGGTTTTTTTGAGTTTTAATTAAAAGATGTTGACAAAAAAAAAAATAGTTTCGATCCGTTCTCTGATTCGTACCTCGATTAAAGATACATGTAGTTTTCGAATGGGGTAAAAGATATCATAATTTTATTCGCTATCACATATCAAAAAATTTCGATTGTCTATGGTTTTATCTTGGCCTCGATTACTTTTTTTAGATTGGATTTTTCAAAAACGTAGAATCGTTTACCAATTAGAATATTTTTTAGATTTCAAAAATAGATTTGTTTTACTCAAATTAACATTTACAGTTTTACACACATTGTTTTGTTTCAGTTTTCATCGGTTTGGCTTCGGAATTTTGTAAAGTTGTTTTTCGTTATTATAATACTATTCAGTTTTTAGATATTTTTTCATTTTGGAGTGATCCACATTTTAGATTTATATTCAGTTGGGTTGAATATATATATATATATATATATATATATATATATATATATATATATATATATATGTATGTATCCACAGGGAACAAAATCAGAAATAACAACGTTTTCATTTGAATTGGATGATAACACTTAGAATCATACAATGGTAATAATACAACTTTTGTACCAATTTTTTTACTTAGAAATTAATTGAGTAATTTTATTGTTTGTAGTTCACAAACATTTCAAATAAGTTTGATCATTTAATGTAACTTTTTTATTTTCGACGGGCCCAATTTGCCCCACTATGAAAAACAAGAGTCGAACTCTCGTGTTCATGATAAGAGAAGACAAGCCACTTGCCTTATGGTTCTTGGCTCACTTTATCTTTTTATTTTGCGCAAAATGGATATTATTATAAATCGAAATTAGTCTTCAGACGGAGAAGACAAAGCTCAATTCGTCTAAAGGCCCCTAAATGCTTACAAGTTACAACCACTTTTTGGCCTCGTAGTTTTATTCCCTCAAGATTTAGCCTCCCATAAAATAAGACATTTCAAAATTTACAATTGTGCTGGGTGTACTGTATTCTTTAGCTTGTCATTTGTGATTTGTAGTGCTAAAATTGGCAAAATATGTGATAGCATTTTCGTGAATACGTTATGCATAGTGTTTTACTTGTTTTACAAAAATGTGATGTCGGGGACTGGCTCGCATTCTTTGTCTCTCCTTCAAGTTTACTTTTCTTGTCTCTCTTTCCCTTTGTAATTTCGCTTTTACTGTCTTTTGTTCCTGATGATAATGGGTAACTTTTGTAATCTTTAGTATAGGTTGTAATTTTCCTTTGGAATGAAATTTTCACATTAAAACCAAAAAAAATAAAAAAAATAAAAAAATAAAGTTCCATGAAACTCATCAAAACATATTTACGTTATTAAGAAAATCTATGGAATCCTTCATGATATTAACTATTTACTCCATATTTTTATCCAATATTTTCTTTTACATACCGCCACTATGTTGGTCAATTTTGCAGGTAAGAAAATCTTGCGAAATTCCGTATTTGATATAGTTTAAAACCTTCTACCATTATTTATTTGCTAGATATCCTCTATTAATTTTTAAAAGTTGAAATCATGCATGTAAACAAATTAATTACCTATATAGGTAACAAGTAACCGGAAAATAAATACTTGAAATGTAATTAAATAGAATTGGGCAAGGTGGGTGAACCGGTATTCACGTGGGGGCATTGATCTTAAAATAGCCAAGGCAACAATCAAAGTTTTAAGTAGAAAGCTGGTATTAGTTGTTCACCACCCAAGTTTTTTTCTTCTTTACCAAAATCTAACACTTCATATAAAGTCTTATTGTTTTATGTTACTTGTTTGAATTATTAGTACAATTATTCACACACACAAATAGGTTTATAATTTGATTGTTTCAAACGTAACTTTTGTGTTTGTATTATCACTTACATGTGAATTTTATTATTACATTTTTGACATACAATTGTTACTATTCACAAAAAGTACTAGTTCTTTACATTTGCTTCGGTGCTTCGCAATAATAGCAGCCTTTACATTTGAGTTAATGTATCATAGTTTTCAGAAATACAGAAAGTAGCATATTAACATGTTTGAGCAAATGTTAAACTTTGTGTCTCAACAACACTATCAAAAATAGACGACAATAAAAGAAAATTGATGTTGCGAATTATCATTGGGTTTGATTGGGCCAAACCCAACACAATTTCTATAAACCCAACACAATTTCTATAAACCCAAACAATTTGAGAATGTGAAAGAATTCCACAAAAATTATATAATGTTATTGAACGAATCTAGTGTACTGTTGGGTATGGGTTTCATTCACCCCTTCTATTCATTCGGTTCAAGAAGAAGAGTTGACTTGACTTGAGACAAAACTTTATAGATCACATCGATTATAAACAAGTGGAATCTATGTCAACAAAAACCATCTGAGAACTGAGAGTGAGAATCAAAAATTTATCCGTTTCTAGCTTAACGACGCTCTACATTCCGGTTCGTATGCAAACTTTCTTATTTGTAACTCGAGACTCGGCTAATTATAGCATTTCCTGTAATCGCTGAACATCGGGTTATTTAAATAAGAAGTCCTCTGTTTTACCACTAAATACATCTTTGTTTTCTCTGCTCACATTTCGGTACCAACATGTATGACTCTCATGTGTATTAAGGTAAAAAGTAGGGTCTCCTATAAACAAATGAGGCAAACTATGAAATCAGGAGACAAGAAGTAGAAACTCTCGAATACCTTTGAGACCAAAAGCGACGAATTGTTTTATAGCTTCCAAAACTCGTTCGGAAGTATTTACAAAAGTACAAATACATTGACTTTTTACAAATACAACTCTACATTGGCTTTTGACTAATTCAACATCCGTTCGTATCGGTCAAATTCTACATTACATATTGACTCAAATTATACTAACAAAAATTGCCCGCCAAAAAAGACTTTGACCCTTATATAAACGATTGAGAGGAATTTGAGATTCGATTTGGTTGGAATCAATGACAATATAACTTATCACCAACTCTAGTTGGTTTGATTTTTCATCCAAAAGAAGTTAAATTGCCCAAAAATAACTCAACGCCCAAAAAACTAAGTTAATGAATGACCGTCACGTGGATATACACGTGTTGGTTTTCTTCTTTCGCCTAAAACCTAATTTTCAATTTCTTCTTCCTTTTGTTAACATCATGGTGATGATAAAATTTGCAGTTTTGAGTCATTATTTACACTAACAAAGTAAAAAAAAAACATAAACGCAGAAATGAACAAGAAATTTCATATTGAATTGAAAGAATTAACAAAAAAACATCAAATTCTACATATAAACTAGAAATACAAATGAAAAAAAAACAGAGAGTTGACAAAAAAAAAAAACTAACATTTGTTAGAATTTACAACCACAACAGAGGAAGAAGAAAGCAAGCTTAGATACCAAAACCATAGCTTCGATGATAGACATGATTCTGTATCTCAAAGTTTCCAAAAACGACATCTTCAGATTCAATCTCTTCCATTTTACCCCTCCAAGTCCCAAAAACTTCAATCTCGTCCTTTCTTTCGTCGTCTTCCATAGAGAAAACTTCCCTTTTCTCATCATCTTCTTAAATTATGGAGCTACTTCGAAAATCGAAATGTACAGAGAAAGGAATTAGGGTTATCCGGTTATGTTTTGTTTCAGGTGGTGTTGTAATAAAGTCTTCGAAGAGTTTTTTTTATACAATATAAAGTCGAGGGTATTTTGGTCATTTTTGAGTCATAGATTCGAAGCGCGTTTCCAAATTCCAATGATCAACGTAGGTGTTCTGACGTGGGAGCACTCTGTTTTACCTAAGAATTTTCGTGGATATATCTTTTTTATTCCTTTATATAGATTATATATATATATACATACCAGTTGTTTTTAGTGAGAATTTATTATTTTTAATTCAAATGATTATCCTAGTTCTTAGGAATGTATCCATTCTTTTTTCATATATTTTTCTAACGTCAGATTGCTTATTTTTATCGTATAGAAAATCCAGATTGCTTTTTCATTCCCACAAGTTTTTGGTAATTTTTTTTAAAAAGAATTTTTGATAAAGGTTTTTGGTAATCAAAATATTAGAACAATTGAAGCCCATGAAGGAAAGTTTGAGGCCCAGTTAAACAGTGCTGAGCGAATTGGAATCAGAAAATGAGAAGTAACTATAAGAAGACAATTAATTGGTCGCTACTCGCTAGGGTTTGTTTATTTAATCTTAATTGTTTTTGATTAAAATTTTAGTAACTGGTAGTGGTAGATTTTGTTTTTCTTTCTTAAACTTCATTTCATGAAGGTAATCAACTGTTAACAAGGTCATAATTGTACATTCATCTTCACTTAAACAGATGTGATCTTGAACCTCAATTTATTTTCCCTTTCTCGAAATGGAAAATTTGGGATTATAATGTAAGTTTCCATGGAACTTTAAATTCAGACCGTTGAAAAATTAATTACCGTTGTTTTTCATTAATAACATTTATCAAATAGACAATAGATTTGACTTTTTCAATAAAACTGTGTACTGGAGTTTCTTAATTGGGACATTCGTGGTATTACTATTAATAAAAAGCAGATAAAAATGGTAAGAACCAAAGACTTTTGACGTAGAACAACATCAACATGTGTAGACATATTACTTAATGCGTTTGTCACTTACTTGACACAATACATTATATATCTGTCGAAGGGATTTTCACTTAATTATCTTTCTACCTCTGTCTTTTAAAAAAATTCCGCTGTCTATATGTACATATATATATATATATATATGTCTAGAAATTTCCTTTTTTTCATGGATTTTTTGTAAGGTAATATAAAAGAGGATTCTTTATATTGAAAATCATTAACAAATGCCACTACATTTCAACAAAGAGGATTTTTAAGAAAATAAATTAATTTCTCCTTTCTCGTTTGCGAATAAAGCCAAATTTTTGGCATTAGATGGAGAAATTCAAATTCAGTCCGTTGAAATATTGTGACAAATTACTATAATGTTCTAGAGCTTCCTAATCGGGACATTTGTGGTATTACTATTAATAGAAACAAAAGATAAAATCAAAGAGCAACATCAATACAAAATGACATAACTTATATAAGCTTACCAACATAACTTATATAAGCTTATAAGAGTATATATGCGTTTGAGTTACACTATATATAATTTCATAAATGTCATGAATATGTTTAGATTTTGATCACAGCATAACTGGTAAAATGTCTAAAATATTTTTTCTATTTAATAAAAGCTTACCACGTTCAATTACAACAACGTTTTCAAATATAATTACTAAATGTATCTTTAAGTCCATCCACTCACGCTAAATGTATCTTTAAGTGTATCTTTAAGTCATTTTAAAGTCCATCCATCCACACGTATTTTCTGTTGAAATCATTTTTTCTCTTTAAATATGCATTTAAATCACATATAATATATACATATATCTACTAGTTTCAAAAGAAAATACTTAAAAGCTCCATCAGTGGTATTAGATAAATGAAATATATTTATTTTTATTATAATAAATTGTGTACAAGTTGAAAAATTAAGTATCGTATGTGTGTTAATAAATAACCCACCTGACACACCACATCTATAAATAGAGGGGGAACTTTGCAGAAAAATTAACAAATTGAAGAAAGACCTAGACATAAAAGTTTCCTCTCTTGTCTTCTGAATTCTAACAAGAAATCAAGAAATGGATCATGGAGAAATGAGCACCAAGGAAACTACGAATGTGAAGCTTATACCCGGGTACGAAAATGTGATGGAGCTCGTGCAAAGAAGAGAAGAGATGAAGGTAAGTCTTTATTTGAATTTTTTATTTTATATACTTTTTTGTCTACAAGTATTAAGATTATCGTTAAAAATTAGGCTGTTGAGAAGAGGATGAAAATTTTTATTGGAGAAAAAAAGATTGACGATCTAACTTGAGAGAATTAATTGAGTTCGAGAAAAAGCTTGAAGCTAAACAGCCTAAGGTAAGTAGTGCTCATTTTAACACTCTTCTGAATTTGTTTATGTTTATAAAAATCTAATTTTTTTATATAATTGAATTGTGTAGAAGATGGAAAAGATTTGTTTTGAAAGACATGACAGAGGAAACCAAAGATCTTATAATTCTGAAAGAATTTGTAAACTTTAAGATTGGAGAAATGCAGACTAAGATTTCCAGTCCTCAAGACGACGAATTTGATATTATAATGGAAGTAGGAAAAAAGGAAGATGTGAAGGTAAAATGTTGGTTAATTTTTTTATTTTTTTTAATTTCTACACAACATTAATTATAATGTCTTAAACATATAGGGTTTGAAAATGAGAGATGAAAGTGTTCATTGGAGAAAAGGAGTCTGAAGACATACACTTGGAGGAATTGATTGAGTTCAGTAGAAAGCTTGAAGCTCTTCACCCAAAGGTTAGTAGAGTTTACCATTTTTGTTTATTTTGGTCTGAAAATTGTTTTTCTAAGTTTTCATTTTATTTCCTTGAAGAGCGTGAAAGATGTGCCTTTGGACGACATGAGAGAAGAAATTAAAGATATATCATATGAAAGAAATTGTTAAGAAAATGATCGCAAAGAGGGATCCTACCTCGTCTAAAACGACGATCATCGACGATTATTTTTAATTAGAAATTAGTAACATATAAATTCATTATCATGGATCATATATGATCACTTTACGCTTGTTTCTCTCTTCAAAATATTTACAGAATAATTTGGGATTATTTTAATGTCAAAGAACTTATGTTGTTAGTTGTTACTTTATAGTGGGATTCTCATAATTAAAAGATATATTTTAATGTCTATTGCGTAAATTTTCATACTTTGGTTTTCAAAGTTTATAATAAGATGTGTGCATGACTACTATGCTAAATTTTGTTTTATACCAATTTATTGTAAAGAAGTTATAAAAAAACATATGAGATCTCGCCTATAGGTTACAAATTATAAAACATATATGGTGCGTCTTCAAATGCGTCAAACATCAGTATTAATTATGCAATTTAATAAAGTTTTGTTTGAAAATTTGAGTCGCTAATTTGATCCAGTGGATACAAAAAGAATAACATACAAAAGAGTTTGATAAGAAAAACAAACTTGTGGTTATCATCAAAAGACACATAAGGTAATATAGCAAAGACTTTTGTCGAAGAACAACACCAACATGGAAATACATTGTTACTGTCTTTATGAATTCCACATACTGGACACGGTATACATCTATAAATGGAAGAAAGGATTAACAAGAACGAAAGAAAAAGAGCAAAGAGAAATTAGACATCCAATTATGACTTAGTCCATTTATATTCTTTTATATATTGCGATATTGAAAATACTTCTTTTTCATTTTCTTATTATACAGTGTACGTTTTGATTAAGTTTTGAAAGGCTATAGCTTCTTACCATATAAAATTAATGTATTTAAAATATACACAACTCCATCACAATATCTATATAGAATATATATATATATATATATATTATATATTGATTAAAATTTTACATTATTGTTTCCACTATAATTTTGATTTTGTCTTCACAAAATGAATTCTAATTGTTTCCATTAGCGAAGGTTAAGAATTTTTTTGTTTTGCTCAAAAAAAAAAAAAGAATTTTTGTTGTTGTTGTTGCGAATCTTGGATAATCTCTGTTACTAATCAATGTGGGTCCAATAAACCGTATTTACTGGAATAAACCAAACCAAATAGATATTTTAATGTAGTAATTAAGTTACTGTACAAGCTTAAACCCTAACGGTCAAACCTTGTTACTAAGCCTTGAAGTTGGTGCCTTAATACGTTCGTTTACTATTCCTTAAAGTGATCCTTCTCATTCCCTTTCTTCTCTTCATTTTTGGCCATGGTTAGGGTTCCACCTTCTAAACCCTCCAAAACCGTCGAAGAAGATGATCCAAAGTTGGAAACTTTCAAGGAACCTAATCTTGGTTCCATCGACTCGTCGTTTGGGAATGGCGAGGAACGTAATCTTAATGTCGTGGATCAACCACCAGCAAAACATTCAGAATCCGTTGTTGTGATCAAACCAAGGTGAAAACTTCCGAGGTTCCTCCTCTTGACCTTTCTTTTAAAGATTCTGTTGCTGGTTTTGATTCCCTAGACTTGTTTTGGAGAACTCCGAGTTTTGAGCAACTTAGAGTGGAATTATCCGAGGAACCTCTTGATCTTTATTTGAAAGATTCGTTCAATTCCATCGGCTCTTTACGTCATGTTTATGTGGCTACTGAGCCAGAATGGGTTGTTTCTGAGCCATTTGTGCCTGTTTCTTGTGCCACCGTGAGTTTCAATGAAATGGAGGTGAAGAAGAGAGATGATCAAAAACATAAGGGTGAGAAGGCCAAAAAGAAAACTCCTAATGATGGAATCTTGAGCATTTCTTCTTCAAGAAGAGCTGAAGAGAAGAAGAGTGATGATGAAGATGGCAAAGAGGGCGACGATAAGAGAGTAGAGATAGTTTGACAACAAAAGAAGCCACCATGTCAAAGGCGTCAAAGGTCATTACTAACATATCATCATCACCATAACAAGTTATGTTAAACTATATATGAAAATATGTTTTAATTTTGCAGGAGCTTCCTCTAGTTCCATCTGTGAATCTTGAGTCTTCGGTATTGTTAAAAGTCAATATAATTCTATTTGTGTACTAATATTTCTTCTTCTGTGTTGATTTCTTAGCACATTTCTTTGGTTGAACCAGCAGGTGTTAGAAGAAGAAGTGCAGAAGAATATGGCAACAAAGAGAACAAGTGAAGAGACAAAAACGTGTAGCACAAGTAACAAGAAGAATAAAAACGAAGTGGTGTCTCCTAGAAGATTAGAAGCAGAAACATGGCTCTCTCTTCCATACCCATATGATCATTATCCAATAAGATATCAGATTATTCAGAGGTCAAGTCAGATGCAACATTCCAGTATTGGAACAGAGCCTTTAGTTACATTTCTAGGTCAAAACCGTTTTAAACCAACCCATTGGAGGTATAGTTGGTCTCAGTGAGTTTCCTCAAGTTATTGAGGAGCATTGTTCTCCTCCCAATGTACCACCACTTCCCAACCTCAATCTCAAAACACACCCGCAGCCTCACCTCGGTGGTAGAGTTCGAAAGGAGCAGCCTTGATAGCTGACTGAATTTGAAGTTTTGAAGGCAACTACTCTCGCAAAGGTTTTCGAAATGTTCTGAAAGAGGCTTTTTTTTTTCTTAAGGTCAATAATGTTAATGGATATTTTAATAAATGAGCCCATTTAAGCTGTAAACGAAGACAAAAAAAAGTCCCACATCGTTCAACTAAAAAACAGAAGATGTGTTTATATATTGGTAGAGTCGTGTAAGTGATTGTCCCTTCGGTGACATCCGATAAAATTGGAACGATACAGTGAAGATTAGCATGGCCCCTGCGCAAGGATGACACGCATAAATCGAGAAATGGTCCAATTTTTTTTGCAAAATTTTTCCAGCTTTTTTTATTTTGGATATACTGTCTTGACATTTTATGCACCTGTCTTGATCAATTCTGATTCATTGGATGGAAACGGGGTTTTAGGGAATGAGGAAAGTGTATAGGAAGCTGATTACTTCGTAGAATCACATTTGAATATGTCTTTGAATTGCAGGGAATGAGGACATATGATGAAGTTTTAATTTGTGCGGTTGTACCATCCAAGAAGTTACCCAATGTTTTACTCTACGAGGATGATGGTGTTCTTGTCTCAGATTGTGGTTTGGTCATTTGATTTTGCAGCAAAGACGAGGCTTTTTCCCTTATGTTTCTGTTTGTTTGTGAATTGGCTCTTGAGGAGAAGAACGTCAATGTGCTTGCTTACAATTGGTGGGGAGTTTTTTTTTTTTTTTGTTTCTTTTGTTGGTGAAGTGGGCATTTTAACCGAACCGACCCGAACCAACCAAACTCAAACCAACCCAGACCAAATCCGGATTTACACTCAAACTATTCGGTTAGGTTTCTTCTCAACCCAAACGGTTCGGTTCAAAACCGCACCAAACAGATAATCCAATGTGTTTTTATTAATATTTTTAATACATTGGATAATCCAATTAAGTACTCTTTAGAACCGAACCGATAATCCAATTTTACTCTTTAGAACCTACTCAGTATCTGATGCCCACATTGTATTTGCCATTTACACGTTTGGTTGTTTTTTCAATTACTTATCTAATAAATTAATCATGTAAAACTAAAAATTAAATTATCTCCAAAACTATAATCATAGGTTCTAAAGAATAAAATTGTAAAGACATTAAAGATTTTCATAAGAAACAAAAAAATTTCATATTTCGTTCCTTTTTTCTCTTATTATTGCACTCATTCTCCCCTTTAATAAATTTTCGTCGTAAGAATTTTTAACATAATCCTCTTATTTTATTTGTTTTATTTACATAATTAATTGATTTTCTAGAACAAAAAAAAACGAACCAAACTAAAACCAAACCAAACCAAACCAAACATATTAACCGACCCGTACGCAAACCAAACTAACTTCAGTTGATTGTGGTTAGAGTTTTATGGAAACCAAATAACCAAACCGAACTAAATCCGAACTTAAACCAAAATGCCCACCTCTAGATGAAATCTTGAATCAGCGTCTAAAACGACAAAGAAAGTTCCGAGAAGCCTCACAGCTTCAGATCCGTCGCAGCTCATGTTGCAATCAATACGACCATGACATCAACTCAATTTTTGGGATTAACTTGTTGAATAGCTGGTGGATAAGAAAAGAGCGATAGGTGAACAAGCATGACTCTATATCTTAGCCTGGAGAGGTAAACCTCTATATATACACATTAGTCTACTATTCCGATTGTTTTCTGATTATCTTTATGAACACTCTTCAGTCACATTTCGACAACTTCGGATAATTTTTTAATTCAAAAATATATATTGAGGTAATAAACAAAGTGGACCATATCGGCTCTGATGTCCCTTCCTACGGTGGATCCGGTCATGGCTAAGGAGTTTGTTTGTTTTCCGGCCAATTCTATCGGTTTTCTGTTTCAGTTGGTGATGGTGCTCGGCAACGGGTTTCAAACGTTCTCTGGGTTATGTGATCTTCTCGCGAGTTGTCGTCCTCCTCACTTGCATCAAGATCTTTTTGTTTTGGCTCTCTTTCTATCAGGGCTTTGGGTTGTTTCTCTTCCTCTGTTTGAATTAGTTATTCTTAGTGGATGGAGCTTTTGGCTAGAGAATATTCCCCACATGTCTAGTTGTTTAGTTGCGGAGAAGGCCAATGGTTGTCTACGAGTTATCGTCATTTGTGTCGCCGCCCGTCTTCACAGTTTGTTGTGCGGGAATTCACTGTGATGAGCTGAAAAACTTGAAGCAATGATGCGATGGTTCCTCATTTGTCATTGTTAAAATCTGTCCTAGGTGTAGGATTGAAAATGTAGTTTGTTTCTCTTATGGTTCTAAGTTGGTTTCCCCTTTGATTGTAATTTGTAAACATTCCATTCCAATATTCAAATATATATATATGGAAGCCCAAAAAATCGAAGGAGTACCATATTTCCCATGCTAAAGTGTAATATCTTTTAGGACGCAATACATGCTGTAATGTTTGGAAATTGTTTTTGAGAAATAATGTCTTTTAATAATTTTAAATCTGATTTTTTATAGTCCAGCCCACACTATATATAAAGAAATAATCTATTCTCATAAAGAAGAATATCTTGAAATAAAAAATAATATGAAATTTCTCCCCATCTCTACTTGTGTTTAAGATCTCAAAATCTATATTAGTTGTTTTTACTCAACTATATATCGAGATTTATACAAAGAAAATATAATCCAACGTTAAACTCATGGGACATTTTTATGCCAAATTTTACTGTTCATGATTGCATATATTCTAAATTATTAAAGCAAAACTTATTTTATTATGAAAATATGACTAAAAAGAAAAAAAAAAAGATGAAAGACACAACTTTATTTCACTAGAAAAAACCAAAATTATTCCATAACTTTTTAAAAGAAAAAGAAAGAGCGACAATAGATAAGGATTATATCTTTTTTTTTTGAATAGTTCCGAGAAATTTAGGACGACCTCATCCATTTTTATGTAGGAAAAAAACTCCGCCCCTGTCTTCTGCTTCTTAATTCACATAATTTGTACTCTTCGAGAGAGCTAAGAGAGACAACGAACCTCCAGCACTACACGCTTTCTCCAAATCATTTTGGAGATTCTCGAGGTTTTTCTTAAAAACAACTAGGTCCTCCAACTTTAGATCTGAAATCTCCTTCATGTTGTAGTTTTTGATGTTTTGCTTGCCCTCCCTCAAAACCTGAAAAATTTACAAAACAAATCTAATGTTTGGTGGACATAAAAACAACAAAATATATAAAGGCATTAAATAATAATTTTTTAAATAAATAAAACTTTAAAATGGATAATGTGATATATTGGGTTCAAGATCTACTCCGAGGGTTTGGTTAAAACTAGTTGGTTCAATTGTCTTTTAAATTGGGATTCTTTTAAGGTTGTAAACTTTCTGTGTATAATAAATGTAGTTTTAGCAAAAGTATGTTATAAAGAATATTAAATTTGGGACTACATACCTTCTCATACGCTTTGCTTTGTTCCAATTCTGCTATGAGACAATCAAGTTTGGCTTGATTCTTGAGAATCCTAGTTTGCCTCGTCGAAGATCTTACTCTCCTAGCACTAGATTTTCGGAAATGCCTAACCACATCGTCGGAGCTTGGACTAACGTCAGCGGAGAGGTTGATCAAGACACCAGCTTCGGTACTAAATGTATCAGCATTCTTGAAATGCCTAACCCATTTCTTTCTTTTTTGAAGTAAAGAAAAAAGTTTTATGTCTAGAGAGAGAGATTTTGTTGTTGTTGTTGTTGTTAGTACTTTTACTCCGTTTTATAGATGAATTGAGTTAAATTAGTTCAACGCATAATCAAAATGTCTATCTATGTTGGTATTTCTTTCCACTAAAATATTGAATTTACTTTTACATGTATTTATTATTCAACTAATACCATAAATTTCTTTATTAAAAAATCAGATTCGACATGTTTTATCAAAACTCTCAGTCAAAAGATGTTATTAGAACTAAATTCTTACAATATATTAGAATTACTCAGTCTGTGACGCAATCTGTGACGCAATCTATGATGTCAAAACTATGTTACATTTTGTAGTACTTATCTTGAATTAAATAAGATTAAGAAATAAATATGAATGGTGTGTTACTATGGCAAATATCTACTACCTCTAGATTTCATTCCATATACAAAAAAAAATTATCTTAAAATGATAATTCACACGCGTCAAATATGTGCACCAGAGACAAAATAAATACTTTTCAAATTAAATTAAAATAGAAAACCTAGTAAAGCTTACTAAACATAACTTTTTTTGAAAAAGAAAAAACAAAGTTTTTGTTTATTCAAAAAAAATGTTACAAATATACAATTCCTTACTTTTTTTTGGGCAATAAAATGTTACAATTCCTAACGGACGTCATAGAACCTAAAACATCATTTTAAGATAATTTTTTTACATAAATTATATACAATTCCTTACTTAAAGTCCGAAAAAAACGTCAAATTTTTTTACTAACGGACGTCATAGAACCTACTGATTGTCATTAACGTTTGTTTAACTAACCCGAACAAAATCTTTAATCTTGAACCCTAAATTCAATATATAGAGAAAATATGACATTTTTTAGGTGTTAATAGACATCCAAATTTGAAAACAAAAACTACCGTATATTATAAAATTGGAATGGTAACCTCTACATAATCGCCGCCTAAGCCGCATTTTATAACATTGTTATCACTATTACGTAAATTTTAAAGATATGACTTATATCGTGAAGTAAATTATGTAGTTAAAATCAGTCACAAATCACAATAATTTGTAGTGATTAACTTCTTGTGCTTGTATAATCTACTTGTTCTCGCGAGCACCTTAATCCTTTTTTCAGCTATGAGCATCTTAAATCTATCACTTAGCAATGATACTAATGATTCAAAGACAGAGATAGAATAACGTATATGATGTCCATAAGAAATAGTCAAAACTCAAAAGATATGGCGCCAGATTTAGGCTTGGCTTTTCAATAATACAATTAATAAATACAAAATCCCAAGCTAAATAGGCTCTGGCTTGTCAATAATACAATTATTATAAATACAATCCCAAACTAAATACAAAGTGACAGTTTGGCCGAGTGGTGGTCTAAGGCGCCAGATTTAGGCTCTGGTCCGAAAGGGCGTGGGTTCAAATCCCACAGCTGTCAATTATTTTTTTGATCTTTAACTCCTTTGTTCATATAATTCTTTATTTTAAAATCAATATAACACTTTTCGGATATTCTAAATATTTTGACCCAAACAAATGGGTCAACTTTAAGTAAGCATGAATGGAAAAATTGGTAATATTATTGTTAAAAAAATGGGTCAACTTCAAGTAGAACAGTGCATGCATTCTGAAAATATATATGGAAAAATCAAAATATTAATGGGTCAAGATCTGGTAAACATAGAAAGAATCCAGAAACAGGTTGTCCAAATCAACTAAATCATATATGGACAGATTCCTCAATAGTCAATAGTCAATAGTCATACATATTCCATAACTTAAATATAATCTTTTTATTTTATTTTAAATCGCCTATTTTTCCATCCATTCGTCCAATCTCCAATGTGAAGGCATAAAATTGGTTTCAACTATAATTACAAAAGCATCACAAATGCTTACAAATTATGGCTTAATAAATCATATATTTTTCCATCGATTTATTTTAAATCGCCTATTTTATCACTATCTGAATAAGAATTGAAAATAAATAAACTATTGACAAAGAATTTTTTTGCCTTTTGATTTTGGCTTGGGCAAAAAGACAAATAAAAATGTTTGGCAGATTGCTTATACAAAACACAGATTGTTGATAAAAAAAAAAAATCCCATCAAGACAGCTGATGGGCTTTTGATTCCTCTAGTCAGCACTTTGAATTAACACGAAACTGAAATATTTAGAACGAAAAAATATGATAATGGATTTGTCACTAGTCAAATACTATGTTGAGTGACAATCTTTCAGTTTCAACGATTGCTACTTTGACCAATAACAAAATTAAAGACTTTTCGAACACACGCATAAATATATATAGTTCAACAATCTGTGTTTTAATGGCTTATATAATCCCTATATGAACAATTTGAATTATAAAAAAAAACAAGCATCTATAATTCAAATTTTCATATAGGGATTATATAGCCATTATAATTTTTAATGGCTAGTTTAAAACGACTAGAATATATATTGTTTCACTCTAGTGAATATACTGAATTTGAATAAAACGTTGGAGGCAGAATAAAGTGATTTAGCCTTGTAAAAATACTTTGTATGTTATATTTATATATCACTCACCTAAATTTTTTTTAAAAAACTACATAAATAAATATAGAAATGTGATGATTTTTTTTAACAATAGTAATATTCAGATTGAATTTGGACGGCGAAAGAAAGCTAATACTAACACAAACTAGTAAGTAGTCACTATATATTCTGGTCCCATGATATGGCTACATAGTACATACATGTGAGATTAAATGAATATGATATATAATACAAGCATAGGCTTATACAAGCATGTATATGACTATGAAGTGGGAATACATTTAGTGCCTTTATATGGCAACTTGACAAATTATCAATTATGTGAATTATGAAACTTATATTGCGTCTTGGCCTTTTCACATCCGTGATCTTGGCAATATGACCTCGTGTATATATATATATTGTATTCACATAATTGAAATTCCCTCATAATATTTCTCACCAATTCAACTCATCTAAACCATGAATTCACTCTCAAAGACAATTTGATTTAACTCTCATTTTTTCTTCTCCTATTGCACTTGCGAAACAGAGCTTTGAACCAGAAACTGAAGCTTTAAGATCCTTCAAGAATGGTATTTCCAACGACCCTTTAGGAGTATTGTCGGATTGGACCATCACCGGTTCGGTACGACACTGCAATTGGACCGGAATCACTTGCGATAGTACCGGTCACGTTGTCTCGGTTTCCTTGCTGGAGAAGCAACTTGAAGGTGTTCTGTCTCCAGCCATAGCAAATCTCACCTATCTCCAGGTTCTTGATCTCACTTCAAATAATTTTACCGGAGAAATACCGGCTGAAATCGGAAAGTTAACCGAGCTTAACCAGCTTATTCTTTACTTAAACTATTTCTCTGGTTCGATTCCTTCTGGAATTTGGGAGCTAAAGAATATTTCCTATCTTGATCTTAGAAATAATTTGTTGTCCGGTGATATTCCTGAAGCAATCTGCAAAACCAGTTCTTTGGTATTGATAGGGTTTGATTACAACAACTTAACCGGGAAAATACCAGAATGCTTAGGAGATTTGGTTCATCTCCAAATGTTTGTAGCAGCTGGTAACCGGTTAATTGGTTCGATCCCGGTATCAATTGGTACCCTGGCTAATCTGACGGATTTAGACCTGAGTGGTAACCAGTTAACCGGAAAAATACCTAGAGATTTTGGAAATCTCTCGAACTTACAGTCTCTTATTTTAACTGAAAACTTGTTGGAAGGAGAAATACCGGCTGAGATCGGAAACTGCTCGAGCTTGGTCCAACTTGAGCTTTATGATAACCAGTTAACCGGGAAAATACCAGCTGAATTAGGGAATTTGGTTCAGCTGCAAGCACTCCGGATATACAAGAACAAACTTACTTCTTCAATTCCATCCTCATTGTTTCGGTTAACGCAGTTAACCCATTTGGGGTTATCAGAAAACCAGTTGGTTGGACCGATATCGGAAGAAATCGGTTTTCTTAAGTCACTTGAAGTCCTCACACTTCATTCCAACAACTTCACAGGAGAGTTTCCACAGTCCATCACAAACTTGAGGAACTTGACAATTGTAACGATGGGGTTCAATAATATTTCCGGCGAGCTTCCGGCGGATCTAGGTCTTCTTACAAATCTTCGGAACCTTTCGGCACACGACAATCTTCTTACCGGACCAATACCTCCTAGCATAAGTAATTGCACCAGTCTTAAAGTCCTGGACCTGTCTCAAAACCAGATGACTGGCAAGATCCCGCGGGGTTTCGGACGGATGAATCTTACGTTTATTTCTATAGGGCGGAATCATTTTACCGGTGAAATTCCAGATGATATCTTCAACTGTTTAAACGTGGAAACTCTTAGTGTGGCAGATAACAACTTAACCGGAACTCTCAAGCCATTAATTGGGAAGCTTCAGAAACTCAGGATTTTGCAAGTTTCATATAACTCTCTCACTGGACCGATTCCTCGAGAGATCGGGAATCTGAAAGATTTGAATATCTTGTACCTTCATGCTAATGGTTTTACAGGGAGAATCCCGAGAGAGATGTCGAATCTCACTCTCCTCCAGGGGCTACGGATGCATACAAATGATCTTGAAGGTCCAATTCCTGAAGAAATGTTTGATATGAAGCAACTCTCAGTTCTTGATCTATCCAACAACAAATTCTCAGGTCAAATTCCTGCCTTGTTCTCCAAGCTTGAGTCTCTTACCTACTTGAGTCTACAAGGAAACAAGTTCAACGGGTCTATCCCTAGAAGCCTTAAGTCTCTTTCGCTTCTCAACACATTTGATATCTCCGACAATCTTCTCACCGGAACCATCCCTGAGGAGCTGTTATCTTCGATGAAAAACATGCAGCTTTACCTCAACTTCTCAAACAACTTGTTGACTGGAACCATCCCAACCGAGCTTGGAAAGCTTGAAATGGTTCAAGAAATCGACTTTTCGAACAATCTCTTTTCCGGGTCTATTCCAAGATCTTTACAGGCCTGCAAAAACGTCTTCTCACTGGATTTTTCGCGGAACAATCTCTCGGGTCAGATCCCAGATGAAGTCTTCCAACAAGGAGGCATGGATATGATCATAAGCTTGAACCTTTCAAGAAACAGTTTCTCTGGTGGAATCCCCGGGAGCTTCGGGAACTTGACGCATTTGGTCTCCTTGGATCTCTCGAGTAACAATCTCACAGGTGAAATTCCAGAGAGTCTCGCGAATCTTTCGACTCTGAAACATCTGAAACTAGCTTCAAACCACCTCAAAGGCCATGTTCCTGAAAGCGGTGTGTTCAAAAACATCAACGCGTCTGATATGATGGGAAACACAGATCTATGTGGTAGCAAGAAGCCTCTCAAGCCATGTATGATCAAGAAGAAGTCGAGCCACTTCTCGAAGAGAACCAGAATCATCGTGATTGTTCTTGGATCAGCCGCTGCTCTTCTTCTTGTGCTGCTTCTTGTTCTGTTTCTCACCTGTTGCAAGAAAAAGGAAAAAAAGATTGAAAACTCATCAGAGTCCTCATTACCAAATTTGGATTCAGCTCTGAAGCTAAAGAGATTCGATTCAAAAGAGTTGGAACAAGCAACAGATTCTTTCAACAGTGCTAACATCATTGGTTCAAGCAGCTTAAGCACAGTGTACAAAGGTCAGCTAGAAGATGGGACAGTGATTGCAGTAAAAGTATTGAATCTGAAGCAATTCTCTGCTGAATCAGATAAATGGTTTTACACAGAAGCTAAAACATTGAGCCAACTAAAACATCGAAACCTGGTGAAGATCTTAGGGTTTGCTTGGGAAAGCGGCAAAATGAAAGCTTTAGTGCTTCCATTTATGGAGAATGGAAGCTTGGAAGACACGATTCACGGCTCTGTTACACCGATCGGGTCGTTATCCGAGAGAATCGACCTCTGTGTTCATATCGCAAGCGGAATCGATTATCTTCATTCTGGATTTGGTTTTCCAATCGTTCATTGTGATCTGAAGCCAGCGAATATACTCCTTGACAGTGATCATGTTGCTCACGTAAGCGATTTCGGAACTGCTCGAATTCTAGGTTTCCGTGAAGATGGAAGCACCACAGCTTCAACATCAGTCTTCGAGGGTACAATTGGATACTTAGCTCCAGGTAAAATACTCAAAACCCTAATTTTCACACTCAATTTTCAAAGCCCTAATTTTACCATCGACTTACTTGAAATACACTCTTATTTTTCATGAACAGAGTTTGCTTATATGAGCAAAGTGACAACAAAAGCTGATGTATTCAGCTTCGGGATCATAATGATGGAGCTAATGACGAGACAGAGACCAACTTCGTTGAATGATGAAAAGTCACAAGGCATGACTTTGCGTCAATTGGTAGAGAAATCAATTGGAGATGGAAGAGAAGGGATGATTAGGGTTCTTGATTCAGAACTCGGAGATGCTATTGTTAGTCTGAAACAGGAAGAGGCCATTGAAGATTTGTTGAAGCTTTGTTTGTTCTGTACAAGCTCTAGACCTGAAGATCGACCTGATATGAACGAGATTCTTACACATCTGATGAAAGTTAGAGTCAAAGCAAATTCATTTCAAGAAGATCGTAACGATGATCGAGAAGTTTAGCAGCAAAGCTTTCTTCTTTGATGACAATTTTTCGAATTTGCAAACTCTGTTACGAAGGTTGAATACTTTGGACGTAAAACGTTTTGATTTCTGTCATCAAGGTAATGCTGATAAGTAAATGAAATGAATACCAAGTACATTGTTTTTTCCTCTTTTTCTTTGCAAATTGATATAACTCTTAAACATCACTATACATTTTTTGACGAATTATATGGACTGTTTGCTTAATGCTTACAAAACAATATAAAACAAAATTGAAAATTTAAATCGAAAACAATCACTTCGATTTCGTATGGCAATAGAGCAAAGTAGTTGGGCGATGTTGGTTTCTGCGGTTCTTGGTCCTGCCTTTGTTGAACGTCCTCTGAAGCTGAATGTGCACAAGAAAATGATCCACAAAACTAACTCATCTTTTTTCTTATTCTATTTTGCTTTGATGTGAGACCACAATGAAGAAACACAAAGAACAACACTTCTTTTTGCCTGTAAATGTTAGAAATCAACAAAGTTTTAATTAGATTTTTGATGAGTGGATGGCCAATGAGAATGATTTGGGGACTCACGGTTTTTAGCGATGAATCTGAAGAAGAACGAATGAGAAGCAATATAGAGGAAGAGCGATGGCGATCCCAGCTATGAAGTTAGAAAAGAGACGTTTGTTGTCTTTTGTGGGTACGAAAACTGTCTTGAGTGTGTTGGTTAGTTCAAAGAGACGGTGGGATACCTGGAGAACAAGAACACATAGAGATGTTTCAGAAAGATTGGTAAAAGAAAAGACGGGGAGAGAAGAAGTTACGGTTTCTTACTAGGACGTATATCGCAGTTGTGAGCATGAAATTAAGCATGGGGTATCCCGGAATAATAGAGAGAAGCCATTTTGGTTGCCCATCAGGCATGTTTGATCTGAAAATTAGTGTGTTTGACTCAACAAGAGATCTGATAAGCTTCCGGGAAAACAAGACTTAAGTCGCAGAAAACAAACCTTAGCCATATATGAAACTGGGAAATGTAAGTCTCTAAAGTGATCTTGCCAAGCCACCTGCGCAAACAAACGTAAAAAGGTTATTATATGGAAATGAGGCAAGCATACCAAAACAGACTTTAGCTTAAATGTAACTGTGAGTTGACTCACGCGAAGAGAGTCAATGAGACACTCCGAAGCTGGTGGGTGAAATTCCGAAGGCATATGTAAACACTGGAACCCAAAAACCAAATGGCTAGTCATGTTTCAGTTTCAGCAAGTGAAATAAGGGACAAAAAAAGAGATTTTTGCACACACGTGATGGGGATCCAAGATGTGTATGGATGATACATGTTGTAACTGGTCCTGTCCAGCTTGTAGATACATTCATACCACACATAGCCAACCTAAAATGTGACCGAACGGGAAAATTATATCAACGAGTGTAAATGAATAGTGCAATCAACAAGCTAAAAGGTGACTGAAATGACTTACAAGTACGGAAATAGTAACAATAGTGGTCTTTATGGATAGTCTTTTCTTCGTTTCACAGTCCTCTAACTTCTCCATCCATCTCTCTACCTAGAGAATGACCCCAAGTTTTGAAGTTTATTACATCGACACAACAAGAAACACAAAAATTTGGAAGTTTGTTTCTGTGAAGAACTTACAGTTGGGTGATAATAGGCATAAATCATTCCGATGATCCATATGTAGCGATCAAGGCCTGATCTGAAGTGCCATTCATGCAGTCGATGAAGATCGGGCTTCGCAGGGTCACTGTAACCTGCAGTTATTCACAAGCAATATCCAAATATTAGAAACCCCTTCAAATTTCATGATGACTTGTTTCATTTCATATAGAGAATATGATCAGATCCAGAGAAGTTAACTACCTAACAAGAACGTTAATGGACCCCAGAATATTTCAAAAGCTCCAGGAATTTCCCACAACAAAAAGACAACGAGGAAGCATGAAAATATTTTCAGAGCCATCACAGATCCTATCTCATTGTACTTGCTGAAGATACCCAGAGCTCCGTAAACCATGAGGGTGAAGAGAGTGTGCATTGGGCAGATGTAATACAACATATAGTCATTGTTGAGAACAATACAGCAAAATGCTACAAAGAAGTTCAGCCTCCACATCATCTGTAAGAGAACAAGATTTTAAATGCGTAAGATAATGTGCAATGACGAGAGTTCATTATGGAGTTAGTGGTATCACCTGTGCAAAACGTGCGACAGAGAAATCCTTTCTGACGTAGTAATACGAAAAGTTTCCAAAACCAGTCATCCATACATAAGCAGCAATAAAGATACGGATAGCGTTGTATATCTCAGCCGCAGCAAAGTAGTGATACATCAAGAACAAAACCTGTTAAAAAGTAAGACATGAGAACAATATGTGGAAAGCGGCAATAAGAGCTGCAATACAGTAACCGGAGGCAATGATCATATTGCCAATAATCAAGAGAAACTTGCCTGCATCCATCCTTTCCACTCTTCGGTCTGGTGGCGATTAAGGTAAAGAATGGATTTCCCAGTTATGGGTGACTTGTCATTGTGTTTTCTGAGAGATGTCATGGCTGATACAATGATGAGAAGAACGTAGAGAAAAAGGAAAAGGTCGCGATTGTAATGCTGTCAAAGGAAAGCAAGTCCTATGAGCGAAAACGTACAAATTATTGAAGTAGACATACTTACATGGATTTAAAACACAAAGCGGGTGAAATAAATGCGTACCTTGGTAGAATCTCCAAGCAATTCCGTGCGGTCACAGATATAGAAATATATTAAGATTGCCCCAAACTCCGACCTAGGTATGATTACGAATGTTAACATAAGATGACGGACAAAGAGATTATCACTTCTTGAGGTAGCTTTCACTTACATTGCTCTCAATGTTGCACGGTGTTCCAGCAAAAATGAATCTTCCATACTCAAAAACCTGTGATTCGATAAATCAAAAACACCTTAGCATAAGAACTCTTGAAGAATTGTAAAACACAAACTAGAAAACTTATGAGCTGGTAACACCAACCTGACTATGTTTGTTCTGATGGATGAATTATGAAACTTTACAGATGTGGATCGGGTAAGACCTCCCTCCAACAAATCAGCTTTGTCATCGTCCTTCTCTGCTACATCCCCCAGTTCAACCAGATTATTATCCGAGTGACTGCAATAGAAGAATGGCAACTCTTTTCAGGGCAAAGTCGCAAGAGAGGAAGCACAATAAAGGGTACTTCACAGCTAAAAACTCTGCTACATGATATAGAGAATATCACATTGCAAAAACTTACGGTTTCAAGGGAACCCAAGATTTCCTGTACTCAAGTAACTCTGAGTATATCCAACCAACAAATATTGGGATTACTCCAAATAGAAAAGATACCTACAAAATATTAGTACAAAGTTAAATCTTGTAGATGGAGATCAGTATCCAGCCAACTCTAAAATGTCTCAAGGCTCCTAGAAAACCACAAAGTCACTCTCTTAAGGTTTCATCCTCTACTAAAAATGGCGGCTTTCACGAAAACACAGTCATAATTCCTTCCAGTTAAAGTCTCAACCTTTTCGAATAAATCAACCTAAAATCGACTCAGCATTGAATCGAAAATTGAGTACGAGTGTGAAGTTATCTCGAGAAATTGTACCTGGCCCGGTGTAATTGGTCCCGGATCCACCATTTTAACGATCTCTATTCAAGCTTTCGAACTGCAGATACACCAAAGACGAACAAATTGATGTAAATGAATACAAAATCGACAATGCGAAGTCGAATAGAAACCATTCAGAAGCAAAATCTTAAAGATTTGAAATTACCAGAGAATGAGACGTTAACAGAGGCAAATTCGACGAATAAAGAAGAATGATCTGGTTATCGAGAGATAGTGATCTCTAGCAGATGATCATCATAAATACGAGAGGGAAAGAAAGAGAGATTTGAAAGTGTTTGTTTGCTTGAAGAAGAGAGAAAGACGTTCGGCGAGTTGTCGTTTTCTGTCGCCGGCGACTGATTTTTCCGAGCAGATTAGGGACACTGACTCGACAATATTTTTCATGTCTACCAAATAGTAAAGTTTCATTATAAAGCAGCTTTTATATTATTTTTTTATTTTTTAATCAAATTTCAAAAGGGAATTTGACTAAATCTACCACATTTTGAAATGTGGCATTCCAAATCTACCACATTTGGGAAAAGCTTTCCAAATGTACCACATTTTGTTGCCACATGCCTAAAGCCGGACGAAATTGCCCTTGATGGAGAGAGAAGTGTGTGTCAGAGAAAGGGACAACTTGGAACAAGAGGGAGCAGTCTGCATTTAATGCTGCACGTTTACAATTGCTCTCTTAATATATTAGATAATATTAAATTAAAATCGGGGACAAGTTCATATGGAATGAGTAATATAATTAGATCGGGGACAAGTTCAGATCGAATGAGTAGTATAATTATATCGGGGACAAGTTCATAGGAATGAGTAATATAATTAGATCGGGGACAAGTTCAGATCGAATGAGTAATAGAATTAGATCGGGGATAAGTTCATATCGAATAAGTAATACAATTAGATCAAGGACAAGTTCATATCAAATGAGTAATAAAAGTAGATCATGGACAAGTTCAGATCGAATGAGTAATATAATTATATCGGGGACAAGTTCATATGGAATGAGTAATATAATTAGATTGGGGACAAGTTCATATCGAATGAGTACCAGAATTAGATCGAGGACAAGTTCATATCAAATGAGTAATAGAATTAGATCGAGGACAAGTTCATATGAGAAGAAACCCAGATCTAGATGTGTAGCCGATTTAACGTCGTGAACCAAAACTATATAATTGATAAACTATTTTCAAACCCAAATTTAAATTTTGAATGAGTAATATCGAATGAGTACCAGAATTAGATCGAGGATAAGTTCAAATCAAATGAGTAATAAAATTAGATCGGGGACAAGTTCATATGAGAAGAAACCCAGATCTAAATGTGTAGCCGATTTAATGTCGTGGACCAAAACTATATAACTAATAAACTATTTTCAAACCCAGATTTAGATTTTGTAGGAGAGAAAAAATCATGTGAAAAGAAAAAGAAGAAGAAAACTTCATAGATATATATGTATATATATCTATAAGTGAGAGAAAGAAAAAATAATGTGAGAGAGAAAAAAAGTGAGAGAAAGAAAAGAAAAGAAAAAAATTTAAAAAATAAACATAAAGAGAAAGAGAAAGAGAGGGCAAAATAGTAACTTCACATATCAAATGTGGTAGGATTGGAAAAGAAGTTGAAAATGTGGTAGATTTGGAAAGAATTGGGGGAAATGTGGTAGATTTCTTAGTTTTTCCATTTCAAAACTTTTTTTTAAATATAATCTAGTCATGAATAGGCATGTCAATCGGGCTAGCCCGGCCCGGCCCGGCCCGAAGCCCGCAAAACCCGTACATATTTGAGCCCGGCTCGGCCCGGCCCGTAAAAATTCCGAGCCTATATTTTAAAGCCCGGCCCGGCCCTAACAGGGCTACAGGGCTTTTTCGAGCTTTTTTGGGCTTTTCTTCCGACAACAAAAAAACAAACTTATAAGTTATAATATCTCTTAAAAAAGAATCTATATATGAAACGAGTCAATCAAAATTTAAATAACCACTAACGCTAATTTAGTTTTTAAAAAAGAGAGTTAAAATCAAATAAATAATCCAAATAAATTGTTTAAACTTATACTAGATAAAATATAAAATCAAAATAATTCAAATTAGGTAGTAGAGCTAATATTTGCTTTTTCGATTTATAGTAATACACAACAAAAAAACTATGTTTAGAGTTTTCAACTCTATCAAACACTTTTTTTACAACAAATCTTACAATTAAAGGAAAATATTAACAAAAAAAGATCAAAATATATTTAAAAGGGCTTTTCGGGCTAGCCCGAGCCCGGCCGGGCTAAGCCCAAAAAAACCTTTTAGCCCGAACGGGCTTAGCCCGAAAGGTCCGATATTTTCTGGACATATATTTTTAAGCCCGAGCCCGCTGTTTTTTAGGGCTGGGCCGGGCTAGCCCGCGGGCTTTGGCCCTAATTGACATGTCTAGTCATGAAGTCCAAATCATTAGTGACCGGTCATGGTTACGCCCAAAAACAAAATGGTCTAAATGGACTAAACTTATAGAACCAGAATCAGCTGTTGATAAATTATTTTTCTCGACATGAATCGAATCCGTGCCTTCGTAGATGTCTACGTTTTCAGTTTATTTGGATTCAAACACTACATGGATTCACAAGTAGGCTCAGTCTTAGATATAGAAGCATTTCTATTTTGGACAGTGCCATTTGTTAATGCTTTTGCATATGTTATTTTGGGAGTGATTCTAAAAATCTAGATCCAAGTGATCAAAGATTTTTTTTGTTTGTGGCCGAGACTAAAGAAGAACTATGCAATTGGCTCTCATCAGAATGGACTATTGAGGCCAAACCATGGGTTCAATGGGAGGGAGATAATGGAATTGTTGCTTAGGATGGGTATATGCTTCACTGTTTGTTGGATTTTGGTGGTTTTAGTTTTGAGACATTTCTGTAGATGAAAAGAAAGAGCAAACCCTTAGGGGTGAATCCTTTTATTCACCCATTTTTATTTTAACAAATCAGAATTCTGTACATAATAAAAAAAACTAAACTCATTTAATTATTAAATCTAATCTCTAACCACTCTTTTATAAATCCAAACCGATATATAATCTCGTTTAATTACAAAACCTAAATCTTGATTCTCCTTAGTAAACTCAAACGCCATTTAACTCGTTTAATCGTAAAAAATCTAAACTCTAAACGTACTTTTTAAAGCCAAACCGACATTTAACCTCGTTTAATTGTAAAATCTAAACCCGTTTATAAATCTAAATCGATATTTAACCTCGTTTAATTTAAAAATCTAAATCTGTTTATAAACCCAAACCGATATTTCATGTTTTTATATTAATTTTTGCCATGTGACTAAAATATAGGTTATGTTTTTGTAAAACCTAAATGAAAATCCAGTTTAATTCGGTGGATTTAACCAGAAAATCTGTGGAAATTGTAGACGAACAACTCCTATTCGATGCAATAATGCCAAACTTGAAATGTAAATAAGATGAATACAAATAATTTCTCGTATTATCTCATCTGACAATATGGAAAATGATTGTCGAACGTAAGTATTAAACTATTGTGGACGTGGTTAGTGGATCAAACATGTCTTGAGCTCAAGATGGACTTGTCAAGCAACTAACCGGTCACATCCCTTACATGATACTCCAAGAGGGATGATGTGTCTTTTATATTAAATTGTATTAGAAACTATATATCTAATATGTATGATCAAACTCGTTAGGTTGGTTCCTTAATTCTTACGCATAATCAATAAACTGTCGGAGGGATGAGACGTACGACATTAGAATTAATTTCCTAGTAAAAAACCATTTTTTTTCTTTCCATTTATTTGTTGAGATGAGTGAGTGATTTGATACAAATCGTATTCAATAGTAAGACAAGTGTTAAAAGGTGCAACTGCATTTTAGTTCAAAATCCATTGATACATTTTATATTTTAGGTGAGGTTGTCATCAAATATACTTAAGTTCGTTCTAAACCTTCTAAATCTAGTCTAAATTTGTTTTCACATACCCAAAACGTTTTATTTGCTATTCGATTATAAATTAGATATGAAGTTATGTCCTTCTCCTCGATCATTAGTTAATATATAAAGCAAGTAATGAAAAAGAGAGACCCATGAAGGATCTTTGCTTCCATCTATATGCATGCATGTAACAAAACTACTCCATAAAAAAAATTATTGCAAGAAGTCGAAGGGACATATTTATGTTTAATTACTACAGTATATCCTATATATAGCTAGTTACAAAAACATGTATAATATATACATGCAAAAATAAATAACACTATCACTTATTATGCATCCAAGTTGTTTCTATATTTCTTAGCAAAAAAAGAAAAGAAAAATTGTTTCAGTATTATAGTATATCATCAAGGCTCTTGCTTGAAGAAAACCGAAGGAAACATCTCCTTCAAGAGCTCGAACTCACTCTCCTGTTGATGGAATCCATGTTGCTGTTGATGGTAATTAGGGTTCACATTTATACTAGCGTATGGCACACGGAAGAGTTCATCATTTGAGAAGCTTCTTGGAGTATTGATGATGAGATCGGAAAATATTGGAGATGACGATGGGTTATAATCAGATGCGGTGGTTCCAGAGAACATTGTCGTGCGGCGATTGGTCGGGATCGGATGGTTGTGTTGACTCTCGTAGGTTGTGATCACGACTGTTGGATCTTGGTAAGATCTCTCCACTCTCTTCTTCACGTTGCACTTCTGCGTCGTGCATCTATAGTAACTCCTGTTCACGTAATTGACGTATTACGTATAGTATATTGTTATAGCATGTGACTTGTATATAATGTCGGTTACAAAATTAATATTTTTTGTTATAAACAAAATTGATAAGACTTTCAAACAATGTCAGAATCCAAATCATAAATGAGTGGTAAATAGAGGAAATTTCACAAAGAACTTGACTAATATTTCTTTAGAACTTTACAAAATTGTGTTTTTTGAATGGTAGAAAACTGAAACTTTTAGAAGAATAATTCAATTGAATGATCATACGTCAGTCTGAACAATCATCATAATACTTTGATAAAACTTCTTGTTCCAGAATTTTTATATACAAACATTAAAAATGTTTGAAACAGAAAAGTAAATATAAAATCCAAGAAATAAGGAATTCTTAGCCATAAGAAAAATAAAAAAGAAAAACAATGTTAAGTTGGTCTTAGTTTTTTCAAATAATTTTTTAAAAGAAACTAGTTTGATTGAAAAATGATTAACGTTATTAAGAATTCATGAGCCAAAACTAAACTCAAAACTATATTTTCAACATTTTGCGTAGTATTTATCTATTTCTTTTGTATGTAATAATCAAGTAATCAACTAATTAAACCCTTTATTAAAAAAAATAGATACTATTATATGATGACCGATTAAATTACCTCGGATAAGGACTGTTTTTGACTGCTTTTTGGCCGTACTTTCTCCAACGATAGCCGTCTTCGAGATGATCAACTTCGGTCTTAGTCATAAACGAGACTCGTGGCTCTTTTTTCTTCTCCTCTTTCTTCTTTGTTTTAACTCTGATGAACCATATTTTACTCAATTAAATTAATACTTAATTAGGTTGGTCCATCTCTAATTAATGGCACCGTACCGTACATTTGACTTTGATTCATTGAACTATATTAAATAATGATAAGCATCAAATGATTGTTAGGACATAGGACACAAGAAATACAATAATCTTAAGGTGATAGTCTTCCAAAAAAAAAAAAAAATGGGACACGTCTTTTTGTTTAAGTGGTTTCTTTAGGATAAGATTTTTACATCAATAATTATAGGTACGAACAATTGAATTAATAATCTTTGGAAAAAAAATATCAGGACAGAATCCAATTACTCAGTACTATTAAATTATGTATTACAGAAAAATATGAACGAAATAACTTGAGTTGTCTTTTTTTTTTTTTTTGTCATCCGAAATTAATTAAAACTCAAGAAACTTGAGTTGTCATTCTTTCAGTTATGGAACTTAAATTATATAAAAAAAACATATAAATGTAAAAGTAAATATTCACAAGTAAATATATATATAGTTTCATCAAAATTAAAATCTTGACGGTGTTCTTAAAGATGTCATTTTATGTCATGCAAACTCTATACTTTATGTTTCGTTTGAAAAAATTTGAAATCAATATTGTTCAGTTACTTTACAAGAAAATAATTTTCAAGAAAACGATTCTTGATTAATTTGGGCCTGAAAGTGAAAAACAAAAGATTAGAGAAGATTTTTTTTTTTTTTGGTGAATAAAAACAAAGAAAATTAGTTAAGTTTGATCAATCATGTGAATTCTAATAAATATTTTTTTTTTGCTTAGCTAAATAATTTACTTAGGAAAACACTTAAGAAACTTACACTTTCTGAGAACGTTGATCATCGTCTCCTCCATCGCCAACTTCTCTTTCCTTCCGGATCTTGCCGGAATCATCGCCGGGGTGATGATCGGCCTCACTTGAAGAAGGAGATGGCGAAACCCTAACTTCACTCTTAATGGTTGCACAACCACCACCGACAACTTCATGACTCTTATTACTACTATTATAATTATAAGCATTATACAAACCGTTCTCTTGATCGATGGAAGGATTAAAAAAGTCGGACGAAGATGGAGAAAGCTCGAAACCCAACTCGAACGCTCCTTGAGGACTCAAGTTCTTCGAGGGTAGATCAAAACCGGCTTGTGATGATGAGATCATGTTTGCATTATAAGTAGATGGACCAGAAACGTAAGGGAGATTAATCATATTTTGGTTATTGATATTGTAATGATTATACGATGAAGTGTAGTGATAGTTGTTAAGATCTTTGATTTCATGAGACATGACGAAGAACAAAGAGAAAAATCTTAAACCAAAAAGAAAGAAAAAAGAAAATGACAAAGAGAGGAGCGTGAAGAAGAAGAAGAAAGAAGGAAGAACTTTTTACACGTTAATGAATTTTTTTAGTCGGTCTAAATTTGGTGTTAAGACTTTTGGGTCTTCTCGTATTTATGCCTATTGAAAAATATATATTATTTAATATGTCTTGCTGAATAAATATATAGTAAATGGCGTTTTAGCATACTTTTTTTGGTCTTAGATATATACAAATCTAAGGAATGAAAGAGTGTATATTGAGGTGTGAATGATTCAAAAAGAGTTTTGGGGTTTGAATGACTTTTTCTATATTAAAAATAATGATAACTTTTATAAAGTTGAGTTGACAAAAAGCATTTTACCTCCCAAATCGAGAGTTACAAAAGTGGCCTCGAGTGAGGAAACATATACTTCTTGTCATTTTGTTTCGTAAACGTTTAATGTGAACATGAACATAAAAGAAAAAGCCATTTTACCATAAATAAACGTCTTTTAAGTCCCTATTCATTTTCTGACTCTGACCCAAAGAAAAAAAAATCATGAAATAACTTTTTACAAATTTGGGTTATTTAAGTATACTACTTTCTTTTGGGCCTTATAGTAAGACCTGAAAAGTTGATATTTACCATTTCAAAGATGTTCGGGTTCTTTTTGTGTAATACTGTTTTTTTGGCCCTTAAAGTAAGAACTTAAAAGTTAATATTTACCATTTTTTAGATTTGGAATAAGGTGGGAACAAGGTTTGCTGTGGAAGAAGGCGATGATGATGACTAATGGTTAACCGGTAACCGGAAATAATCAGTCTCCGGTCATCTTTGTGTGAGGAAGGAAGAGCCAAGTCAAAATGTCAAAGAGACTTGTGGGGTTATTAGTATGACACGTGTAATTATTGGCACCGGCATTTGACCGTAACCGACACATGACCTGGCACGTGGTGGACTGTTGGATTGTGTTCTCAAACCCTAATAAATATCAGACGTTAATTTATTAATTTAAGATTTAAAGTCAAGGTGCAAATGCGACAAATATTATACCTTACTTTAAATTTCCGTATAATTTCGACGTTTGTTAGAACCAATTTACATGAAAATTTTATAATTTTTTTTGTAATGATTTCTATAATAATATACAAAATGAAATTTCCCAACCGATGGCTAAATCCTTCTTATTAAGTGTATGGGATGAAACTTGGTTTAATTACAAGGACGTTAAAAGAAAAAAGAATTACATGAATTATTTTGCATTTTGATCGTCAATACTAATTCTAGTATAGGTTTAGATTTTATCTAGGGAGATTTACTCAGATGTTATACATTTTATATGAAATTACCAGAAACATACAGATCTTTTTTTTATTACTATCATATTTCGGGTATATTTTTTATACCCAGCGTGCCCCTGTTAAACGTTACAGGAAAAAACGTAATTACAAAGAATGCCACTGCCACGTCAGCAAAGCCGCGTCGCCACGTCAGAAATCGCTGACGTGTATTAATGAACTCAGCCGTCGAGCGATATAGCGGCAGTGACGGCTGAGTTACGGTATGTTGCGGCTGATTTAAGAAAAATGGCTGAGTTATGAGCAAACGGCTGACTTACGAGTATAACCCAGCCTGGAGTTACGGCTGACTTACTGAAATCTGTCTGAGTTATGATAAAATGGCTGACTTTCGAGCATAACCCAGCCTAAGTTACGGCTGAGTTTTCACCCGATGGTTGATTTGTCAAATTTTTGGTTGAGTTATTGCTTCGACACGGCTGACTTAACTTTCTCCGGCTGGCTGAGTTATCAAAGACGGCTTAGTTATGGGATGACGTTACGGCTGATTTATGTTCGAGTATCATAAATCAGCCGTAATGAGCTGGATTAACGGAAAACTCGGCCTTATTATGGCTGACTTAGTAGCGAAAGATTAATTACTAGAATAGCATGCAATGACGGCCGACTTATTAAACGACACGACTGAGTTAAATATTTTTGGTTGAGTTACAACAGTAAACGGCTGAATTTGGCTGCCGTTTTTTTGTTTTTTAATTACTGTAATAGTATTCATGTTGCGGCTGAGTTAAAGTTTTGTTTGATGGCTGGTTTAATTAAGCTGATTTACATTTTCGTTTGGTGGCTTACTTGCCACTTCATCAATTAAAAAATGACGTGGATGCAACATTCCATGTCATCATTCCATGTCATCATCATCAAAGGACAAAAAAATAGGGCCAAATTTTTTCAACTCGTCTTCTTCACCTGAGTTTATCACATCACCGGAACTTCCAATTCCTCATCGTCTTCCTCATTCTTCTTCAATTTCTTTCATCCTTCTCCCGATATGGTTGATCCGGTTCCGGTAATTGGGTATAAAAACACAAATACGTATTTAACAACGATAAAAGAGGGTGTAGAGTTGTGCAGATAGATGCGAAAACAACGCACGAAAAACTTGTGAAGTTGGTGCTCGATGATAAAGTTAGAGGAAATGTTGCGTCTCTTATTGTTTCGCTGCAAATTTACATGTCACGGCTGAGTTATATGCTTAAGGGAAGACGAAAGGTTCGGTCAATTTACATGTCACGGCTGAGTTATATGTTCCAGGGAAGACGAAAGGTTCGGTAAAATTACATTACGGCTGAGTTATATGCTTAAGGAAAGACGAAAAGTTCGGTCAATTTACATGTCACAGCTGAGTTATATGTTCCAGGGAAGACGAAAGGTTCGGTAAAATTACATTACGGCTGAGTTATATGTTTAAGGGAAGACGAAAGGTTCGGTAAATTTACATGTCACGGCTGAGTTATATTCTCCAGGGAAGACGATAGATGGGTGTAAATTATATGTTACGGGTGAGTTATATGCTTCAGGGAAGACGAAAGGTTCGGTAAATTACATGTCACGGCTGAGTTATCATTCAGGGAAGACGAAAGGTTGTGTAAATTATATGTTACGGCTGAGTTACATCACGTTAAGGCTGAGTTACATCACTTTACGGCTGATTTATAATACAGATCGGAAAGCAACATTTTTTTGGAGAAGACAATATGAAATTTATTGGTCAAATAACAACAATCAAATTAAGATTCGTAAAAATATGTTTGAGGGATACATAGGAGGAAGACTAAACCGTATGAATCAAAACATAGATAGAAGTAGAAATGTCTCCAAATAGATCGATTGAGAGGAAGATTAAACGAGAGACATGTAAAATCAAAGTAAAAGAGTAGCTATTCTTGATTTCAACTCAAACCTGTAACGAATCATGTAGAATTCCATAGATCTCTTTGTTTTGGGTTTTGATTTTTGATGACTTTTATCGTGAGCGTGGTTGCGAGTAGATCTGACGAAGTTTTTGATTTGGGACCCTATGGCAAGCGTTGTGGCTGTGAGGTCTAGGAAGATCCAGCCCAATCCTGCAATTTGAAGATTTCTGTCAATGTTGTACCCAAGTTAGTTGCAGATTATTAGATCTAAAAGCTTTTCTTGGATTTGGAGACAAAAAAAAGAGAAGAGAAGAAATGATCTAAAAGTTTTTCTTAGATTTGGAGACAAAAAAGAGAAGAGGAGAAATAACGTGAGTTTGAGGAGTGTGAGATTGGTGATGTGGATTAATGACATGGATAATCAAATTTTTATTTATTATTTTTAATTAAAAACGAATTAAAAATTATTAATTAAAAAAAACTAATGAAGGGTGTTAATTGTAATTACACAAATGCTCAAAACATATGAGTAATTTTTAGAAAATGTATGATATTCTAGTAATATTCGAACTTTTGGTTAACATCTGAGTAAATATTTCTTTTATCTATTGAGAAGAGAAATATGATCGAAATACTGACGATTTACCAACGTCATCACGATTCACGCTGCAGAATCTATTTTCAGTTTTCACATTAGAACTTTCCTCAAGCATAAAAAGAACATTAAATATAATATGAAAATATAAAAATATGGTCAGATCTATTATATATATCTTTATGTGTAAATGCTGCTTTTAATATTTAATACAATTTTTTGTCAACAAGACAAAATAATTTTATTTCGGGGAAAAAATGTTGAACTGATGGAAAATATATAAGAAAAAATAAGAAAAGAGAGACATGATTCCTAACCGAAAAAGACAATGAGAAGTGAACATAAATTGACTTTACATAGGTACGGTCAAAAGAAATTTATTCTTCTTTTTATAGATTTATACCTATATAATAATTGTATACCTTATATATAAATTGCTCTCGTGTTTGGATTTTTAGTTCAAATTACGAATTACAGCTTCATGCATGTAGCTCTGACCAAAAAGAAAAGAAAAGCATCATGCATGTAGCTGATAGATATAGGTATAAAAATTAGAGAAAAAAAAAAGGATAGGTATAAAAAATTTAAATTGCAAGTCTAATGTTTTCGAAAAAGTGAATAATGATGAAAAACGTTTTTCAGACAAAACAACAATTCCACATTCTCGATGGCCCAAAGAAAGCAACTCAGTCATGATTCTCAAAGGACCAAAACTTCAATGATTACGAGTAGTTGTTTTGAATGAATGCAATGCACCGAACAAATTAATCCATTCACGAATTTTACCATTTTCTTTTTCCGTTGTAGATTTGTTTTCCCTGACAATATATATGGTTCAAAGTTTTAAACAGAAAAAATAATAATATATGGAAGTGTATTTTTTTTGTTATATTGATATCATCGCGAGCCAAAACTTATGAAGGGTTTTACCCGCAAATGTATATCTTTTTTAACCCTTTAGTTCTATAGTTCCTACTTATAGTACCGCAAATGTAGTTCTATAGTTCCTATTTATAGTATAAAAACTATAGAACTAGAAGTGTACGTAATAGTCTATTTATACACTTGTTTACTGCTGAATTTGCCTGTAACCTTTGTGTCTAATCTCGCATCTTCATATCCAAGAGGTTTAGTATATTTTCAGTTCTGTAAATTACCAAAGTAAGCAGTCAACCTCTCTGTCTATATTTAAGAGATTAAAAAATATATGTTCGCAGTTGAAATTTACGACCAATTTCGTGAAATATGTACGGATGCACCAAACTTCTTCAAGATTTTTGTTGTTGAGTAGGATTTTTCTTTCACTATCTTTAAAGATGCACAAATTTGTTTCAAACTTTGAATAGTTGTCATGATTGAGAAAGCATAATATTTATTATTTGAAACTATTAAAATCTATTAAATGCTAAAATAAATGATTATGATTCTATAAGATATGAGAAATTGAGAATGAGATTGTTGACCTACGCCATAGTTGAACAGGTTTCTTGATAGGTATGTGCAACATAGTAAAAATAAAAAAAATCTCAAAATATATAAATAAATCCATTAAAAACTAAAACTTAAGGTAATGGAGAAACAAATATCAAATCTTTTTTTGTTCTTGTTAAAATAAAATAAAATCTTTACATTTACATTAACACTCTTTCGAAAAAAATTTCAAACCGGAGTATCAATCATAATACATACACATGAAAGAAACATATAACTCTTGATCCTAGCCATCAAACCGAAATCAACCAAAGGAAACACGAAAATCAAACTTCTTTATTCTCATCATCATCTTGGGATAGAAGGTGACTTTAACTAAACCGAAAACCGCGGATTTCCCATTGTCATCTTCAATCATGTTGTAATGTGTGTTAACTAAACAGAAGTTGCAGTGGATAAATAACCGGTGCTGGTTTGCATGAGATCTAAAAGAGTGATCGTTCCACTATCGGTTTGGTCAAGCTTGTGAAACTGGTTACAGATTTGTATAAGGGTAAATTGCATGGCAGGGCATAAGACCATGTTTTAATTTCATGTTTTGGCAAAGTGGGAATTGGTTTTCAAGTTTTGACAATTTAGCCAAAATCTGACCATTTTACCCCTGCCAGCGTAACGATGTACTGTTCACTGTACGGTTCAGTTATGCGGTTCAGTTACGTACACTGTTCCGGTTAGGCAATATATTTTCGTTTTTAATTGATTTCTGCGGCTGTACAGTGAAAAATGAGGATTAATAACATTAAAAACAATGAGACATCAGGATTTAATGTCCAAAAAGTTTAGACATGACTCATGTCACAATTAATGCAAAAGTCATCATTACTTTTTCTAATATTAGTTTATATGTGTGAATAGTTGTAAGAGATAAACATGATCCATCAAACAAACAAATTAGTCTGAACGAATGTGATGCTGGAGAAGTTTTGATCTTCTTGATTTACAAAGTTTGGAGCCAAGACAAGCATTGATCGTGTAAGTAATGAAATTGGTTAAGAAGTTTTTTGTTATAACACACTAGGGTCTTGATTGTGTTCGAAATCAACATTGTTTTTATATAAAAACCCAGAATATTTTTATTTCCAATTTTTTTAGTTGAAAATGCTAAATGAGGATAGATTTATGTATATAAGTGTGTAGTTGGGAATTCTTTTTGTTTTTTGTAGATATAATCATGCTTTCATTTGCATTTAATGGGGTTCTGCTGAATTTATGATGCAGGTGGGTAATGGATATTCCCGTATTTACTATGGTGGGTGAGTGGAGATGCAAAGAAGAAGAATGGAAATTTGAACCATGGGAAGGCTGGTTTGGTCGTTGTGTACGTGTTAAGGAAAACATGACGTACACGGAATTTGTACGTACATTATGCGAGGTTTTCAGTTTGAAGTCCACCGAATGCAATCCAATAATTAGTTACTGGATGCCGGGAAAGATGTCAGTGATGATAGAAAGTAAACGCCCTCCTTTCTACATTGACAATTAAATGAGCCTGGATACGTTCTTTTTGATTCGTGGTGGGGATCCTAGTGTCAACTTGTTTGTCTCTTTCATTACAACCGTCAAGGCACTCGGGAATAATGTCCCTAGGACTGATGGTGACGATGCTGAAAGTGACCGTGTGTGTGGGAGTGCAAAGACACCAAATCCTATCGTAGCGGCTTCAAATGTGGATGCAAATAATGAGGCCGTAGATGAACAATACGACGTACAAGAAGATAAAACAGATGAGGATGAAGAGGAGGAGGCCACCGAAGATGGTGATGGGTATGATGATCATCAGGGCGACGATGGATTTTTTAGTTGAGGAAAAAAAGTATGGTAGATATGTACGTGTTAAAGAAAATATGACGTACACGAATCTGACGTGTACGTTATGTGTGGTGTTTAGCTTGAAGTCTACTAAATTTCATCCAAAAATTAATTACTGGATACTGGTAATAATGTCGATGATGATTGAACATAAACGCCCCTATGTCTACATTGACAATCAAATGAGGTTGGATACATTTTATTTTATTCTTAGTGGAGATTCAAGTGTAAATATATTTGTGTCCTTTTATCCAACACTTCGAGAAAGGTGTGAATAGTGTTTGCATGATAGAAAGCCAACATTGATGAAACCAATCATTGGTTAGAGGTGAAAACACAACAAAAACCATATCGGAGGCTCCAAATGTGAAAAAAACAATAAGAACGTAGAAGAGAAAGAAGAAGTAGATGACAATAAAGATGTTGAAAAGAATGATAAAATGACGAAAAAGAGGAGGATGGGGATGAGGAGGACGACGAAAACGTCGATGAAGATGACGAGAACAATGACGGATCAAGTGGATGGGAAGAATGTCTTAGAACCGACTATAGACGCTAATAATGAAGATTGCGATTATAACAAGTGGACTGATTTTGTTATTGATAAATATTCAATAGGACATGTCGGGGAAAATGGTAACACCATCCGACTATGAAACTAATAGGGAAATTCATATCATATACTAGAAACGTGTACGTACACTACTGAACATGTATGTGATAGAAAAAGCATCGATGATTTTAAAAAGATGGTGACATTCAACCATCTTTTAGTCCTAACTGGGAGATATGACATGATTTGGAAGATTGTAAGTACACTAATTACTGTGTAGACGAGGCATTATATGAAGGTGAATATTTGACGTACACGAATACATATGGACATGGTAGAGGTGAAGTGCATGGTAATAGTTTGGTATTGGAGGATCATCAAAGGGGATATTACTTGAATCAAAGTACAGTTTAGTGAATGTGAATGAGTCTTACGAAGTGTATAATTGTTTTTCTACAATGCTAAGCACTAAACCGAAGAGACTCGATGATGATTTTTCTCTTTTCTTAGATAATTTAACCAATGTCTAACTGATAAGAAAGAAGTAAAATAGTACAATATGGAAAGACAATTTTTTTCGGGAAATCCCTATACTCTAAATACCCGGTACCAAATGAGTCCCATGGAAACCAAACCGAATATCTTAATGCTTAGGGCTAGTATGAATGATCATGATGACTATGTATGTTAAGGACGATACAAATATCATTGTTGAGACAATGTACTAGCGTAAATAGGTGCATACACATGCATATTAGGAAAGTTAACGTACACAAGTACATCCATTGGAGACTATGTACGTAAACATGTAATACTGTGTACGTGAGAAACGAGGTAGTGATCATGACAGAGAGAATGGTGTTATTACCACCATGTGTAGCGTCTTGCCAGGAGAGAAATAAAACTATCACCAACAAGTGAGATTGGAACATTCTTTTTATTCATAGTAGCAATCTAAGTGTAAATTGTATCGTTTTTTCCAACCCGTTAAGGATAGTGTGAATAGTGTGTGCATGATGAATAACATTGCTGATGAAACTAACCATGGGTCAGAGGTGGAAACAATGAAGAAGTAGATGAGGAAGAAAAAATAGAGGGCGATAAAGAGGATGAAAAGAAAGAAGATGAAAATGACGAAGAGAAGAAAGAGGACGATAAAGATGACGACTATGAACAATAGTAAAGGTAATGGCGAAAATTACATTACAACAAGTGGACTGATTTTTTTGTTGAGAAATATGGGATAAGATATGTCAGGAATGTTGGTGACACTCAACTTACTGTGGGGCTAGCATAAAAATTCAGTTGATTATTAGAAACGTGTACGTATATTAATTAACGTGTACGTGATTTATAAAGCATCATTGGTTTACGTAATTAAAGTTGATTATTCGACACATGTACGTATACTACTTCACATGTACGTACACAGAAGAAATTCGCTGAAGGGTATAATTGTAATTGTGCAGTCATCTTCCACCTGAGTATTATCTACTTCTGCAACCCTAAATTTACAGCCGTCATTAATCTTCCACCTGAGTATCTACTTCGTCGTTTGGTTTTTTCCCAGCCATCTCGAAGGTTGCTATCTCGCCGGAGGTTTCTCAGTTCCTCTTCGCCGGAAAACCTGCAACTTTCTCTTCGCCGGTTTTTGGAGTTCAATGCGATGCCTCAAATCAAGTAGCGGACAATTCGAACGGGGATGTCGAAAACGAATATGGATGAATGAATTCAGAACTGATTTCTACTTCTCTCTTGAATCTCTCCGTCTCTCTGTCGTTGTTCTTCTTCGTTTTCTTGAAAATTTTGTTTTTTTTTTTTTTAAATTCAAAACCAAAAGAAACTAAACCGCAAAGTAACTGTGTCGTTTGGTTTAACTCCTTAGGGGCATTTTCGTCATAAATTGGCTTAAATGTCAAAACGTGAGAAGCAAATCTCACTTTGCCAAACGGTGAGAACAAATCTTTTTTTCAACACAAACGTGAAAATTTCTTTTTGTATAATGTCCTCTTGGGTTATTTTCTCCATCTGCTTTAGTTTGTATATTGTATACTCTGCTAAACTGCAAAAAGAAAAAGCATAGTAGAAGATTCAATGATACTGGTAAAACCAAGAGGATCATTGAACCAAAGATCACATGATATTCGTCAAAGCCATTCAGGACATCTAATAGATCACAACCGTTATTTATACAAATCAACTAGTTCAGAAACTTGGAAAGGATAAAATGGTGGGAATTGAGGGAACTTTCAAAACTTTTTTTTTTCTTTTCTTTGGATACCAGGAGGTTCTGGGCCAAACCCCGTAATCTTCGCATGCCCGAAACCACAACATATAATATTAGTTTCGTCCCAAACGAAACAAAATCTTTGAATATGAGTCCTCGAGTTCAAGAAAACACACATAAACCCGAGAATCTAACAGATTCAAGAATCTTAGAAACTAATGATTTCAAGAACTTGAACAAGAATGAAACTTGAGGACTAACATCAAAGAACAAAACTTTTGGTGCATGAATCAAAGCATACCTCAAGCAACCATTGTTGTCAATATCTGCAGCAAAGAACTCAGAGATGGTCATGGTTTCACCAAGCACTTTCTTGGCCCGCTCTCTATTCCTCTTATCAACTCTTGCTTCAGCCAAATTAAAAAACGCTCGAGCAATAGCTAAAGTAGACACAAGCAACCAAATCGCAGCAAGAAGCGTACCGGGCCATGTATTAAAAGCCTGGTCACCATACCCAACTGTTGTAACCATCATAACCGAGAAACAAAACGAATCCAACCACCCGATTTTCTCAACAAAATGCACGATTAAAACCCCACACATTGCTACAATGCAAAAGTACAGAGCAACAGCAACAAGATGAGTCTGATTCACATTGTCACTATCTCGATTCAGCCAATAGATAAGCACACCTAAAGAGAGATACACAACGAGCAAAGCAAGGGCTTGTCTTACAATGGATTTCGAATTTGATTGCTCTGTTCTCTGATCATTTGGGTGAGTTACATCGTTGATTGCAGCCATAGCAGGAGCTGTTTTAGACCGGTGGAAATTGTAGGTCGGTTTATTAGGTTCCGTTGGTGGGATAAGGAGGTCTGTGGAATCGGAGGATGACGGAGGGAATGGGCCGAAGAGTAATCGGTTTTTGAATTCCGATGAAGTCATTGGAATCGTGACGTCGTTGTTCTCCGGTAATGGTAACAGGTATTGGTGTAATGGGTCATTGTTGTTATTGCCGTTACCGTCGTTAGCCATTTGGGTTTTCACCGGAAAACCGGAAAGTTGAAACTAGGGTGGTTTTCCGATAAAGGAAGAAATTTTTTTCTATCTGGAGCCCCAAAGGTTGTACCTTTTTTGGGTTTGATTTGGCCTTTTTTGCTTCTTCAGTGTAATTCTTGAGAATCGTTCATAGTACTGTGATTTTTATAAGATTAGAGTTTTCGAAAAAAGACAACATTTTTTAAATAATGGATTGATTTTAGGAAATGGTAAATGGATTGACACGATATTAGGATAGTTGTGTCTGTTTTTTTTTTGTTTTTTTTATTACAATGTGTCATATTTTATTGAGATGATTAATAATTGTCGTGAAATAAAATATTGAGATGATTGATACATGATGGTTTCATTGTTGACTTGTAGCTAGTATTTGATTAACGAACCCTATGTTGCTGGTAAATTATATATTGGAACCAAAATCTATCAATAATATACTATATAACTACCTAAAGATCCGTGCTATGCACAACTTAAATTATATACTTAAAATTTATTTTATTAAAACTAATATATTTGATATATAATATGAATAGATAATCAGTGAAACAATATAAATATATTGGCTTTTTAACTATATTTTGACGATTTACCAAAATTTTAAATTTATATTTAAATATGACGATATTATTATAGGGAAGTTATTTTGTTTTTCAAATGTATTAAATCATAAAATGGTTTATTTATTTATATATATACACCATCTAACTAGATAACATAGAAAATTTTATATTATCTATTTTATAATTAATCGCAAATCTTAAAATATATTATTATTTATTATTAATTTAGGAGTAATTTTCTAATTATAAAAAGATAATGCATTTCAGATAGTAGAATTAAAAGAGTAAAAAAAAATGGTTGAAAAAATTGTGGATTTGCCACATAAGCAGTTAAGCACTAAATACTCTTTTTTATATAGAAGATGTTCTAAAATCTAAATTCTAAAAACTGATGAACAATAGAAATTCATTAAAAACTAAAACACACTTGAGAATATATAATGAGTAACAAATAAATATCAAACCTTTACATTAACATTTACACACTTTAGAAATTTGTTAACAAATTTAATCAAATTGAAGTATCAATCAGAAATTAGGAATATACACATGAACGAAACCCTATAACTATACACTAGATCCAAGCCATCAAACCAAACTCCACCAAAGGAAACATGTAAATCAAATTTCTTCATACTCATCATCATCTTGGAGGAGAAGGTGACACATTCTATTTCTTCATACTCATCACCATCTTGGTTCAACTAAACTGTAACCATACATATTTTTCATTGTCATCTTCAATCATGTTGTACTGTGTGTTCTTAAATAGAAGTTGCAGTGGATAAATCGTCGGTGCTGGTTTCCAAGAGATCTAAAAGTGTAATCCTTCCACTATTGGTTCGGTCAAGCTTGTCAAACTGGAAACCAATCGGGTTAATGTCCTTATCGGTTATTTTCTCCATCTTCTTTAGTTTGTATATCACAAACTCTGCTTTACTGCAAAAAGAAAAAGCTTATTAGAAGATTTAAACTACTGGTCATGATACTGGTCAAAGATGTTCAGGGCATCTTGGGGGGTGTATTCAAACAGTGATTTTCCAAATTTTTGGTTTTTTTGTTAAAATCACCTGTTATTCAATTAGTGATTTTAAAATCTCTTCCCAAATTCCATGTTATTGAAACTGGAATTTATATAAAATCACTTCAAATAATTCTAAATCTCTTGTTATTCAATTAAGAATTTATAAAAACCAAAACAAATCCACTGTTATTCAAACTTCACAATTTTTTTTAAGAAAAATACTGAAAATAGATTTGGAGAGACTTTGGACATTTTTTTAGTGCAAAAATAATAACAAAACAATACCACCTCTAGAGGTGGTATTTGGTTAAAAAGAAAGTCCAAAAAAAAGCATAATAACGAATGGTTCAATTTTTTCTCTTCCTTCTCGTCTTTCTATCTCTTTCAATTTTCTCTCTTCGTTCTTGTCTTTCTATTACTCTCGATCTCGATTTTACTTTCAAGTTTTCTCTCACTCTCTCCTATCAAGCATTCTCAAGTATCCAACCGAATCCACTTGTAACAGCAACGACGAATCGTTGTCGGAACACGACATGACCGATTCTCATTGCTATCTCTCTTCTTGATTCAGATTAAACCATGATTTTTGTTAATTCCAGAATTGTAGCTTTTGATTTTTGTGATTTGTCCTCAATCCAAAAAGCATAGTTATTAAAAAAAAAGAGGAATGAGTCGTTGACTTCTTCTTTTCTTTTTTACTAATAAATTCTCCCAAATCCTTTCAATAACTCTCACCAAATCACTAATGATTTTTCTTTTTTAAAAAATAAAAATCAAACAAATCAACCCAACCATCCTAAAATTTTACTCAAATCACTCCAAAACTTAAAATATAGAAATTCCACCAAACCCCTCCAAATATTTAATTCAATACACCCCCTTAGATAATAGACAGAGCCGTGATTTAGGTAATTAGGGTATACAAATCTACTAAAATCTTAAGCCAATGGAATTGAATCTTATGAGAGAAATGCTTCGATATCGAGTAATCAACTAGTTCAAGAACTTAGAAAGAATAAACAGTGCAAATGTTGCATATTTCAAAATGTGAACACACAATGGATGTGGATCCTTGAGTTCAAGAAAGCACGTTTAAACACGATAATCCAAAATTTGTGAAGCTAATGATTCCAAGAACCTGGAAACAATAATGAAACTTGAGGACTAATATCAAAGAACTACACTTTTGATGCATTCTAAGGAATGGGAATGCATTAAACGTAATCAACGGGAAAATCATATAAGGAAATGGGTGAATAGCATGGGAATTGATAAGCAAAAATAAGTGAATAACAAAGACGAATGAGAGTAGTTTTCTTAAGCTAATGGAATTGAATCTAACAAGAGAAATTAATGATTTGATATCTAGGTATCAACAATCAACTAGTTCAAGAACTTGGAAAGGATAAAATGATGCAAATGTGGGCAATTTCAAAACGTTTGTAAAGTGTAAACACAATCTTTGAATATGAGTCCTCGAGTTCAAGAAAACACGCATAAACCCGAGCTTCCAACAGAATCAAGAATGTCAGAAACAAATGATTCCAAGAACCTGGAAACAATAATGATACTTAAAAACTATTATCAAAGAATAAACTTTTGGTGCATGAATCAAACCTTTCGAATCAACAGTAAATGGCGAAAACCACGGGAATTGATAAGAAAGAAAAGAGAGGAAATGAGTACCTCACGCAGCCATTGTAGTCGATATCCGCATCAAAGAACTGAGAGATAGACATGTTTTCGCCAAGCACTTTCTTCGCCCGCTCCCTATTCCTCTTATCAACTCTTGCTTCAGCCAAATACAAAAACGCTCTAGCAACCGCTAAAGTAGAAACAAGCAACCATATCGCAGCAAGAAGCCTACCGGGCAATGTATTAAAAGCCCGATCACCATACCCAACTGTAGTAACCGACATAACCGAGAAATAAAACGAATCCAACCACCCGATTTTCTCGACAAAATGCATAATCAAAACACCAAATCCAAGGCATAACACCACAACACCCAATGCCAATCCAACTTTCAACCTAATCCTCATCCTCCCTTTCTTCACATCAATTATATACGATCTCGCTTTCTCCCGGTCATTCAAGTTCAAGCTTTCATTCCTCGCAGTTTCTAACATATAGTTTTCTTGAAGATCAAGAACATAAGTAACCATTCCACTAAGCAATATATCCATAAAACCAAACCCAACAAGCACAAACAATATCGAAAACAGCTTCGTCACCACGCTATCCGGCGTTATATCTCCATACCCAATTGTACACATTGTAACAATACAAAAGTACAAACCATCAACAACAGGATGAGTCTTCTTCACATTGTAGCTATCTCGATTCAACCAATAGATAAGAACACCTAAGGACAGATACACAATAAGCAAAGCAACAGCTTTAATCACAATAGTTTTCGAATCAGATTGCTCTGTTTTCGGATCATTTGGGTGAGATTTATCGTTGATTCCAGCCATAGCAGGAGCTGTTTTAGACCGGTGGAAATTGACGGTCGGTTTAGGTTTCCGGGTCGGTTTATTAGGCTCCGTAAGCGGGATAAGGAGGTCTGTGGAGTCAGAGAATGAGGTTGTGGCGGAGGATGACGGAGAAGGGTTTTGAGAGAGAGCATCGATGAGAAGAGATGAATCTTTTTGAGAACGAGGGAGTGGTCCGAAGATTAACCGGTTTTTGAATTCCGATGGTGTTATTGGCATCGGAATCGTGACGTCGTTGTTCTCCGGTAATGGTAACAGAGACGGTGGTCTGTTAATCAAGTATTGGCGTAATGGTTCATTGTTGTTATCGCCGTTACCGTTGTTTGCCATCTGGGTTTTCGCCGGGAAACCGGAAAGTTGAAACTAGGGTGGTTTTCCGATAATGGTGGAGACAAGAAGAGTGGATAAAGGATGAAGCTTTTTTCTGCCTGAAGCCCCACCAAAGGTTGTACCTTTTTTAGGTTATGATTTGGCTTTTTTGCTGTTGTTATTCTTGAGAATCGTTCATAGTACTGTGATTTAATAAGATTAAAGTTTTCGAAAAAGACAACATTTTTAAATAATGGATTGATTTTAGGAAATGGTAAATTGATTGACACGATATTAGGATAGTTGTGTCTGTTTTTTTTTGTTTTTGTTTTGGTACAATGTGTCATAATTTATTGAGATGATTGATATTGTCGAAAAATAAAATATTGAGATGATTGATACATGAATTTTGGTTCATAGTTAACTTGTACCTATTTGATTAACGAACCCAATGTTGCTGGTAAATTATAAATTGGAACCATAATATTAGTATCAATGAAAATTTAACCAAATGATTTTTTTGTCTTAATCTATTTTTTTTTTGTACGAATTTCTTATTCTGTTTCTTTAAGTAAAGATTGTAACATTTAACCGACTTCTTACAAAAAAAATTCTCTCAGACAACTTCTTCAAATCCTTGTTATCGATTTTACATGAACTAAACCAAATACTAAACGGTTAAAACGATGACTTTTATTATTTTATAAATAAGGATTGAAGTCTTGGCAAAACTAAGCTATTTTTTTTTTTTTACGTCAATCAACTTTGTCATCAAAAGTATTTTGTGAAAAAAAAAAAACGCACACACACAAGTGGAAAGAAGGGGTTAAATCCTATAAACATAGATTAGACAAACGGTACTAATGACCAATTTGTGATAAAAATAAAATAATTGATGGAGTCAACTTTGTTTGTCAACGGCATGGTGTCTCTATCAAGACTGAGTAAGACAAACGGCACGACGTGTCATTTTCCCTGATACAGATGACGCCTGGTTTCGAAAAGTTGGATTTTTAGATACACCTTTTCAAATTATTTTTTAATTTAAATGTTGACACCTTCTGATTTTTGAGAAACAAAACCAATCAAAAGGAATATGTCCGCTGAAAAATTCATCACAAAAATCAAGTGAATGAAAAAAATTTGATTGAATTTACACTAATGGCAATATATCAGAATAAAATTTTGGATATCATTATATTTAAAAATTAAAAACCCAAATATCAATTTTCTTAATTATATAAATTTGATTGCCTGTTCATAGCATCATCGACAAAAAAAAAAAAAACCAGTTCTATTATTGTAACATTTTTACCACTAACTATTGTTATTAATATCCCTACTTCTCATCTTAACAACACGTGTAACGAAAAACACAATTATAGGTGTTATTATAAGTACATATCTTAAGGTTTCATACTAGATCAATCATGTAGAGCTCCAATTTTTTGTCATCTAATCACATAAGTATAAGTATATTTATTTTACTGGTAAACATGTATTGGGCGCTTCTTAATCGTTGCAATGTAAACAGTAAAAGTGAAAAATTATAAATAAAACAAATAAAATCGAATGTAGTAAAATCAGAAAATATTATTATTTGAGCTTTCCTTAAGGCTAAGGCATATTAACAAATACTACAAAGAATGGTTAGTTAAAGCAAAAGCCACATTTTCTTAGCCAATCCTTCTACAAGTCTGCTCTGGTTCTTGCTGCTGTTGTTGTTGGCTATGTCTCAAACTCTGTGACTGCTGATTCTGAGGACCCGAGTATAACCTGTAATAAGTGCTTCCTGAGTCGTTGAGTCCTTGAGGAGTCCACATACTTGAGGTCCCATTCTGAGATAGAACCACAACAAAGAATAATTTCGTATAAAACCGAGGAAGCGGTTTCACACCCCTAAGAGAGATGTGATGGGGTTTTTTTTTACCTGATGCTGAAGTGTTGCCAAGTGATTGCTAAACTGTGAGTGGAAGTCATCTTCATACTCAAACCTCAAGTTTGGAGCGTTATCAATCAACACGCCAAAACCATGAGTCGAACCATTAGTGGAACCGTAAGCGGAACTGTGAGTGGAAGGAACAAAAGGAACAGCATATGGAGAAAGAACACTGTTTCTGTAGTGAGGAAGCGGTGCAGTTAAAGATCTAAGATGGTAACTGCTGTTGTTACGACCACCATGTTGGTGAAATGCTGATGGTGACCTGTTGTAGGTGTCATTCTCTGTTGTCTGAGAGTACGGATAGTTCATCATATTACCATTATTCCCTGAAGGAACCATAGGCTGAGAGTAATGGTGGTTCATGGCTTGTTGATTCATATGTGGTTCACTGATAGAAGCGTTTAGTAGCACCTGCAAAAATGAAAACCATACTAAATATGAATCATATATACGGGTCAAGAGAAATCGTTTAAAGATGAAAAAAGATCGGTGCTTTATGAGAAAAAGAGTTACCTCAGTCACTGAACCCAATAGCCTAGGACAAAGTGAAGATGTAGTAGGCATTGACTGATTGTGAGGAGAAGCCGAGAACTGAGGATCCGGTTCCCTTGTGTATGCTTGTTGACGCTACAACGTATGACAAACAAAAAAAAGACGAAGATGAAGAAATCTCTCATACTATGACACAATGAGAAGTATTGGTTTGATTCAGAGAAATTAGGATTCGTATAGAGCACAAGATTTAGCTACTGAAGTTGTGTATTAAGATGAAACAGAATAAACAAAAAAAAGTTAGCAGTTTCTTTTACCATAGCAGGGAAGGTATTAATATTCTGCATCTGAAGGCTTAAAGGAGCCACCACAGGATTCAACAGCTGCCTATTATCAAATACGAAATCTCTAGCAGATGAAGACTCGTATTGATTTTCTTGAGTAGGTTCTATCTGACCATTAGCAGCATTAATCCGTAGTCGTTGTTCTTCATCTTCATGGAACTCACCATCTCTGTGAAAATATTTATGAGACCATGTAAACGGATAAAGCTAGAGAGTAGATAGTAAATAGCTTACCTTGTGTTCAGGTAACTTAACGACAAATCATCTGCAAAATCAGATATATCTTCTGAGTCATCATCATCCAAGAACCGTGATGGGAGACCGCTGGGTTGGCAAGATCCATTCATCCCAGAACCAAAACTACAAAATCTCCAATGCTTTAACTCTTTAACATATGCTTCCGGCTCATCATTCTCTGTAGAGAGTTGCTGTAAACTGGTGACAACAGACGCTGGTGGATCTTTGGCTGAAATAGCAGCAAACTCAATAAATGAGGTAGACAACTGAGAAGCAAGATCGTCAACCCGCAAGTTTTGGATAATTTCTGGAGTAAACTTGAGAAATTGTTCTCTTTCAGCATCATATGAGGTAGCTAATGGATAAGTAACACTGTCATCCCGTAAGTTCCGCAAGTTTTGTTTGAATACCGATGCAGACTCAATAAATGAACGTCTTTGCACTAGGTAAGTCTCATCATTTTTGTTATTGTCGTTGTCACACAATAACTGTGAGCCTCCATAGTCATCGTCGCGAAATCTTTGGTTGAATATTGAAGAAGTAGACTCTCCAAATTGATCTCCTCTAGCAGCAGACTCGACAAATGAGTTAGACAACGGACAAGCAACATCGTCAACACGCAAGTTGTGGATAAATTCTGCAGTAGACTTGCGAAATTGTTCTGTTTTAGCATCATATGAGGTAGATAATGGATAAGTAACACCGTCATCGCGCAAGTTTTGTTTGGATACCGATGCAGACTCTCGAAGTTGATTTCTTCTGACATCAAACTCAAAAATCGAGTTAGAGAAATAAGAAAAATTGTCATGCAGGTTTTGGTTGGATACCAAAGCAGACTCATCCCTTCTAGCAGCAGACTCATCTGGCCTCTCAGGTAAGTGACAATCATCCTTGAGAGGAACTTTAGTTACACTCTCTTTTAATGAAGCTATGCCCATCTTCACAACAACAGATCCATTCATCCCAGAACCATAATTACCAAATCTCAAATGCTGTAACTCTTTAACCGGTGCTTCCGGCTCATCATTCTCTGTAGGGAGTTGCAGTAAACTGGTGACAACAGACACCGGTGGATCTTTGTCTGCAACAGGAACAATTGGAACATGAAACAACACTCTCAGGAAAAGAAAACATAGCAGGTCTCAGAAGAAAAAAGAAAATCTCACTTTGATTGTGTTCAAATTCAGTCACATCATTTTTGTTACTGTGATTGTCAGACAACAACTGTGAGCCTCCATGGTCGTCATCACGAAAATTTTGGTTGGATACTGAAGTAGACTCTCCAAGTTGATCTTCTCCAGCAGCAGACTCAATAACTGAGTTAGACAATGGACAAGCAAAATCATCATCGCACAAGTTTTGGTTAGATACCGATGGAGACTCTCGAAGTTGATCTCTTCTAGCAGCAGCTGACTCATTTGGCCTCTCAGGTAAGGGACAATCATCCTTGACAGGAGCTTTAGTTACACTCTCGTTTGATGAAGCTAAACCCATCTTCAAAACATCAGCCATTGTTTTCTGACCAGAGGTACCACATCCCCAAGCAGGTATCAACCTAGAAGATGGCACAGATAACAAAGGAACTGCTTCACCTGAGCTTGTTGGCATTCTCTTAGTTTCAACATTTAATACATTTCTGCAAAGACACATATAGCGTGTAATGTTACAAGCAAGCTGGTGAAGGTAAACCTGTAACTAACTTTTATGCCACTTCATCAATTATCAGATATATCAATTGAAAACATAAGGCATTTACAATAGATTAAATCGAGTACGACATGAAGAGAACCTGTTCAATGGAGGAGCGGGACCAAGAATACTGTCTGTAGTAGATGAACCAGCCAAATGATTAAGAATTCCTTGCACATCACTCGTCTCTGAACCAAACCCATTGGTAACTTTAGACATTTGTTTGAGATATATAACAGAAGAAAAGATCAGTTCTCTGCATCTCATTACCATCTGAGTTAAACTTGTTTCCACCACTTTGACCAACATAATTATCACCGCCATTCCTCAATTCACGATTCTGGTTGCTACTACCAACTCTTTGAGAATCCGATGTGTCCTTGGTATGAGAAAAATGAGCATATAAGTGGAATAGGACATAAAAAAGGGTCAAGCTCTACAGTAGAAATTTTACTCAAAGGTCTCTAGATTCTGTTTCTAATACACACAAACCTCTTTCTTCTCGTCTTGGTTGCTCTTAACTTGCTGAACACTATCTGAAAAAGTTATCGAAGCAACATTGTCAAAAATCAACACGAGGAAAAAGAATCATGAGGCAAAGGTAACTCAGACGCAAAGAAAATTCATGGATGTTGAATCAGATTCAAAGAAAGAACTGATTTTTGATTCTTTCCAGAAACATACCAATGAGAGGAAAAAGAAACAAGCCTTGCTCTGTAATCTTTCATCTTCATTTCTTCTTCCCACTTTACTTTCAACTAAACAACTTGAAAGCTTAAAAACCCAGAAAGAAAGGCAGAAACTTTTCGAAGAAACCTTGAGAAAGAAGACGATTCACGGCTTTGTCAGCATCCATGTTGCATTCTACAGGCATTTTTTTAGTCTCTTCTTCTGAGCACTTCACAATTTCCTGCACATTCTGTACAACCTCTTTGAAATCCACCGGAACACTCTCGCCCATTCTTGACTTTTCCTTGGCCTGGGAACGATAAGCAAAAAAGTGGAATAGAACTTAGAAAGGTTCAAGCTTTACATTAGGAATTACACAACAATCTATATAGAATAGTACACACAAACCTCTTTCTTCTTGTTTCGTTTACTCTCCACTTCCTGAAAACTATCTGGAATCGTAATCGCAAAATTGTCAGAAATTAAGTAACACTTGATTTTAGGCTAATTATCTAAATTCAAAGAAACATAACAAATTAACAATAGCAAAGAATATGCGAAGAGAAAGGGTTTACGAGATTCACTAGCACGAGGTTACAATTCCCAAAAAACTCAAGAAACATACCAATCAGAGGAAAAAAGAAACAAGCTTTGCTCTGCTTTCTTTCATCTTCGTTTCTTCTTCTTACTTTCAACGAAACAAGTTCAAAGCTTATAAAACCCTAGAAAAAAGGCAGGAACTTTATCGAAGAAACCTTGAGAAAGAAGACGATTAATGGCTTCGTCAGCGTTCATGTTGCATTCTACAAGCATTGAGTAAATCTCTTGTTCGGAGCAATTCATGATTTCCTTCATTGCCTGTACGATTTCTCTCGAATTCTCCGGGATAGCGTTAACGTTAATGTCTTCTTCTTCTTCTTTCTTTCTCTGTCCTTTCCGTTTTTTGCCGGAAGATGAAGAACCCATTTCTGATTCAACAGAAACTTCTTCGACACACGGTTCTTTTTCTTTCACAGTCGCGATTAAACAACGAAAAGGATTCTCTTTGTTTCTCTCTCGCTTCTGGTTTCGAGTATCAAGAAACCCTTTTTTTTTGTTCTTTCCCTCTGTCTTTCTCTTTCAATTTTTTGGGGCTTATTATTGGGGAAGACAAAAAAGGTTCAAATTTGGAAATAAAAAAACACTACTTTCCAAAGTTTTACCCACTTCTGATTTTCTAGATTAAAATCGTATATAAAAAAAGCGGTTCTTCTAGAAAACTTTCCACCGTCTTTCTCAAATCGAGATTTTCCTTCCGCCGGTTGCGGATCTACTTTCCGATACATCGGATCTTCAATCTTCTTTATCATGGCTGATAAAGATCTTTGGTTGGCTTTACAAAATCTCAATCTGGGGTCAGATCGGAGGCCGATTAAACTGTCTCTTGAAGCTATAAGAAAGAAGGAAGCGGATCATCAGCTTAGCTTGGTGGTCAAAGGTTTACACCCATCTCAGAATCCAGCTGGAATCAAACTCATGATGCCAAGAATCTGGAAATTGGAGGGTAGAGTTAGCAGCAGGATTAATGAAGATGGTACTGTTCAGTTCTTCTTCAAATACGAGCACCAGATGCTCAATGTTCTTGATCACGGACCTTGGACTTACAAGGATTGGTTAGTTGTTGTCGATAAATGGATTAATAGAAGGTCTCCTGATTTTCTACGTATGATACCTTTCTGGATTAGGGTTCTTAACATCCCTGATGATTCCAAGGAGAAACGTTCAATTGAAGAAATAGGTGGAGTCCTGGGTCATGTTGAAGAGGTTCATATCCAACAACCCACAGCGGATACGGCTGGTGAAGTATGGATTCGTGTTAAAATCGACATATCTGATAGATTAATCTTTGCTCGATATTTTCAACTTGATGTTGCGGGGGAACCGACTCTAATTCGTTATGTTTATGATAAGCTTCGCAAATTCTGCACTAAATGTGGGAGTCTTATTCATATGGAAACCAATTGTAACTTTCATGAACATGAAGCAGAGCGTCTACAACTGCCAGCCCCTGCTCAAGTATCAAGTCAAGTTAGACCTGCTGAGAATCCTGAGCAAAGACCTCATACTCCTACTGAAGAGGCGGATGACACAATGGAAGAGACTGTTGGCTCTAATATTAATATGGATACTTCAGAGGTTCAACTGCACGACAACACTCCGGGTGAATTCATGGATTCTCTCAACCTCGTTGAAGCCAATGATGTGATAAATGCCACTTTTGCTGTTAAGGAAATTGGCTCTGCATCTGTACCAGCGCAAGATCGAGGAACTAAGCGGAAGGCTGAAGACACAAATGTTGAAGATGAAGTGTCCACATCTAGACAGAGAACACATGGTGCTTACTTAAACCAGGCTACAGGGGAGGTGGTAACCCCGAAGCCACCACTCCCAGAATGAAGATCCTCCATTGGAATTGTCAGGGCTTGAGGAACCCCCTGACAATTCCCTTTTTGAAGGATATCAATCGCAGACATAAGCTTGATATCATGTTCCTCGTAGAGACCAAGAATAAGGATAGCTTTGTTCGTAATCTATGTAAGGATCTTCAGTTTGATCATCACTTTTTGGTATCTCCAGATGGTCTAAGCGGCGGTCTAGCTATTTTTTGGCGCAATACAGTAAAGTGTGACTTCATTTCTACTCCTACACTTTACTGTACTGATATGTACATTACTGAAGGGTCAACTACTTTTTGCCTCACTTACATCTATGGTAACCCAGAAAGAAAGCCAAGACAGCAACAATGGATGCAAATGGAAGCCTTAATCAAAGCAGGTCTTTACCAGAACAAGCCAAGAGTGGTTCTAGGTGATTTTAATGAGATCAAATCTAATTCAGAAAAACTTGGAGGAGCTCAAAGGCCAGAGTGGCAGTTCGCAAATTTTAGAAGAATGTTGAGAGTGGCTGGACTTCATGATCTAAAGACATATGGTGGAATCTATACTTGGATAGGGAATCGAAGTTCAGGAACTATTAAGTCAAGGCTGGATAGAGTAGTAGCCAATGCGGATTGGAAAGATAAATTTCCAAGAGCATTTGCTCAATTATTGGAGTGGATTGGTTCTGATCATAGACCTTTATTACTCCATACTGAGAATAGCAAATGGAGAGGAAAGAAACTGTTTCGTTATGACAATCGCTGGAGACTATTCCCTGAGGCACATTCAGCCCTCCAGGATACGTGGAACCAAAAATGTAGTATGCTGCCTCCCACTCAATTCAATGAAGCATTGAAAAGATGTCGCCATAGCCTAGCATGCTGGAAGTCCACAAACAACCTCAATTCCCAAAAGAAGATCCAGCAGCTTCACAGAGAACTACAATCAGCGTATGATTCTCCTTATTTAGATTATTATCATATTAGTACTCTAAAAAGTCAGTTACAATATGCATATCGATTGGAGGAGGAGTTTTGGCGTACTAAGAGTCGCATACAATGGATGCAAGCAGGCGACAAAAATACTAAATATTTCCACGCAAAAACAAAACAGAGAAGGAGTCATAATCGTATTACTTCTCTCCAAAATGAGGCAGGAGATATAAAGCAGACTGATGAAGAAATCCAGAAGATCATTCACTCCTATTTTACTGATATTTACTCTTCTCCTTGCAGCAATCAAATGGATTCTGTGATTCAGCTAATCCAGCCAAAGGTGACTCAAGAAATGAACTGCCAGCTGACAAAACCAGTGACTGAGAAAGAAGTCTACCAAGCTTTGTCCCATATGAGTATTGATAAGACACCGGGCCCTGATGGTTTGAATGCAGGGTTTTATAAGTTTCATTGGAACACAATCAAAACAGGTGTGGTTAATTTTATCTCTCACTTCTTCAATACAGGATATTTAGATCCAGATATTAACCACACCTATATCTGCCTGGTTCCCAAAGTTGAATCCCCTCTACACGTGAAGGATTTTAGACCAATTAGTTTATGCAATATAGCATATAAGCTAATTTCTAAAATCCTAGCAGATAGACTGAAACCCTGGCTCCATATCTTAATCTCAGAATGTCAGTCTGCTTTTATTCCAGGACGATATATTACAGATAATATTATCATAACCCATGAGCTCTTGCATTCATTGAGGACCAAAAGTATCAAAAATCCTTTTATGGCTCTGAAACTTGATATAGCCAAAGCTTTTGACAAAGTGAACTGGTCCTATCTTGAAGCTCTATTGTATCGTCTTGGTTTTGCAGAGAAATGGTGTAGATGGGTAATGACTTGTGTTTCAACGGTGTCATACTCTGTCCTTGTCAATGGCTCACCAACCTCAAAAATAATTCCACACAAGGGACTGCGACAAGGTGACCCACTTTCTCCCTATTTATATTTACTTTGCACAGAAGGACTATCATCTCTCCTTAATCATGCTGTATCCACAGAGCAAATTCATGGTTTTAAGGCTAGCAGAAATGGTCCTCCTATATCGCACATGTTTTTTGCTGATGATTCTCTTCTATTTTGTCAAGCTAAGGAGAACGAATGCCAAACAATTCTTCAGATCCTACAAACCTATGCCTTGGCTTCAGGACAACATGTGAACTTCCAAAAGTCAGCCATTCTCTTTGGTAAGAATGTAGAACCAGTGATTCAGTCTAATATTCAAAACCTGATGGGTATCACTCGTATAGGGAGTTTTGGTAAATATCTTGGCTTGCCTGAGGCAGTGGGTAGAAATAAGTATGATGTTTTTGCATACATCTCTCAAAGAGTGCAACATAAATTAGAAAGTTGGTACTCAAAGCTCTTATCTCCAGCTGGTAAAGAAATTCTTATTAAATCTGTGGCCACAGCCCTTCCTACATATACCATGTCTTGTTTTCTGCTCCCTAAGCGCTTAACTTCACAAATTACAGCTCAGATAAGGCGCTTCTGGTGGTCAAGTATCAAAGACAAGAGAAAAATTCCTTGGGTGGCATGGAATAAGATGACTATGTTAAAGCAATATGGCGGTATGGGATTCAGAGACTTGAATCTTTTTAATATTGCATTATTAGCAAAACAGAGCTGGAGAATCCTTAAGGAGCCACAATCTCTTATGGCTAGAGTCCTCAAAGCCAAATATTTTCCAAAATCTGTCTTGATGGAAGCTACATTGGGTCATCGTCCTAGCCATGCGTGGAGAAGTATTTTCCAAGGTATTGATCTTATAAAACAAGGCTTAAAATGGAGGATAGGGGATGGTACAACTGTTCGTATATGGCATGATCAATGGCTGGACCAACCTCCTCGTCCAGCTAAAAGCTTAAATAGTATTGCTAATGATTCATTAAAAGTTTCAGGGATTATGATGCAACATTCTACATCTTGGAATGATGCAAAATTGCAGGAACTGGTTTGCCCTGAAGATATCCAGCTAATTAAAAGGATTAGGCCTCGTATTGTCAAAACACCGGATGTTCCAACATGGATATTCACCAAGGATGGACAGTACTCAGTGAAATCAGGTTATCATCAACTTATAAAAGTTAATTCTAACAATACAAGTTCTCTCTGGAAATCTATTTGGTCAATGAATGTGCCACCAAAAATAAGGCACTTTTGGTGGAGAGTAATGCATAATGCTATCTCTGTTACAGCTAATATCGCTCATAGGCGAATGAAAGTGTTGACAGACTGTCCCTTCTGTGGTGAAGCTGAAGAATCAACTATACACATCTTGTTCCAATGTCGGGTTGCTAGAGAAATCTGGGAACTATCGCCCCTTTCAATATCACCAGGTCAGTTTATGCAGAAGACTTCAACTCTTAATATTATCCAAGACCTGCTTTCTTCTGCAAATCAAGATAACTCTAAGGAACCATTATTCCCATTTATTGGTTGGCGGATTTGGAAAGCTAGGAATGCACTTCTTTATGAAAATAAAAGATGTGCCATTCCTAATATTATAAATCAAGCTCTGATGGATTGGCGACTATGGAAGAAAGCCTCAGAATATCCTTCTTTACAGTCTCAGCAGTCTATAAAAGACGGCCAATCAGTTCCCCATCATAATCAACAGATGCTTGTCACTAATACATCTTTATACTGTTGTGTAGATGGCTCATGGATTGACCCTACTAGCAATGCTGGCATTGGATGGGCACTATACAATATAGAGAGACAATGTCTCATTAAGGGCTCCTCTTCGATAGAGCCTACTAGCTCTGCCTTGGAAACGGAAGCAATAGCACTAAGAGAGGCTATCCTCCAAATTAAACGCCTTAACTATCGCGATGTCACTCTCTGTGGAGACTCCAAAATCCTATATACTTATTTGGAGACAGCTATGCAACAAGATCAACCACCACCAGGAAACTTGGAGATTCAAAACTATCTAGAGGATATTCTGCTGATAAACAAAGGCATGTACCATTTTAAACATATCCCTCGTGAGATAAATGCTATGGCTGACAAGTTAGCTAGAGAAGCTAGGGTTATGAAATCTCCTTTTGTTGTATCCTGGGTTACCTAAACAACTGTGTTGATGTACTCTATTACTCTATCTAATGAATGGATAAGTTGGCCGACAAAAAAAAAGATTAAAATCGTATATTACTGTTATCGAAAAAAAAATCGTAAATTAATTATGCTATCAATGATTATTTGCAGCTTATGTATTATTTTTGTCGTCTAATCACACAAGAATCAAGTATATTTATTTTGTTTGTGCATATAGTAATTGTGTTCATAGTATATCTATCGTTGCAATGTAAACAGTGAAAATGAAAAATAATGATAAAAGTCAAACTCTTATCGTTACCAAAAATAAGAATCGAAAGTAGTGAAATCAGAAAACTTTATTTTAGCTTTTTTAATGGTAAGGCATATTAACAAAACAGAGTAGTTTATAGTACTACATACAAAGAAGGGTTAGTAAATGTAAAACCCATTATAAGTTGTTAAGTAAAATGTATCAGAAAAAAATTTGATTGGTTGATTTTGATTAGTTGTTGTTTCTTGGCCATTGCTGTTGTTGGGTTTGGTTAGATGGGTCTCCTCTTCTACTGGTTTGTTGGTCCAGATATGCATAGTAACGACTGCTTCTTTCAAATGCATTGCCAATTCCTCTATAAGGCTCCTCTTGTTCTACTTGTTGTTGGTTATGTCTGAAACTCAGTGACTGTTGATTCTGATGACCCGGGAATACGCTGCCATAATTCCTTCCTGACTCGTTGTGTCCTTGAGGAGGAGTCCACATATTTGAGTTCATACCCTGAAGGTCAAAGAAACACAGGTTCTGGTATAAAATTCTCCAAACCAATTAAGCCGAGAAAAGCTGAACAAAACCGAAATTTCAAATGCTCACACACATAAGAGAGATGTGATGGGCTTCTTTTTTTCTACCTGATGCTGAAGTGATGCCAAGCGATTTCTAAACCGTGTGTGCAAGTCATCTTCATACTCAAACCTCAAGTTCGCAGTGTTATCGCTCAACATGCCAAAACCGTTAGCAGAATCGTAAGCCGAACCAGTAGTGGAACCGTAAGCAGAACTACGAGTGGAAGGACCGGCAGCGACAGTTGGTTGACATGGATAACTGTTTCTGTGCAAAGGAAGCGGTGAAACTAAAGGATGAAGATGGTAGGCATTGTTGTTACCACCACCATGTTGCTGAAATGCTGATATTGGCATGTCGTAGGTATCACTCTGTGCTGGCAGAGAGTAAGGATAGTTCATCATATTACCATAATGCTCTGATGGAACATTAGGCTGAGAGTAAAGGTGGTGGTGGTTCATCTGTGGTGCATAGATAGAAGCGATTAGTAGTGCCAGGTAAAGAAAAGTCGTTTAAAGAGGGAAAAAGTCGTTTAAAGATGAGAAATAGAGTTACCTCGGGCATGGAAAGTGATAGCCTACGACCAAGTGAAGATGCACCAGGCATTGACTGATTGAGAGGAGAAGCCAAGTGCCAAGGATCCAGTTCCCTCGTGTATGCTTGTTGATGCTACAACATATGGCCAAAAGAAGCATGGATTTAAGCTGAAGAGTATCTTATACTATGACACAATGGAATTGTTGGTTTGATTCAGAGAAATTAGCATTCTTATATATAGCTTGAGAAGTTGTGAATTAAGATGGAGTGGAAGAAACAATAAAGTTAGCAGTTTTTCTGTTACCATAGTGTCGGGGAAGGTATTCAAATTTTGCATCTGAAGACTTCGTTCTGAAGAAGCCATCACAGGATTGAACAGCTGACTATTATAAAATGAGAAACCTGTAGCAGATGAAGACGTGTACTGGTTTTCTTGAATAGGTTCTGTCTGATCACAGTTGATTTCATATGCCATTTGTTCATTTGCAACATTCATCCTTGGTTGTTGTTGTTCCTCTTCATGGCACTCACCATCTCTGTGTGAAAATGTTTATGAGATCTTTAGATCATCAAAATGGATAAAGCTAGAAGAGCAGATAAAAAAGGCTTACCTTAAGTTCAGGCGTCTGAGAGACAAATCATCTGCAAAACCGGATATATCTTCTGAGTCATCATTCAAGAACTGTGATGGGAGACTGCTATGTTCGCCAGATCCATTTATCCCAGAACCAAAACGACCAAATCTCAATTTCTTTAACTCGTTAATACATTGGTCTAAATTTGCTGGCGCGAAAGGATCTTTGGCTGAAATAAGAACAAAGGGAGCATGAAACAACAAGTATCAGGAAAAGAAAAAATAGCAGGTTTCAGAAGAGTAAAATATCCTCACTTCGATTGTTCTCAAAAGAACATCTTTTCACTTGGTAAGTCTCATCATTTTTGTTATTGTAATTGTCACACAACAACTGTGAGCCTCCATCGCGAAATGTTTGGTTGGATACAGAAGCAGATTCTTGAAGTCGGTCTCTTATAGCAGCAGACTCAATAAATGAGTTAGAGAATGGATTAGGAACAACTGGATTCTCAGGTAAGAGACAATCATCCTTGACAGGAGCTTTAGTTACACTCTCTTTTGGTGAAGCTGAACCCATCTTCACAACATCAGCCACTGTTCTCTGACCAGAGGCACCACATCCCCAAGCAGGTATCAACCTAGAAGATGGCACAGATAAAGAAGGAACTGCTTCACCTGAGCTTGTTGGCACTCTCTTAGTTTCAACATTTGATACAGCACTGTAAACAAAGAGATAGCGTGTAATGTTACAAGCAAGCAAGTGGAGGTAAACCTGTCATTAGCTTTCATGCCATTTCATCAATTGACAAAATGAAGGCATTTACAAGAGATTAAACCTGTTCAATGGAGGACTGGGACTAAGAATGCCGGCTGTAGTAGATGAACCAGCCAAATGATTACGACTTCCTTGCACATTACTCGTTTCTGAACCAAACTTATTGATATAACTTTAGACATTTGTTTGAAATACAGAACCACTATTAACAGAAGGAAAGATAGGTTTTATGCATCTCAGTACCATAAGAGTTAAGCTTGTTTCCTCTACTTTGATCAACATAATAATCACGGCCGCTCTTAAATTCGCGATACCGGTTGCTACCACTAATAAGTCTTTGAATCTCTGATGCGTCTTTGGCCTGGGAAAAATAAGCAAATAAGACTTAAAAAGGTTCAAGCTTTACATTAGAAATGACACAACAATCTATATAGTAGTACACACAAACCTCTTTCTTCTTGTCTCGTTTACTCTTCACTTTCTGAAAACTACCTGAACAAGTAATCGAAGCAGCATTATCAGCAATCAACTAACGAGCAAAGAAAACTCAGAGGCAAAGAATCACTAGAACAAGGTTTCAGTTCCCATAAAACTCAAGAAACATACCAATCTGCTTTCTTTCATCTTCGTTTCTTCTTCTTACTTTCAACCAAACAACTTCAAAGCTTATAAAAAAAAGGCAGAAACTTTAACGAAGAAACCTTGAGAAATAAGACGACTAATGGCTTCGTCAGCATCCATATTGCATTCTTCAAGCATTGCGTAAATATCTTGTTCGGAGCAATTCACGATTTCCTTCATATTCTGTACAATCTCTCTCCAATTCTCCGGAATAGTATTTCTATGTCCTCTCCCTTTTTTGCCGGAAGATGAAAAACCCATTTCTGATTCAACAGAATCAATCAACACGAAGAAAGAACAAACGAAAAGATTGATCTTTGTTTCCCTCTCTCTTTCTCTCTCGCTTCTGGCTTTTGAGTATCAAGAAACTCTGTTTATTTTTCTTTCCCTCTGTCTCTCACTTTCAATTTTTGGGCTTAATTTGGAAATAAGAAAACACAACTTTCCTAAGTACGAGGACTTAGTTGTAAATTAGTACAATTTAGTAGATTTATAAACTAATATTCATAAGTACGAGGACTTATTTGTAAATATTTGCAAATATTGCACCATATAACATTAGCTCTGTTGATTTGAATCTTGACCGTTAAAAAAAGATGCGGCTCTTGCTTCCATATTCCTCGCCGTTATCCGCCACGTCATCACCGGCGACGCCGCAATTTCTCCCGGAATTTCCACCTCCGTCTCAATTTGACTACTCGGGTCTAACTAAAATTCTCAAAAAATCGGTAATCGGAACCCTAACCGGAGCTCTATCACTCACTCTCGTTTTCTCGTCGCCGATTTCTTCCGTTGCTGCTACTAATGATCCTTATCTCTCTCTCAATCCTCCTTCTTCATCGTTTGAATCTTCACTGAATCACTTTGATTCGTCTCCGGAGGATTGTCCTAATGAGGAAGAAGCTGATACTGAGATTCAAGATGATGACTTTAAGCCTCAGTTAGTAACCAATGAAGGGATTGTTGAAGAAGCTTGGGAGATTGTTAACGGTGCCTTTCTCGATACTCATAGCTATAGTTGGACTCCTGAAACGTGGCAGGTATGTGAATTAGCTTGTTGGGGTGGATAAAGGAAGAAGCTTTTTATGTGTAAAGATTGGATTTTTATTGTTACTTTGCAGAAACAGAAGGATGAGATATTAGCTAGTCCTATTAAGAGTAGATCAAAGGCTCATGAAGTGATTAAGAAAATGTTGGCAAGTTTGGGTGATCAGTACACTCGATTTCTATCACCAGATGAGGTTTTTGTTCTTTACATTGAATTTGAGTGATGGAGGAAGGAATCTTAAGTTGTTCTAGTTACGCATAACTTTGTTTGTGTCACTTGTTTGTAGTTTTCTAGGATGTCGAAGTATGACATTACTGGTATAGGAATAAACCTTAGAGAAGTTTCTGATGGTGGTGGAAATGCAAAGTTGAAGGTTCTTGGTCTTGTATTGGACAGTCCTGCTGATATTGCTGGTGTGAAACAGGTTAAAAATAAAAACCGGTCTAGTTTCTTTCTAGTAGTTTTATTTGCTGCTGGTTTTGCTCAAAGTGTGCCATGTCTTTCTCTTGTTAGGGAGATGAAATTCTTGCTGTCAATGGAATGGATGTTAGTGGGAAATCATCATTTGAAGTATCATCTTTGTTACAAGGCCCTAGTAAAACTTTTGTGGTTCTCAAGGTTACTATTCTTAATTATAAGATACAGACTAAATACATGAGTACTTGATTTAAGTTTGGAATCAAGATTTATGTAGTTTATGCATATTGCAGGTGAAGCATGGGAAGTGTGGAACTGTTAAGTCTCTTAAAATCCAGAGACAAGTTAATGCACTGACCCCAGTCTCTTATCGGTTGGAAAAAGTTGACAATGGAACAGTCTCTGTCGGGTATATTCGCCTGAAAGAGTTCAATGCTCTGGCTAGAAAAGATTTGGTGATTGGTAAGCCTTTACATGTTGTCACATCAAAGCTATCAACTTTTGGTCCCATCCTTTTATCTACTTGTGTTTATACTACACATCTTTTCACTATGTGCAGCAATGAAACGACTCCAAGACAAGGGTGCGTCTTATTTTGTAATGGATCTTAGAGATAACCTTGGTGGACTTGTGCAGGTTCATTCTACAACTGTAACTTAAGACCATATCTTCTCACAAATGCTTTACAAGTACTTGATTCTTCACTTAGCCTGCGTTTCTCGGTTTTGATTATTTCAGGCTGGAATAGAAACTGCTAAGCTGTTCCTAGATGAAGGGGATACGGTAAAGCAACAATCATTTAGAATCCCAAACATTTTCAATCGTTTTTCAGGAATATGAAACAGAATAGCTTGCTTCAACTTACATGAAGAGTTCCATCACGATTTGCTTAACCTCATGTTATTATGTTGAAATTGTGTAACAGGTGATATATACAGCTGGGAGAGACCCCGAGGCTCAAAAAACTGTTGTTTCAGATAAGAAACCGTTGATCACTGCCCCACTTATTGTATGTGATAGATCATGTAAGCCATTTAATCTTTCGCACTATTATGTTTTTTTTGCATCATGCACTGATTAGAATCCTAATCATTGTTGCAGGTAATGGTAAATAACAGAACAGCAAGTGCTAGTGAAATTGTGAGTAATCTTAATCTACAAGCCTCTGAAACTCGTCTTTTTTTTTTTTATCATTAAGCGGAATGATTTGTGTCATGTTTCTCCAGGTGGCCTCTGCACTTCATGATAACTGTAAAGCAGTTCTTGTTGGCGAAAGAACTTACGGAAAGGTTATTCCAAAGTCTTAATAGTTTTATAACCAATCTATCAATTTTGAAATGTTTTTTGATCATCTTCATGTCAATGGAATTAATGGGTTTCAGGGTTTGATTCAATCGGTGTACGAACTCCGAGATGGTTCAGGAGTTGTTGTGACAATAGGAAAGTACGTCACACCTAACCATATGGACATCAATGGTGGTGGAATTGAACCTGACTTCAGAAATTTACCAGGTTTAATTAAGCTCTTGAATCTTGATGTTTTGTCATTTGAATATTTGAACATTCATTAACCTCAAATTTTGATATGTACAACATGCAGCTTGGGATGAAGTTAAAGAACGTTTATCTAAGTGCAATATTCTCCAACGAAGTTGACATGCAATGAAACTCATCAAGCTGTGTACTTATTATTCTTTGCTCAAACCACAAAAAAAAAAAAAAATACACGATCGAATCTGGCAAAAAAATTGGGTGTAAATTAAGTTTTGGCTAAAGTTAAAGACTTAAAAGAGTATCTATAATAAAAATATGAGTCATTCTTGATCTTCTGGAGAACCTCCAACGGACTATAGCCATAAGTCTTTAGGGTAAGATTCAGATTTAAGGTTTGGTAGGGTTCACCAAAGAAGATTAAACATGGTCCAATAGACGTTGAAGTTATGGTTTGTTAATCAATAACTAAAATAAGATTTTTCATCTGTTAAATCTATGACATTTGATCTCCATCTGTTAAAATCAAATGAACGTTACCTGAATTTATAGGAAAAAAAAACGTAACTGACATTTTATTTAGTATTTACCCATAAAATCATTTTGTCCTATATTAAGCTGAAATTGAATTCTTAATTAATTATGAAATCAAGTGAACTTTATATGAATTTATAAAAAAGAAAACGTAACTGAAAGCCAATTAACCTATGAAATCATTGTCCTATATTAAGTTGAAATTGAAATCCTAATTAATTAGAAACTAAAACAGACAAATACGTTACTTGAACCAATTAAATAGACAAATACGTTACTTGACCCATTTAAACCTAAGTTTGAATTACCGTTCAAAAAATGTTATAAAGACAGACTTTTTCTTCAATGGAATAGAGTATTCTCCTGAGAATTTTGTATATGTAGTCTCCAACTACATAACTAAAGATAGATTGAAGAAGGGAAAAAGAAGAACAACTTCTAAGTATAGTTAGAACATTAGGGTAGAAGCTTTGTTGTTTGCCAATTATTAGATATCATTGTTTTTAAGGAACCCAAAACAATAGTAAAGCTTTCTTGAAGTTAGTGTGACATAAGGAGATTTCTCTAGAGAAAGCATATAAGTACAAGAGGTAACAACTATCTCTAAAGAAATATCTTCATGCTTATAAAACCTTCTCACGTTAACCTCAAAGGAAGCCTTACTATCTTTTTTGGGTTTCTTAAGGATAATGATACCTAAGTAATTGGGAAACCACAAAAGCTTCTAACCTAATGTTCGTTGCGAATGTGCCTCATAATCATCTCATAGTTAACTCATCATATATTAGCAACGAATTAGCAATATTCGAAAGATTTGATATCAAATAACACTAAATCAATTCTAACATGTGAGGGCTTGGCAACTTGCCGCTCATTTGTGATGAGTGACAAGATTGTAACGATCCTAACAACCTTACACTCGACATCCGTTTTCGACGCACAAATCCGACAACCATTTTGTTTATAATAATCCTAAAAACCTTCACACTCTCATTTTGGTTATAATGATCTTAAAAACCTTCACACACTCATTTTGGTACACACCTAATTTCTTTTAAAAATTTCAAGAGAAATTTATTTTAGTGTTGTTATTTGCCAAATTGACCATAATTGAAAAAAAGAAAATTCAAACTCTCGTCTATCAATGGTGACGACGGAGGTTAGGACCGCCGTCTCCGATAAGGAACCATTGCCACCGTCTCCACAATTAGACGGATCTAGTGGTAAACCCTCTATCTATCTCTCTCTCTCTCTCTCTGTGCATCAGTTTTGGGTTATCTCCATTGCAGAGCGATTCCGCCATTACTCAAAGAAGCAAATAGAATCATAAGTCACCTCATTGGGTTGATTTCGTTTGAGTTGCAGATTTCCTCGACAACGATAGATTACAAGAAACTTTCTCCAGTGGAGCACTTGATTTTGATGAATGGACTTTGTTAATCTCCGAAATTGAGACTTCGTTCCCCGTAAGCCGCACTCATTGTGGTGCAAAGCATTTCTGATTTCGTGATCTAAAATTAGGGTTCTTTTGTGTAAATTTCAAAACTTTGTTTCGTAGGAACTAAAATCTCTGAATTTGCTATTTGTAGGATGATATTGAGAAGTTATGTTTAGTTTACGATGCGTTTTTGTTGGAGTTTCCATTGTGCCATGGCTATTGGAGGAAATATGCTTACCATAAGATAAAGTTATGTACTTTAGAAGATGCTGTTGAAGTTTTCGAACGAGCAGTTCAAGCAGCTACTTATTCTGTAGCTGTATGGCTCGACTATTGCGCTTTCGCCGTTGCTGCTTATGAAGATCCTCATGATGTTAGTAGGTATTTCGGAACTTTTGGTAGGCTTTGTTTTTATTCTTTGAGTAACCAATTATATTAAACTTTCCATCTGGCTACAATTGTTTAAGTTGTTAAGCATACGCAATTGATGATGGAATGGCAATTTACTTTAATTTCTCTATCTATTACTCTTTGAGGAGAGCCAAAGGCTGGTTTTTGGAACTGATTACTTCTCTTGTGGCAGATCATTTGAGAGGGGGCTTTCATTTGTTGGAAAAGATTATTCTTGCTGCAATCTTTGGGATAAATATTTAGAATATCTTTTGGGGCAGCAGCAATGGAGTTCACTGGCTCATGTATATCTCCGGACCCTGAGATATCCATCCAAAAAGTTGGATCTCTATTACAAAAAGTATGTCTTTTTACATATGTTCTAGAATGACTACCACGATGTTTACATGAAGCTCCTGTAGATGAAGTTTGTCTTTCTCCATTCCATTATACTTGTCCTGTACTTTTTTCAGCTTCAGGAAGATTGCAGCTTCTTTGAAGGAGAAGATTAAATGTAGAATAGATGTTAACGGAGACCTTTCTTCAGACCCCATGGAAGAAGATTTGGTCCCTATACGTCACACTGATGAGGAGATCTCTATTGTTGTAAGAGACTTGATGGGTCCTTCCTCTAGCTCAGCTGTGTCAAAAGCACTGCATGCATATTTGTCAATTGGAGAACAGTTCTACCAAGACTCACGGCAGTTGATGGAGAAAATAAGCTGCTTTGAGACACAAATCCGCAGGCCTTATTTTCATGTAAATCCGTTGGACACTAATCAGCTCGACAATTGGCATGCATATTTGAGCTTCGCCGAAACATATGGGGACTTTGACTGGGTAAGAGGTATTCCTTTGTTACTGATTCAGTTTGGCTCTTGTTCCATTCTTGTTTATGTATAAAACTTGTTTCTTTTTTAATTGCAGGCTATTAATCTCTATGAGAGATGCTTAATACCATGCGCTAATTACACCGAGTTCTGGTTCCGCTATGTGGATTTTGTAGAAAGCAAGGGTGGAAGAGAGCTAGCAAACTTTGCATTGGCTCGAGCATCACAAACTTTTGTCAAGGTAAATGGGGTTATGTTTGCTTTAGTGTATCTAAAAAAATCAGATACAAGGTAGAGGAACAGCTAGGATCATACATTTGTATGACGCCTTGTATGTTCGTTGTAGAATGCATCTGTTATCCATCTATTCAATGCAAGATTCAAGGAACACGTTGGAGATGCATCTGCTGCTTCAGTTGCTCTGTCTCGATGTGGTGAGGAACTTGGTTTTGGTTTTGTTGAAAATGTAACTAAGAAGGCTAACATGGAAAAGCGCCTGGTAAGAATGATACACTACTCAGTACCATCTGGCTTTGATGTCTCAGTGGTCAAGATATCTAATTATGCAGTGTTCCATGTAGGGTAATTTTGCAGCTGCTGTTACTACGTACAGAGAAGCTCTGAATAAAACGCTCATTGGAAAAGAAAATTTGGAAACCACCGCACTGCTGTATGTTCAATTTTCTCGCCTCAAGTACATGGTAAGTAATGTGTCTGACTCGCAAAGGTTTTTATTTCTGTTATCTGTTAATAACATGTCAAGATTTAGAGCTATGGGAACTGTCTGCGTTACTACCTTACCTTCAATGCATCACATCTTTTCGAATTCGTTCATTATCTTATGGTTTTCTTCCTTTCCGTAGATTACAAATAGTGCTGATGATGCAGCTCAGATTCTGATAGAAGGCAATGAGAAAGTTCCTCACTGCAAATTACTTCTTGAGGTGTGTTGCTGGCAGTTTGAATCTCTTCAAACTTCTAATCACAATTTCCCACTTGGAAATCATATTTGTCCACTGAATTTCTGTAAACGTCTGTTACCGTTTTTAACCTTCAATCACTGTTAATCTTTGCGCTAACAGGAACTTATAAGACTCTTGATGATGCATGGAGGGTCTCGACAAGTGGATTTGTTAGATCCTATCATAGATAAAGAAATATCTCACCAGGCAGATTCCTCCGATGGTCTGAGCGCAGAGGACAAAGAAGAGATATCAAATTTATACATGGAGGTAAGGTCTCTCTTACAGATAGGAGATCATGTGGTCTCTTTTGCTTGTCTATTTCATTTTTTCCCATTTCTTGATCGCATTGAATGTGTTTGATACTTAGTAATTGCTCTTGGATTTGAGCAGTTTATAGATCTTTCTGGAACCATCCATGATGTGAGGAAGGCTTTGGGTCGACACATAAAATTATTCCCACATTCTGCTAGAGCCAAGTTACATGGGTCCCGTCCTTCAGGAAAATCATTTAGAGAGTTGATTCAGAGAAGAGAGAAGACTCGTGAGTGCTTACATCAGGACCTATTAACAAACAAAGGCATTAGCACATTCGATTCGTCACCAAAAGAAAAGAAAGAGTCATCTCTAGACCCTGATGGTGTCCAATCTAAAGATGCTGTTCGGGCTGACTATGTAAACACTGAGCCTAATCTGGGGTGTCTGGCTTCAGGACATCTAGTTGAAGGAAAGGATAATGTTGCTGAGAGAGAGAATTTGTGTGAGTCACAGAGTGATCTGTCCATGGGATTAAAAGCAGATGAAGGTGGTGAACGCCCTCGTGAAGTTAGCCTACCGATCCAAGCCACACCAAAACATGGTTTTGTCACGAAACAAGCTCACTTCTCGTCCAGTTCAGTTGATACTGTGAAATCAGATGCTATTGTGATCCAACCTAGTGGCTCACAGAGTCCCCAAAGTTACCAAAGCCAAGAGTCTCTCAGGCAAACTGGTCGGAACAGGTACCCCAGAAGAGATTTAAACCAGACTCATAGAGATTCGAAACCTCGTTCTCGAGAGAGACCTCCTCAGATGTCGTATTCTCCAGTCGGAACTGGTCGTGAAATTCCCGGTCAGCACATGGGTGTAGCTCCTCGAGACAATCGAGCAGCGCTACAAAGCTCAATCTCACAGAATCCGCAAAACCAATTTCACAACTCTGCACTTCAGATGCATCCTGTGGTTCAAACATCCAATGCTTATCCTCAAACTCAGATACTTGCTCAGCACATGATTGTATCCCCTCCAGACTCACAGAATCCGCAGAACCAATATCAAAACTCTACATCTCAGGTTCAAACCTCCTTTGCCTATCCTCAAACTCAGATTCCTCCGAATCCAGTGCAAAGTAACTACCAACAAGAAGGTCAGATGCAGAGTCATGAAGCTTATAACCAGATGTGGCAACAGTATTATTATAGCTATTATTACTATCAGCAACAGCAACAGCAACAGCTTATGTCTGAACAGCCACAACCAAATCAGAACCCTCAGCCACAACTAGATCAGAATCTTCTGCAACTTCTCTCCAAACAGTACCAATCTCAAGCCAATACTCAGTATCCACAACCTCAACAGGTGAAGGAACAGCTCAATACACAGCAACAGAGCCAAGAACCAGAAAATCAGCAGCAAATTCAGTTCCAGCAACAACAACAACAACAAGAGTGGTTCCAACAACAACAACAATGGCAACAACAACAGTATTTTCTCTGGCTTCAACAACAGCAGTTGCAAGGAGAAGCAAAAGGCGATGAACAAAGACTCTCTATGCCACAGCCACAGGTCTCCACAACAAACAGTGATGTTCAAAAGGTTTGCTTCAAAAACCAAACATGATTGCTTTAAATTTGTTTATGTTATATCTACTTTAAGCTGTTTACTAAGAATAGATGTTCTTGTAGAGTCAAGAATCTGGAGCAGTCAATGATGCAAATCTATCTTCTGACACTTCCATCAGTTCTATATGAATCTCATGAAAGCCGATGGACACGTAACTGATTGTGTTATTTAATTAAAAGCCTGAAACAAAGTTTGGTAGTTTTTATTCGGTTTAACGAAATTTCAGTTTGGTTTTGAAACCAATTTTAGTAGTCAATTAATTTTAGGGGTGTCAAAATGGGTAACCCGACCCGACCCGATCCAAACCCATATGGATTCGAGTGTTTAATGGACGGGTTTGACCCGACCCATATATTTATATGGGTTAAATTTACATACCCAAACCCATTATTGTAGAAATCCATTGGCTTAATGGGTTATATGGGTACCCATATATATGTATAAAAATATATATAAATAATAAAAATCCAAAAAATAACATAAAATTGTAAACCAACAAAAATTTTTAAATAATAAATTAAAAAATCTAGATATTATACATATATTTTACTTTTTACTTTTATTTTTAGGTAAAATGTAAACTTTAATAGTTATTTTAGATATTTTACATAAATAGTTGTAAAAAAAAGAAGATATTTTACATATATTTATATAAATTTTACATAATATATTAATATAGATATAAATAAATTTTCCTTTTTAGTTTTGGTTATGAAACTCATGGGTAACCCATGACCCTAATGGGTTTTACCCATTAAACCCATAACCCTAATAGGGTAACCCACTAAAACCCATTTATATATATGGGTAAAAAAATTCTACCCAAACCCACTAAAATCATGGGCGGGTTCGGATAACCCATGGGTATTAACCCATTTTGACACCCCCCTAATTTTAATTCATTTCGGTTTATCCGGTTCAGTGTGGTTTGTGTGCACTAAATCAGCTTTGGTTATCGGTTTGTTAATTAAAGAAATCAACTTGTATATGATTTAGTATTAGATTTGTGTGGTTAATTATTTGTTTTAATATTATATAATATTTAATGTTTTATGTATATATATATTAATTTTTATATACGTTTCCAACCCGTACCCATTTCTTAAAATTTTTAAAATATTCGCTTCCACGTTTCTAAACGCTTCGCTTCTGCATACCGACTTCTGATTCCATACAACCTAGTGTTCATGATGTAAGCAAATTTCAATTCGATTTTGGTTTAACGGTTTAGTTCGGTTTGGGTATTCCGGTTACTGTTTTCTAATGGATGAAACAGAAGCAATTAAAAGTATTTGGTATATTTTCGTAATTATTTTAAGTTTCTGTTGTGCTCCAAATCTCGAAAAGAATCTAAAATTTTTAAATAATTTCAAAAAAGCGAGGGGCTTCAACACGCGTCAAATTATGTGGGTAAGTCGTCCAGCTGGTCTACTATAACACGTGTTGATTCAGTATTGGATAAGAAGCGCCCACCAAAGGAACAAATCGTAGCCGTCGATTAGAGACAATAAAGAGCCGTCATAAGGCTTGTATCATTCTCTATTGACCGTTCGTGGAAGTTATGTGAGAGAAAGAAAAAACCCAGAGAGAAGAGAGAGAGACCCACAACACAAACACAAAGTAGACGAAGACGACGACGACGAATCAGCTCTCTTCTCTTCTCCTCTCCTCTCCTCTGCTCTCAGGTCCGTTTTCGTCTTCTTCCCCCAAATTCGATCGCTTTCTTCTTCTTCTTTGTCTTCACCTGTAAATTTCGTTATTTTTTTTGTTTTTGTTTTCTTCTGTGTTGTTTGACTTTTGATTTCTGATTATGTGATTGTTTATGCTTTGAATTTGTTGGATTTGTTAGAAAAACCTTCAATTTCACCTGGGTTTTGAAAAAGTTTCCTTTTTTTTTTTGAATTGTGAATTTTGTTCTGGGTTTCGTTTATCTGTGGTGATTTATGTTTGAATTTTGATTCTACCGAAATTTCGTCTTTTTGTGCTAATTTGTTTTATCGCTCTCTAATTTTGCTTAACGATGACTTGATTCTATCTTAGTGTATTTTTGATTTGGACTTGGAATTTTACTTTTAATAGAGAATGTAAGCTTAAATAGAGAGACCTAGTTGTGAATTGTAATTAGGTTTTTTGTTTATCTGTGTTAAGATTCTGGGTTTTGCTATTTCTGATAGGTTGACTTGTGGTTTGTTAGTCTTCTCGATTTTGTCTCCATGATCCGAGATTCCATGTCCATGCTGTGTAGATTCTGTTCTCCTTTTTGGATTTTGGGTTTGATTATTATTAAAATGATTGATTGGGATGGGCTCTGTTTTTTTTGCAGCATCTTCTGCTGGTTTGGTCTTTCAAGAAGGTCCCGTTGCACCTAAATGTGCTTGATCCAAGGTCGTTATAATTCTGTATACAGAGCCAATGCCATATATAGAAATGAAGAGCAAGATAAGCAAGGTTCTTGGTGTCTGTAAGAAACATAAAGCAACTACAAGAAATTCTTGCTCTTTGTCCAAAATATCAGGGGACTTGGAAAGCATGACAGCAGCTATTACTCATGCTTGCGACGGCGATGAGAAACAGCATCCTGGTAACGATTTTTCCTTGTTTAAGTATTGTACCCAAATTGTTGATTTAGATAACCTGAGTTTCTTGTGTCATCAATCGTTTTTTGGTTACTTCTCTCTGATGATTGTGTTATTTTTCTTCAGGGCTGGATACTTTTACTCGGGATACTGAAACCAATGAGCCTGCTGAAATGCTTGTTGAAGACACTTCTCAATCTCAGGGGTTTGCATCTTCGGTCGATGGTTCTGAATCTGTCGAAAAAATGGTACGATTTGATAGATGTGTAGCTGACTTTCAATCATCCTTCTTTCACGGATACTGGATGAGCAACTTTTTTTATCGTGGTTTTAATATTTATGTGCAGGAAAATGCTTGCAATTACATGTCGAACTCAGATACAATATTTTCACCTGTTCTGAATGATGAACTGAATGGAACTGATCGAGGTATATGTTCCTGTTACAGTTTTGGTATAAGTTTTCCTTTGTTTGACATAAAACCAAGCTAATAGATTTCTTTCCTCAGTATTTTCAGCAGGAAACTCTTTGCACTGGGAAACTCCTAGGTGGGGAGCCGACGAGAGCAGCAACAAGATTTGCTTTGACAACCAAACGTGCAACGTTTCTGATTTCTATATTTCCGACGTGCTTATTGCGAGCTTGCCGTTTGATGAGAGTGGAAACAATGATGCTTTCACTGAAATAAGCCCCTTGCCTCATTACATCTTTCCTGAACAGTACATGGTACTACCTTACTTAGAAGATGGATCAGCCAACACAGATGATATTAAATCAGACGTTGACAAGATTAATCTCGATAACCATGAATTGTTTCTGGCATTCAACCGGACAAGATCACACAATATGGAACCAGAGGATCATGCTGAATCTGAACTAGCTGAAGACTTTGATCCTCAGCTTTTTATAAAAAATCAGCCAGAATTGTCGGATGTTGTATCCAATTATTGGCCTCGGGATACCCTAAGAAAGAAGTCTGTGACCCTTGTCCTTGATTTGGATGGTATGGTTTCCTCATTTAATTATTATTGAGTTTGATTTGGCTTTTTACGTTATTATCTCATCTTGTGCTCAGTACTCATTCGCTATAACAGTTGTCCCTTAAATTAATGTAGTATACTGAATCATGTTTAGGAACAGAAGGTGAACTGACTTATTTATTCATTTTGAGGAAAGATGGTTAAGCATTTTTATGACGTTGTACTGTTAAATTTTCTGTTTCTCTTACCTCTAAGGTAGATGAGCTACTGAACTTAACAAATATGTTTTATTTTTAAATGCAGAAACTTTGGTCCATTCGACTCTGGAATCGTGTAATGCTGCAGATTTTTCCTTCAGAGTCTTTTTCAACATGCAAGAAAACACGGTCTATGTGAAACAGAGGCCACACCTTTACAGGTTCTTGGAGAGGGTGGTAGAATTGTTTCATGTCGTCATCTTCACTGCAAGCCACAACATCTATGCTTCGCAACTTCTCGATATATTGGACCCAGAGGGAAAGTTCATATCACAGCGTTTTTATCGTGATTCATGCATTCTTTTGGATGGAATTTACACCAAGGATTTAACTGTACTGGGTCTTGATCTGGCCAAAGTGGCTATAATTGACAACTGTCCGCAGGTACTTTATCTTAAGATCTGCTCATGGGTCTTGACATTATTCATTGAAGTCTGATTTTTCATTATGTTTTATATACTCTGTTACTGAGAATACCATTAATTTGATGAAAGGCCTCGACCATCAATTTCAGTTTGAAGAATATCTGTCTTATTACAAATTACAAACTTTCTTGGTGTATAATAATACATGGACCACCCGTTTTGATTATCCAACTTGTTTCTTTGTTAATTGTTTCAGGTGTACAGATTGCAAATAAATAATGGGATCCCTATCAAAAGTTGGTATGATGATCCAGCTGATGATGGTTTGATTTCTATACTACCCTTCTTAGAGACTTTGGCTGTTGCTGATGATGTTCGGCCTATCATTGGCAGGAGATTTGGTAACAAGGAATAAGAGCTTCCTTCTCTTTTTTCTCTATATACATCGAGTGCAGATTCTGATATCTTTCCTTTTGATTTTAGTCATAAATTGGCCCTTAATTAGTTCCTCATATCTCTTTTTAGGTCGTTAATTAGGTAACCAAAGAATAAGCTCGTTGAGTCTAGTGATAGTAAGTTTCCTTGCTTGCTCGCTTTTTTAATAGAAGACCTAGTTGTGGGCTTAAATCTTATGATTTTGTTGGTTCTCCTCTGCCAAGATAGATCCTAGAAAATCTTGCAGTTTGTTACAAATGTACAGTTGGTTAAGCTGAGATAATGGATGTGTACAAATGAGTTACTATTGCGTGAAATCATTTTGGAAGTTAATACCAGCGGCGTTCATGGTCTCTCTATTTGGATTCCTCTTCTACTGTTAGTTGAGCTTGAAATTCTTACTTGGACTGGTAAATGCAGAACGTTTTTACCTGCGTCTATGCCAGTCATATAAATACAGAAATATAATCAAATAATGCAGAAGTTTATTGAATCTTCTATCAGCTTCTATTGTTTATTTTAAAGGTTCTGAGCAAAGTTATCCCACGTTTTCCGTCTCTTGGCTTTGCAACATTCAGATGAGATATCATACTTCGAGGTTGGAGGAATTCTGAATATGCGATGATCGAGTCAAGCTCATGGTATATATATATAGTCCATAATACTCATTAAAATTTTCATGATTTTTGCATGCCTTATGTGCAGATATCATCCAAAGAAGTAACAAACCTTAACTATATTTATACGCATTATGGAAAATGACAACAGTAGGTAAGTTTTAAATCCATTTTTACTTCTCGTTTTTTTGGTCTAACAAGCTTCTTCTGCTTCTTGTTTCTTATCTCCTTCATCTCGAACCTTGTAATCTTTATACTGAAAGCTGTTTCACAATCTTGTTACTGATAACTTGGTCCCAAACCTGTTTATGTCCCTCTGTTTCTGTCCCTTGTTTCATGTAGAGTAAAAAATGGTTATTGTCTTAATATCATACACGTTTTAGTGAAAGATGATTGTTTAAAATGTATATATCCCAGTTTCAGTATTTCTGAGCTTGGTTTGTCTTCTCCTAGGTTTTAACATTTATGTGCTGTGTGACTGGTTTAAGTTAGTGTGTTGATCTTTGATGATATCCTGAGTGAATTTTCCAGTAACCAGAGCTCCTAAAAACTAGTCGCAGGCTCCTTGATGTTTTCCCCTGAAAGTATACTTTGCTCAGTCCATACATTATATAGTGTACAATACATGAATGATTTTATTATAGTGTAACCATCATTTTACAATCTATAGAAACCTTTACACATTATCAAAAGTTCTTTGATAGTCTTAAGAACCTATCTATAATATATGAAAATGAAACAAAATTATGCATCGGTTTATCTAAGACTCGAAAGTTAAAAGATGGTTAGCTATCTTGTGTGCAACGCGGTTACAAGACAGAAAACAACAACAACACAAGTTGTCATGAAATGAATGTCATGTCGCGTAGGTTGAACAGCAGTTCATGCCTTACCGGTTGGTGATGCCATGAACCGTCTTCTTTCGAGTTTAGGCTCGATGTTTTGATATCCCAAGTTCCGCATACAAGTATGTTATTAGCCCATCAAATCTCTACCACTTCTGCTTTTTAAGGCTGATAAAACCCAAGGCATGCAGGAGGCCACGAGCTACAATCCAATCCACCAAACTTAAGCGCTCACACGTGAGACATGAGAACCCTCCGGATCATATAGAGTCTTTTAACCACCTTTCTCCGTTTCGGTAAAGTTGAGATTTTTTTTTGTTGTTGCTGTTACAACTTTCGGCATATCCATTGCTTAAGGGAAGAGATAATGCTGAGACCTTCGCTTCTCTGTTCTTCGGCCTCAATCACTTTCACACCAATTCAACTATTCAATCCCAAATATTCCCCTCATTTCCAAAGCTTCGAAGTATCTCGTCCCGTCTCGGCTTTTTCTCGTACCAAAAATTGTCACTTCAGTCTCGTGAGAGCTCGTGGGAAATCCAGCTTCCTCGTTCGTAGCACCGGTAACTAGTTTTGTTTATTGGGTTTACTCTTGTTTTGTGATTCTGGGTTCTCTGTTAGCTGTGGAATCTTTTAAGAAAGTTTGGTTTTGAGAAGCTGTTAGCAACTGGATTATTGAGTTGATTCTAATTTTTGGTTTGTTTGGTTCTCTTTGTTCTTTAATCTTCAGCTACTCAAGAAGCTGTTGAAACCAGTAGTAACAGTGAATTGGATTTAGTTGAAGTTGGATTCTTATCTGGTGTTCATGGCTTACAAGGCGAGATTTGCATAAAACCAAACACTGATTTTCCTGATTTACGTTTCTCCAAGGTATATAAAAGAGAAAAATTTGTGTTTTTTTTCTTCTGGAAAAAAATAAGCATTTCGTAGTATTTGACATTGCTTTACCATTGGCATGATTACTTTATTAGCCTGGTAGAAGATGGTTAAAACAACAATTGATGGGACAAGATAAGATTGATGAGGTTGAATTAGTTGAAGGAAGACCTCATCCTGCGCAGAAGAGTTGGATTCTTAAGTTTCGAGGGTTGGATGATGTTGATCAGGTAGTTTAGTAATCCATGAGAGATTTAGAAGAAACAGTTGAACATGATTTGTTAATTTGGGGGTTTTATTTCCTTCAGGTGAGACAACTCGTTGGTGCAACTCTGCTTGCTGAGGACAATGATCGTCCTGAGCTTGATGAAGATGAATTTTACTCTCGTGATCTTGTAGGCATGAAAGTTCTTCTCAAGGTATATTGTGTTTTTGCTTCTTGTGTATATATCGAAAATGTGAAAAGTCTGTGGTCTAAATCAGTTATCTTATACAGGAGACGGGTCAACTTGTTGGAACTGTTGCAAATATTTTCGACAATGGAGGAAATGATCTTCTACACGTTTTGCTTGACTCATCCATGGAAGTTTGCAACGGGAGTGCAAAGACCAATCAGCTTGTGTGGATACCTTTTGTAGACGCAATTGTTCCTGATGTTGATTTAGAAAGAAAAGAGATGTATATAACTCCCCCGAAGGGACTCCTCGAGGTGAATATGCGAGCAGATGATCGGTCCAAGAAAGAAAGGCGGCAGCTTGTGAGGCATATTCTTCTTCGCTCTTCATATTGACCATTCTTTAGAGACTCTACAATTTGATCTTTCTTGGTCTTTTAAACTCTACGCTCTGGTCATTTCAGGAATGGAAAGAAAGAAAAAAGCAGCAGAAGCGTCTTATTGCTGCTAAAAAGAAGTTATGTGAATTGGAGCAAAAGCATGTGTTTGATGGATTAAGGTTTGGAGAAAAGTCTCAAAGGAATTTACTTGCTGATCATATCCTTGACGTAAACTCCACACTGCTTCAGAAAGCTTTGCAAAGTATCGACGCCTCACCGAAGAGGTAAAATAATTTCTAGAAATTTCCCAACCATTGAAAGAAGTGTGTTTTCTCATTTTTCATTTGAATCTTGATGAATTAGATGGAATGTAATTGAGGAAATCAATGCGCTGAGAGCTAGAGTATCGGAATGTACTCTGAATGTGTCACGAGAATGCCTTAGTTTTGATGCAAGCAAAGAGAAAATGGGTGCTAACTTCAGTTTCCTTCAACAAGGGCAAAGTCTATTCTCTGAGGGTAAAGTTTCTATTTGTTTGGTTCTCAATGATCACGAGAACGAACAACCAGAAGGTGAGAATGGTGTAGTCTCGTACCTTCATACACTACTTGATGAGGAGCAGAGTTTCATAAAGGTTAGCTGATGCATAATTTACCAACTAGTGAGTTTTTCATGTCATTTAGTTATGATTTTACAGGATAACTGGCGGGTTATGTGCAGGAAGAAGATCGCGCTTGCGTGCCACTTGTCATAGTTTCCCCTGAACATACCGTTGAAGCTCTGCAGAAGCTATTTCAGGATAATGATCATTTTGGCTTTGAAGCAGAAAAGGTTAAGGCTAAGGCTTTTAATTCTTCCAAGGATCATTTTGCATTTCGGTCATCATATTCTATCAGGCTTTTTCTAACAAAATTCATGTTCTACTATCTTCTAGATCTGGATTCTTAAAGAAGAAACGCTTCCAGTAGTATGTAGCTCACCAGAGGAACCGAAAAAGCACAAGATTTTGATGAAATCTCCATGGGAGATACTTAAGTCCCCGGTTGGCTCTGGAGGAGTCTTGAGCATCCTTGCTTCACATGGAATTACAGACTCTCTTTCCAGCCTGGGAATCGATTATCTTCAGGTATCGATATCTAAACATCATCGCTTTATCTCTTTGATCTGACTTATATTTAGAAAAGTTTGATCCTTTCTGATTTTCTTCTTCAAATTTGGTAAAAGGCATTAAGCTTTAAGATGTTGGCAATTTCATAGGTACACAGCATTGAAACAAAACCACAACCTTTGCAACATTACATCAATCCGATGCTCGTTGGATTCGTGAGCGCAAGAGGAGCAGAGATTGGGATCCAAGTGACTGAAGAATCTGAACTCAAGAACCTCGAAATGACATTCTCAATGAAGTTTTTGAAGAGATTAAAGGGCAAAATCGAATTTGAAGCTGTTACAAAGATGAATTCACATGTTCAGAAGGTTGAAAAGGAATGGGTTGAGTCCGTACCATCAGAACCGAACTCGTTTGAGTTTCGTTATGATATATACAGAGTCTTGAGTGAGTGTTCTTCATCAGCTAAGATTTGTTTGATGAACATCACAATTTAGAACATGTACATTCTGCTACTTAGTTGTAAAAGCTTTTAGAAAGACAAGCCATGCCCGAACACATTACTCAAGCAAGAGAAAACATTATTGTAGCTTTTGACAAATCGATGATGACAAAAACCAACCAAAGCTTATGCCCTTTCATAGCACAAAAAACTATTGATAAAAAAAAAAACTTTTTTAATCAAATTTCAAAATATATCCCTCGTTTTGGGAAACTTAAGATCCAACCGTTGATTTGTACCCAAAAAAGATCCAACCGTTGATTGTACATTTAGATTAAGTTGAAGATCCAGCCGTTGATTCTATTGACCAAACTTTGATCTTTTTGAAAATTACGGTTTTGACCTTC